AATAGATCAGTATGTTAAGGCAAGCTCGCAGAAAATCTTTGCGGAATGAAGGGAAGGCTAGCACAGGTAATTTTAACAAGGAAGAGCAAGCTAGCAAAGTTTCTTGGCAAAAAGTGGGCAGGCTAGCAGAGTTTCTCTTTAGAGTGCCGGGCAGGCTAGCAGAGTTTCTTTAGGAAAAGGGCAGGCTAGCAGAGCTCATTTAGGAAAGATATTTTAGCAGTGTTTCCTTAGGTTTGGGCATTTTAGCAGAGGTCATCTGAGACATGGGATGGCAAGCCAGGGGCAGTCACCAATTAGGATTCAACCTGCAATGATCCACCCTGTGGTTCTTCCCGATCAGCGCTGCATTGGGTGTGCGCGTCGGACAGCGACTGCAACTCGGGCGATTCTTGCGCTGGTGGCCAATGTCCCTCTTGATTATGACGTGACAAGTTGAACAAGGAGGGAGTTTACTCAAAAAAACCGCCTCAAACAGAAAAATGAGGCAAGCTAGCGGAGGAAATTCGGGAATTCTCGCAAAAAAATGTTTCAGAAGCCGCGAGGGCCGCAAGAAGCGCCAAGATGGCCCGGGGCACTATATCGGTCGGCGTCAAGTCACTGTAAGTCAAGCAGACGAGGCAAAAATTCAAATGAGGGCAAGCTAGCATCCTTGGGGTGCAGGGCGTCGGCGCTCAACCCTAAACCTGCCGCTTCCAAGCGAAACCCAAGCGAAAAAGTAAAATTTAAGCGATGCTCGGAGGAGGACCCATGCCCGACCGGCTACTTCTGCGAGTACGACCCCAGCAGCCCCATCGAGTAGAAGATCGAACCGAAATAAAGCAAATTGTTATCGAATACGCATCGGTTTGAAACCCCAAGGACCCCAATCCCCAAAAAGCAAAAAGTACTGCGTCGGCTGGAATCGAACCCGGGTCGCCTAAGTGGCAGGCGAGCATTCTACCACCGAACCACCGACGCGCTGGGGGTTGGGAGAGGGACGGGGATATGAAGGGTAGGTGGGCGCGACTTCGGCGAAAATCGGCAGAGGGAGTAGTGCGTTACGATCTAAATTGCAGAGCAAGCCTACAGACTACAAAATGGCGGACAAACTATAAAGTAAACGCACCTGGTCCTTCCGCTGCTCGTAGAATTCCCAGGCGGCGGCTGTCGACGGCGGGCGCGTCGATGAGGTCCCAACAAGAAGCCGAGTGGCCGATCCAGAGGCGCGGCTACTAAAAAGCCTTTTCGAGCGTTTTTTTCAAGCTTTTCAGGTCGTTTTAAAGCTTGAAGCACAGCTAAACTTGTAGAAAGCTTCATTGAAGCCGATCGGTCTTAAAAGACTTAAAAACTCAAGTAAAGTGGGCTCTTTCGCATTATTGAAGAGCGGGGAACAGTCCTTTGGAGCCAATTTTTCGAATATAATCCCAGGAAGTGTTTGTAAACTGCCTTCACTATGCCTAAGCTTACAACGTTAAAAATCATTTTTTCAAATACAAAAATATCGAGATTCTTCGAGCAAAATTCCGAAGTTTAGGCGAAAATTTCGGCTTTTAATGCTTTTGAAATTTTTGGAACCTTTTCTGGTTGAACATGGAATTATAATTTACTAAAAACGCTAATAAAATGATTCGCTATTGAGTTATTAGGCCTTTTATTAATGAAAAATAAAAAATCTATTCCAATCTAATCTAATATATCAAAAATCCCCTCCCCGAAATGCGAAAGTCTCCCAACTTCTCGGTTTTAAACAGCCGCAAAAAAACTTTAGAATTTTAGACAATTATCGCTTTGAGAAAAATTTTTGTGATACTCACGCGACTCGTCGAGCGAAAGCAGCTTCAGCGCCGTCAGCTCGTGGGGCGGCGTGACGTTTCGGCAGTTTGTCGGCCCGTTTTCACCGCAAAATTCGTGGTATAAGAGCAGGATAAGTCAAACCCCCACATTTGGGCGAGCACCGAGTCGGCTTACCCAGCCCGCGCAGCTCGTTCGCCAGCGTGTAGTTGCCACCGAAACGGGTTTTCTAACTTGCAAAAACTTTTAAAAAGTTAAAAACTAATTAATCTGAAGGCTTTTCCAAAACCCTTAAAACCCAAAAGCATTTTCCAAAGGTTAAAAATCGTGTTAGATTATTATTATTAGTAGAATATTGTGCGCTTTGGATAGCTAAGAAAGTCAATTAGCGTAAATAAAAAGAAACAGCGGGTTAAAATCGGCGAAATTAACGTCTAGCCCTCGGCGTTATTCCGAATTTCCTCAAAAATACGCACCACTCCATCAGCGCCAAGTAGAAGGCGTCGAAGGCGTGGTGGCCGCGCTGCTTCACGCGATTCACGAGGCCCCGGCTGTTTTTCGCGCCGTTTGCGTCCTAAATTGAGGCGTAAAAGGTGGATTTGGCTTTTCCAGCTCACCAGAAACTCCTCGGCCGTGTTCCCGTTGAAGACGCCGGCGGCGAGCAGGCAGGACGCGATCTGAAAATCAGTGTGCATATTATTTTCGTTTAGTTCCGGGTGATTCTCGATCCAAGGCCGCTCAAACTGGTAAAAAGTTGGCCGCGGTTAAGTAACAGGTGAGTAATTTTCGAAAATCCTATTGCCGGTTTAAATTTTAGAGTTTTGCTAGTCTCTGTTCACGAGGCCTAAAAAATCCTGAAAACTTCAAATTCTGGACCAATCATCTATATTTTTGACCAAAACCGACAAACAAAATTTTTCGGAAATTTCATTAATATGTTCTGCACCCATACCTAAAAACGGTGCAAAACGCGAAAATGGCCAAGCCGGCTACCCCCCTTGCTAAAAGCCCGCCAAATCGTCAGATGGCAAGGAGAAAGCTACAGGAGCCATAAAAACGAAAAACACCTACCACTCGCACATCTGCAGCCTCCAAGCGATCGCCGATCGGCGTCAGTGCGTTCCGCCGCTCGGGCCCCATCATTTGTCGGGTCGAGCGGACCGGTTGCATCCTTTAAGGGTATACTAAAAATGGCATTAACGGTTCTGCCTATCAAAATATTAGAAAACACAACAACGGGAATGGTCAACAAACGTTGGCTAAAATATACAAAAAACAGTAAAGATTTTTCGACAAAAATCGCCGATTTTCGGCCAAATTTCAGCTAGAATTTTTTATTGCTTTTCAACCTGGAAACCAGTTAAACTCAGCTAAAATGCTATTAAATCAGTAAATTAAGTAAAAGTATAAATATTTAGCAAAATCTATTTTACGTATAAAACAACCAAAATAATTAAAAAGCATTGCTTAAAAATTTTTCCAAAAAATGGGCGATTTCTGCTTGAAAAATCTATATTTTTCGATTTTTGTATTGTTTTCTACCTGAAATTACTAAAATGGAAAAGTCCGGCAAAAGAATCGCAAAATATTGGAAAACACAAAACCGGGACAATCTAGTAAGACCTGCTGCGCGCAACATGTCCCCGCAGGTGTTCACGCGTCTGCTTTGTGCCCGTGCGCTACGCCTAATTCAGGCAGTCCCCGTATAATGATGCGGAGGAAAGGATGGCTATTGCTTTGTCCCCCCCGTTAAAGGACTCAGATGGTTGGGACCAGATGGGCCCAATTACCCCAGCGGCAGTGTGTGACCTTCAAAACGCGCGCGCGGCACATCGACGCGACACTTCAAGCTGACAGCCTACGCGCCGCATAAACAGTTTATAATTTGCACAAATGGCCCGAAGAAGAAGGCGAAGGACCTGAATTAAAATACTAATATAACTAACTTTTTGTAAATGTCTAGAAATGGCTAGTAACTTAGTAGAAAATATTTTAATGCGTTTTTAGACGTTAATAACTATGGTCCGACCAGAAAAACTATCTAAAAACTTTTATAAAGTCAACACTTTGGTCAAAAATCGCGCATTTTTGAACTTTTTTTTAAAAACCTTCAAGAAAGTTTTTAAAAATCCACGTGTTATAAACGATTGCCAAAATCGGCCCGTTCAAAACGATTTTCGCGAGGTTCACCATCCTTCAGCGGTTTTTGAAGCTAACAGGCTACCTTGCAGAATTTGAAGCCCTATAGAATGAGGTATATCACATACTAAAACTCCCTCGACACCCTACAAATTAGGGCTCACCCTGGGCAAAAACCAAAACCGACGATGCGCACGACGCCGCGAAATCGTTGAAAGTATCGCCTTTACAATCTCCGCCCACGTGAAATGTCAAGAATCCGACTTATAATTCCACATGAACCCTGGGGCGCACCTCCACCTTATCCCGTAGCTTCCATTCAAAAGGCCAATAAAAGTTAAAAATTTATTTCTCGATAAAACACGAAATGAAGGGGAGGGGAACACTACGAAAAGACAATAAGATAGCGGGGGGTACAGCTAGAAGACAATAGCAGAACGGGGGTACAACTAGGGAATAAGAGAAAGGAGGTACAACTAGAAGGACACATGGTAAAAAAGTACACGGCATAGGGAATGTGGGGCAGGACAAAAATCTTGGTGCAATTCGGGTTGTCGCGTTCTTCTTACGCATCGCTGGTCGACGGGCGGGCCTCCTTCTTGCCGTAGAAGATGTCGTAGGCGTCGGCGCGGAAGGCGGCCTCGTTTTTCTAAAAGAAAAGAATTAGGATTCAATCGCGTTACCGGGGGAAGCACTTTTTTCTTTAAAGCAAGAGTCGAGAGTAGAGGATTTTTAAAGAAAAAAAGGTAAACATTCTACAAACCTTGTATTGGGCTTCACGGTCACGGGCGGCTCGGTAGTTCGCCCGCACCTCGGTGGCGTGGGCGATCAGTTTCTTGTCGTACTCGGCACGCTTCGCCATCTCAACCTTCAAACGAAGGACCCGCTCCTCCAGCTTGGCGATGTCGGGGCCGGGCTTGGCGTCAAACTGAAATAAAAACAGTTTTGTTGAATCCAAACAAGAAAAGGCCGTACAAAAATTCCCCCGATAATGAAAACGAACCAAATAAAAACATACCTTTGCTAGTCTCCGCCTGTAGGCCTCGCGCCTGGCTTCATCCTCAGCCCGGAGCATCTCGTCAACGCTGAGCGTCTCCTCCTTCTCGGGCTCCTTGCCGATGGAGCGCTGGCTGGCGCTGAGCATCGACCGGTCCTTTTTGGGGTTTATTTTCTTTTGTTGAGCTTCGACGTCGTGGGTGGTGTTGACAGTCGTCTCGACGACGAACTCGGGTACGTCCATCGGCTCTTCGTGCGTTGTGATTTCTTGAGTTTGCCGGACCGGGAGGGTGTCGTTGCACACGGTGACGTTCCTGGCGTCAGTCTGGTTGTCGTCAAAGAGCCGGCTCATGTTGATTGCGTTCACAGACTAAAAAATAAAATCATTTAATAGATTTAACCATTTCCTTTCCGATTCCGCGCGACAAGAGTCCAACAGTATCCAACTAACAAAATTGCGGAATTAGTAGCGCTTCGTACGTCGCGAAATTCACAAAAACTATTGCTTTGCGGAAAACAAAAATCTAATAAAAATCAATTACCTCGGCCAGCTCCAACTGATCCCGCTCATCTTCTTCGTCGTCCCCGATCCGGGTCTCCACCTCGCGCTCCTTGCCAATTGAGGGCTGGCTGGTGCTGAGCATGGAGCGGTCGACGTCGGGCTTATCCTCTTTCTGTTCGGCATCGACGGCGGGCGTGATGTTGCCAGTCTTCCCGGCGATGGCCTCAGACACGTCCATGGTATTTTCGTCGGCCGGTGCGTCCTGTGCTTGTTGCGGCTGGATGGAGTCGTTGCGTAGGGTGGTGTCGACGGCCTTCGTCTGGCTACCGTCAAAGCAGCGGCTCCTCTTGTGCGGGACAGCCATCGGGGTGCCCTGGCTCGTCTTACTCGCGCTCATCGTCTAGAAAGATTTATATAGAGACAAATACGGTTATAAAAAGCACATCACCCAGAGTCACATTCATCTAGGGAAGAAATTAGCACCTGCGTCTCCCGAATTGGAGCTGATGGTACAAAAAGTACCTCCGTGGACTCGCTATCGTTTAGGACCATCGACACTTCCTCGTTCTCCTCGATCTTCGGCTGCGACCTCCCGTAAACCACCTCCGTGGTGGTATCACTGTCGTCGTGGAGCGTCGGCCCTTCGACGTTCCTCTGCATCTCGGGCTGCTAAAATTCCAAAAATATAGATTTTTCAACCAAACTTTGAATTTTGAAAAATTTTCCAGCGTTTTCAGATAGTTTTATGACTAACATAAAGTTTGATTTTACCAAAAACATTCTGAAAATACCCTACAAAGCTACTAGGCTTTGCTCGATCCATAAAAAAACCTGTTTTCTCCTCCCGATACTGCGAAAGAACCCAAAATAGAAATCGAAAAACAAACCATGTGCAGATCCTCGTTGATGCTCATTTCCCCCGAATTGTTGTCCTTCTTGGGGGTCGCCTGGCGGTCCGTCCATAGCGCATCCGTTCGGTCGGCTCCATCGAAGCCGTCCCAGTCGTTCTTGTCGATGCCGCTCTCGACGGAGGTGATCTTGACGTGGGTGCGCTCGTAGGAGACGACGGTCTTCGGGGTGCCTTGACTCGATCGGCTTGTCACCGTCTAAAATAGCGGGCTTTAATGCAAAAGTTTTCACGGCATGCAAAATCGATCGCCATTTTTCGAAAAGGTGAAATCAAATCCAATACTTAAAAAATTATACCGTCTCGCTGATGCTCATGTCCATCGTCATATTGGCGCGCGTCGTTTTCTCGTGCTGGAACAAATCCATCGTCTTGTTGATGAACGACGAGTCGACGGGATCTTGTTCCTGGCTCCCAAAGAGCTGCGTGGTCTTGTCGATGACGGCGCCGTCAAAGTCGAGTTTCTTCGGCTGCCTCGCGCACGAGCTGTCGGCCGCCCCGAACAAGTATGCAGTCTTATCTAAAAACAAAAATTATCCAAGCAAGAAAGCGGCAACTCACTCATATCCGCAAAAGAGAGGTCCGTGGTGTTGTGGCCGGAGAACGAAGCCTGCGAGCTGTTCATGACGTCGGCACGAAGCTTGCCCTCCATCGGCATCGTGGTGTCGACGCTCATGTTGACAGAATCGTGGAAGAAGCGGAGCGAGGTTCCGGATTGTGGTGCTAGAAATCGCGAAAGCTTGAAAAAACCGCGAACATCGACTCACGCTGTAGGAAGATATTCGACGTCGCGTTGGCCGCCTCAGATTCGTTCAGGAAACGCTGCAGGTGCGATTGGTCCATCGATTCTTCGGCAGTCGAGGCGCCGAAGAGCTGCCGGGTGGTGTCGTCGCGGCTGGGCGTCGGCATCCCCGAGAGCGACATCTTCCTAAACAAGAAATTCTAGCAGAAAAAAAAGCTACTCACGATCCATCCGTCGACGCCGAGATCTCGTTCAGCGCCTCCTTCTTGGGCGAGTCGATCATTTTGTCGTCGACTTTGTCGTAATGCCTGAAAAAAAGAAAGATTGCCACCAAAGAAAAGCCAACATACTGCACAAACTTCTCGCGGTGGAAGGAGACGCGACGACGCCGGAAGTCCGTATTGTCGATATCATCCTGCGGCTCGGTGTGCGGTTGCTTCAAGATCTAAAGCAGAATCAGTCAGCTTACAAGTTTAAGCATACCGAGTTTCTACGCTTGGGTGGCATCGCGTTGTTGCCCTGGAAAGCGGATATTTTGCAGAGAACTGAGAAAGCTTCTGAGAAAATGAAGGAAGAACAGTGAAACAAAACTTTAACAGGTTATCTAAAACCTAACCAACTTTCGAACAGGGCCCCTTCGCGGGGTTCTGAGGATAGAATGGGGGTCTCGGGACGGGCCCCGGCTCCCAAGTGGCGGAAAGTGGTGCGATAAAGCGGGCGCCGAGCCGCTATCCGTCGCCACGCCGAATTAACCAATCAAAATTTACAAATTTTAAACTTATTCCTAGAAGAAAGCTGAAAAAACGTTGCAATCAAATTCATAATTGTGGGGAGGGAGGGCCAGTGGTCACATAAAAGTTTAAATCTCAAAAACGGCCAGAACTGAAAAAGTCGGAAAAATGCCGTCGGTAAAACCTACCAATGCAAATGAAGCTCTAAGCACGCGCGTTATTAGAACTAAGTATGCCTATTTACGGACATCCGGAATTACGGACGCCACGTAGGTTTCGCCTCGAGAAATTGTTCGGGAGGCACTATCAATACTCGGAATTTTTGGGTACTTTATTTTTCACTTCTTTCTTTGCTTTTGTTCAAACCTGAAATTACCTTTTTTTTTAGAAGATGTCGTCGAGCGTCAAGGTGCTGCAGAACCTCTTCGACAACTACCAGAAGACGACGCCGCAAAAGCTGAAGATCGTCGACGCCTACATGTTCTACATCCTGCTCACCGGCATCTTTCAGGTATTTTTGTTTTGAGAGTTGGAAATGTTGCACGGTTCTGGTAATAGACATCGTTATCTGTACTTTGGTCCCAAGGTAAAGTATTTTACGTCTAGAAGCTACGTAATTATTATTATTCAAAGTTTACCTAACTACTTTTTTTGCCTTACTAGCCGTCGACACCCTTTTTTAAAGATGAAGGTCCTTTTCAACTCAAAATTTAGTTCATCTACTGTGTGCTCGTCGGCACGTTCCCGTTCAACGCCTTCCTCTCCGGCTTCATCTCCACGGTCGCCTCGTTCGTGCTGGCTGGTGGGTGACGTTTTATTGTTTCCGGCTCGTCGCAGTTTTGACATAATTTTGGATAGTTGTCAATTCAGTCATCTATTTTGGCGCTTATCTTCAAAAACAATATTGCCATATTGTTTTTATTACATTTCCCGAATATTATTTTCATTTTCAGCCTGTCTCCGAATCCAGGTGAACGAGGAGAACAAGGAGGAGTTCGCCCATTTATCGCCGGAACGCGCGTTCGGCGACTTCATCTTTGCCCACGTCGTCCTCCATCTCGTCGTCACTAACTTCCTCGGCTGAACGCGTTTTTATCGCATTTTTTACATCTTGTGCCTCTGAACACTCCTTATTTATTCGCATTACCAAAGCGTAGACCCCGCCCTTGTTATTACTATCGGTTTCTCTGTGATATATTCCGGGATCTTGCTTTACGAACGTTTTCTTTGTGGGATCGTCACGTGTTCTTCATTCTTCTTGGGTTAATAAAGTCATTCGACAAGGAAATGGTCTTGTTTTTGAACTGGTTGAACCCCAGAACAATATTTGCCTCCTTGACTATTATTTCGTTTTTTTAGATGTTCGGGCTTGGCGATATTACACTTTTCTTTAGGATGTTCGGCATGCACATGCGCTCCGCGCCTCTCCTCAAGAAGGCGTTGACGAAACCAGCCTAGTGAGTTTTTTTTACCTTGGAATTATTTTTTCGCACTTTAATTATTCAAAAAATTTTCTTACCTTTTTAAAAAAGCGTTGTAAAAGTTGATTTTTAGTTGGCGCACTTATGGGACCTACGGGGCGACGGCCTTCCTCCTCGCCGTCTACATCTGTGACTGGAAGGCGGTTGGACAGTACATCCCCCTCTGGAACAAGCGATACATGTGAGTTTTTAACGTTTATTCGTTTTGGTTATCGATAAACCTGCGTTTCTCATATTTGTCTAGCCCAGAAATTGTCTTACGACAACTTTTTCCACGTTTTGACAAATTTATCTGCTTCCGCGTCTCGCTAACCCACTCTTGCTCCGCCCCTTTACGCGCCTGTTTCAGTTCCGATGGCCTGAAGCAGTGCAACGACTCGTTCTTCGTCAGCGTGCCCCAGCCCCCCGCCGAGAAGTAGAGACAGGGAACTAGCCCTCCAAGTCAAGCCATCTATCCACGCCAATTCCCCTATCTTTTCTCTTGTGCACTGGTGTCGTCTAGGAGCCTAGGGCAGATGTATGATATCGTTTTTCGCGACGAATAAATCGGTGAAGTCGTTACCCCTCCCAATTGCATTTCAGGTTGGGAAAAGATCTTTCGTCGCGCAGAATGACGGGACATTGTATGTGATGTTCTTTCTGTAGGAACTAGATTCTATATGTGACTCATGCGCAAAGGGCAGCCTTACGAAATTGTTGTTATTTAGGGCAGGGCGGGGCTAGACTCTTTCCGGACCCGCGGACCCCGGGCGAGGGATCGGTGGTTGGGGTGGAGGGGCATGAGAAAGCCGGGGCCGGTTGCACTGAATGTTTTGCCCATTTCGACGATTCGGCGGTCCCTCATGCGCTCCTGTTCCCCGCCGTTTTTCACAATCATTTTTGGCAGGCGATGCACGTTATTGATTGTCAATTCGTTAGTTTAGTTGTTGGCGGCGAAAACGTGGTTTAGAGAGATAAATGAAGCTTTTCTTTTGTAGTTGCTCGATTTTCGTCGAGAATAATGTTACGAAAGGTTTCATTTACAGACTAGCAATGAGAAATGCCTTTCTGGAACTGATATTTCGACGATTTGACTTTTCATCGGCTAAAACACGAGTTTTAGCGCGAAAAAGAAGCTTGATTCTTTAGTTTTCAAATTCCCATGAAAAAAATGCTAGGAAAAACTTGGACAATCTCCATCTTAGGCTTTCGCGACCTAAAAGAATTTTGGTAATGAAAATGCAGCTTTTCTTCGATAGGTTTTCTCAAGTTGCGCCGAAACTCAGGCTAGGAACGGTTCATTAACCTCCATTTACAGACTACCAATCCGCAATGCCTTTCTGGAGCTTCTCCCGCGAAAAGGACGGCGTCAACCGGGTGGACGAGCTGCTGTCGGAGGGCTATGCTTGCCTCGACCAGGCCCTCATCTACGACGAGGATGGCGATTATGTGAGTATTACATATTTACAATGCCTTCGACAGGGTCAGGCAGTTTTTTGGAGCCTCAAAATGTATGCAAAACCGCCGATTTCACGATGATGAATTCAGGAAAACACCGTGTCGCTGTACGAGCGCGGGCTGAACCTGATCGAGGAGGCTGGAAAGGAAAAGGTAAAGCCAGATTTTACCCCGGAATTCGTTCTTTAGAAAGCCCAAAAATCCGAGCTGTGGGGCACGATGATGGAGGCGAAGCCGAGCGTGGAGAATCGGTATTTTGAAGATTGTGGAAATTTATTTAGCTACGTTTAGTTTGAAAATGCTCAAGAAACAAGGGCCGAAAAATGTGCCGGCCGGTGGTCCTTCCCCGATGGATGCCAGCGTCAGCAAGGAGGTGGAAGCGAAGCGAGCCCAGGAGTTTTCGGAAAAGGTATCGCTTGCTTTTAGTGATAATCTTTGTAATCTCTTTTCAGGACGGCTTCGTGCGCACTGATTCGATTCGAAAAAAGCTCGACACGGCCGGCGAGGAGGAGGCCGAGCTCGTCTACTTTTTGCCGGGCGGCGTCCAGCTGTTTACGATTGATGTGGGGGCTTTTCTCTTACAATCAAAACCGTTTTTTGTATATTAATGGTATATTCCAGCCGGGTAATGAAAGAAAAAGCTAAATTATGACGTTTTAGGGAGAAGAAACGGCCGCGCCCACCTATCCAACAGCTCTGGAGATTCTGCGTTTTGTTGGGGGATCGGCGAACACTACAACGAAGGCTTCGGCCTATATTCAAGTGAGATTTACCTATTATGCCTAAATTTGACTTTTTAGGTCGGTCCCTGGGTGTATCCGCTGATGAAGGACCAGACGCCGGTGCTGAAGAACGAATTCGGAGCCTACGTCGTCGCAAATCCTACCCCAGAGCAGCCAAGTGAGCGGTTTTTAAAGTAAAATGAATCTGGTTGCTTAAGATATGATGGTGGCCATCATGCTGCCCTCTGACCTTGACGAGAAGCTCGTGGAGGAGTTTGAGTACGTGCTGAAGGAGTACGCAGCGCTTGGCGCCCAGGAGGTAAAGATATTTTCGAAAACTAAGCGTTTTTTTAGGTGAAAGACGCGCTGACGAAGGAGGAGCAGCAGCGCCTCAGCGAGCGCATCGCCAATTTGCTAGTGAAAAGTGGGGTTTGGTGATTTTTTTGGGGAGCTGGTCCATCAGCGGAGGGGTTAAATTTACCATCTTCTGTAGGTGCCCTATAATGAAATAGAAACGATTTGAATAAATTTTCCGCTCGCTTTTCATTACTATGAGCTTAGGTCGAATAAAGGAAGTCCCCCCCCCGCTAATGCACCAGAGCCATTTATCACAAGTAAATTTCTAGTAGACATCATAATCTGTCCTACTGCCCGGCAAACAACTAGTCTAAATTACCCCTTTGCCCTCTCCGTCCCCATGTACTTTGCGGTAAACAAGCTTTTCAGCCGGGGAGCAGATCGCCTGGGGAGTGCACGCAACTACGGCCCGTGTAGCCAGTGAAGTGGAAAAGAAGAATGTGCAGTGAGTTTTTAATGGTGTAGTATCAAAATGTAATGAATTAATATCAACTATAATAAAAAAGTAGAGGCGTCCGTCTGTCTGTCTGTCTGTCCGTCGTGTCCCGGATTCAACTCGAAGGGGAAAGGAGCTAGAGCTTAGGTCTCTTCGGATTCGGATAGAGCGTGGTCAGAAACCCCAAAATGATCAAAAAATTATCAAAAAGTTTTAGTTTAAATTATTAAAATTAACATTGAAAGTGGCGCCTTAATAAAACGGGTGGGGGCCCCTTTCCCGGGAGGCCACGCCCCCTTTCCTTTCGCCCCTCTTCCCCAGGCCCTTTCCCGCGCCCAAATAGCTTTTTAAGTTACTTTAATACTTTTAATACTTTTTAATTATGTTAATTTATTATTTAAATCATTTAAAGTATCGGGATGGAATCTAAGTAGTTTTTGAAGGGGATTTCGGCTATGGGGGTATCTGAAGCCACCAGGAAGGTATTTAGGTAGTCTTTGAAGGAGATTTCGGCTATGGGGGTATCTGAAGCCATCCGAAAGGTAGCTATGTTTTTGTGGGGGGGTTGGCTAGAGGAGATATCTGAAGCCATCAGTGTAGGTATTGCCGGGAAGGCATCAGCGTAAGGTGGGGATGAAATGTGGTGGTGTAGAATATGGAGGGTAGCCCGAAGTCCAGCCGATTGCAGTCGCGAAGCGGCTGTAATCGGCTGGTAATTTAATATTGAATTCAGATACCGCTCCGGGCGTCAGCCGACCGAAAACCCGCTCAACATCTCGCCCGCCATCAAGTCGAGCGTCGTCTACATGCACAAGGGCGGCAAAGTGGTCGCCAAGTGCACGCGATATTTGCGTGAGTTAAATTTTTAATGACCTCAATTAAAAACACATTTTAGTCGACAAAATCGGAGACATGGGCGTGTCGGTGGGCCGTTCGATCGCTTCCGGGGCCCGGGACCGATTTGGTGAGGGAAAGGTACGGTTTTTTTGAACTATAAAACAAAATTTAATGATTTAGACGGGCGGCATGGTGACGGGGACGATCACGGTGCTCGGCGGCGGCATCACCAGCGTGTCGACGGTGTGGATCGCGCTGGAGAGCGCGAGCAAGAACCTGTGCAAGTCGATCGCCAACGAGACGGTGGAGAACGTCAGGGTTCAGTACGTTTTTTGAAGTGAACTCTCCTTGAAAATCGATTTTTGGTGTAGAGCCGATTTTTCGACCAGGTTTCGAGTTTTGATCAAAATTGCGACTTTTTCAACATTTTTTGAGAGTTTTAAATGGTTTTTCTAGTGGAAATATCGTTGTAGCTTATTAAAAACGCTATGAAAATACTGTCTATTCACTTACTAAGCATTTATAGGCTTATACATAGGCTATAAATAAGAAGGTTAGCCCCCCCGGAATTGCGAAAGAACCAAATCCTAATACTCCAAAAATCCGACGAGACAAAGACGATTTCCGGGGGCAAGATCGACGCTTTTTGTCGGGGATAGCAAGCGCTTGCCCGGGCTAGCCAGCCCCGCCCTCCCCACCCGAGATATCGGCTTCTCCCCGCGGCTTCTCCCAGCGCGTCGGTGGTTCAGTGGTAGAATGCTCGCCTGCCACGCGGGCGACCCGGGTTCGATTCCCGGCCGACGCAATTCTTTTTTGCTTTTTCAAGCCGGGGCAGCTTTATCATTGTTTTTTTCAGCTACGGAGATGAAGCCGCGCAGACGACGCACCACGGCCTTCACGCCGCCGGGCACACCGGGCTTGCCGCTTTCCAGCTGTGGGATTTGGGACCGAGGTAAAGAATACGTAATAAGTGTAGTTACGTGATTTTAGATCCGTTGCCGGGCGTATGGCACGAAAAGCCGGGCTCCAAGTGCTCAGCGACCTGCACAAGAAGCGCACCGGCCAGGAGCTGATCAACGAGACGAAGCGCGCCCTGCATCCCGAGATGGCCGAGAAGATCAAGGCCTAATTTTTCTGTTGTTTCGATAGCATTTTTCATTGAAGCGATTGTTTCTATTAAAAAATGTAGTCCATTTCCCATTCCCACACTCGCTTGTCTTGCCCAGAAATTGTACAAGATTCTTTTCAACCCGGTGTTTTTGCGATACCAAAAATAAGTTACAAACTGGTCCCGATTTCGCGTTTGCTTCGCTACTGTTGTGATTTGTATCTATTGCCCTTTTCAACGAGATTAATTCTGGTAATGTAAGAATAAAGTTTTTGGAGGATTTATTTGTAAACACGAAAGCATTAGTATGATGTGCAAGGGTGAATATCTAAAGGTTTTCCAAAGAAAATGTAGAAGTCCGTTTTCTAGATAGGTATCGACTAGCCATGACGTTACGAAAGGATAAACGGAAGCGAAGGTACTTTTGAGGCCAATTCAGAAATGTCGCCCGATTCGCGCGCTTTGTAATTCTTTATTTAGAGGTATCATAAGACTGGAGAAATAGCTCTTTTACCTATAAAACATACTATAATACCTTTTAATGCTATTTAGGTTGTATTATTACATAGTTTAACGTAATTATTACTATACCTATAGTAACTTAGCAAATGGTACAGTATTTTCTGGTTAATTCTAACATTTATTTTTTTTTGTTTTTAGAAGAAGCTCCGTCTCGGAAAGTCAACACGCAGACGAAAAGTTCAGCCCGCAATCAGATGACCGCTTCAGCAAGGTGTTCGATGAGGACGATGATGAGGCAGCTCCATCCCGCCAAGAAAACGAGCCAGACGTCGCTGGAGTCAAGCCGGAAGTGAAGGAGGAGATTGAGGACGATGAGGACTTTGTCGACCCTGAGGTAAACGTTGGTATCTATTTTTATGACGGTTTCTTCAGCGAAAGCAACACAAATCGGGCGTCGTCTACTTTTCCGTCATTCCGCCCGGGTTCAACGTGGCCAAGTTGACGGACGAGATGAACATGTACTCGAAGGGATGCGTGGGCCGGATTTATTTGGTGGTGAGTTTGTTGTAAACTGTTTTTCGCTATTCCTGAACGATTTTAGCTTAAAAAAAATCATTTTTTACCCAAATTGGTTAGATTTACGATTTTATCAACACTTCTCAGCTTTTTTTAAAGTTTTTGTGCTTAAAATATCGCTAAGAATTGGCAAAAATCAGATACACTTTTATTTTTAGCCCACAAGAGCCTCCGAAAAGTTCAAGACTCGCACGGCCCCCGAAAACAACGATCGCGGCAGCAAGAAGAAGCGCCACCTCACCTACAAGGAGGGATGGGTGGAATTTTCACGGAAAAGCGTGGCGAAGCGATTGGCGGTTCGTTGAGCGTTCGAAAATAATAATAATGTGCTTTAGAAATCGCTAAATGGCGTAGAAGTGCAGGTGAAGGCCAAGCATCCAGCGTCGGGCACCATGTGGCTTTGCAAGTACCTTCCGGGTTTCAAGTGGATTCATCTGATGGAGCAGATGGATTACGAGAGGAAGGTGGGTATTTTAGAAAGTTTAAACTTATAAAGTTCTTTCTATACGTTGGTTCTTTCGCATTATCGGGGGTGACAACTTTTTTCCTTCGTTTTGGGCTTTTTTGAGTTTTTTTAAACATAACAATAGCGGAAGTGTTTCTAAACGGTTTTTGCAATGCCTAAACATGAAAAATTTACAACTTTTAACGAAAATAGGAAAGATATCGGTTTTTCGAACGAAAATGGCTGACTTTTTGACCAAATTTTTTAGGTTTTTAGCGAGTTTTTCTAGTTGAAATATCGTTTTGTTTTACTAAAAACATTAATAAAACATTTCCTTTTAGTTATTAGGTATTTCTAGACCTATGTAAATACTTCGGTCCCTCCGTTAATGCTAAAGAACCGACTTAAGTATACTCTATACAAAAAAATTTTTCGAGCCCCGATAATACAAAAGCACCTACGTTTTTAATTTTTGAATTTTTAAGATAATTTTCTATTTCCAGGTGTCGATGCAACGGATGAAGGTCGAAATCACGCAAGCCAAGAAGGTCGCCGAGCACTTTGCCACCCAAGTCGAGAAGGGCGCCCATCTGCGCAAGCTCGAGGAGAAGGTGCTGAAGAAGGGCGGCCTCTGGGAGAAGCACCAGCGCGACATCGAGCAGCGGAAGAGCCGCGCCGGCAAGAAGAAGCCCAAGACGGACCGCCAGGCCGCCAAGGACGAGGACGATTTGATGAAGCTGATCTACGCCGACTAGGCGGTTTTTTTCGTGTGTTGGTTAATTGTTTTACAATGTTGTTATTTCTTGTTCCTGGTTGACGTTTAGGGATAAAGTTTTGCATGGAAACGTGATGAAATGCCTCGTTTATCACCAGATATACCAGACCAAGAATTCGACGACAATGGGACGCTATCAATCAGATGTGAAAGAAAAACTGGATATGCTTTTTGCGGTTAAAAAGTTGATGCTGCGGGGTGGGGCGTTGAGCGCGGCGGACGGTGCTGCTCACTTCTGCTCGATGTTCGGGACTTGGAGGCGCTCTGGAAATGATGATGTCTTTTAGGGTTAGAGCAGCATTCGAAGTTTTCAAAGCCCTCAAAGCACTGACGAAGCGTGTCGGTGGGGAACGTCTTCAGGACGATCACCTTCTCGCCGATCGTCAGCTTCTCGTTGATGCGGTAGAGCGGGCGCATCACCTGGAAGTCATGAAAGATACGTTCGAAAAGACTTTTCTTACTTTAGCACTATAAAACTTACTTCGGGAAATTTTTATACCGACATTTTTAACTCGTCAGCCACCCGCATCCCCAACCTATTGTATCTCGGCTCCACGCTGTGCTACCGGGTTGTAAAGTACACCAAAATACTAAGAAGACCAAGACGAACATTTTGGTATACTTTGCACTCCTGCAGCACACCGGGGGAGCCGAGATAACAGGGTCGTGGAGCAGTTCACGGTTCCCCTCGAGCCGTACCTATTGTATCTTGGCTTCCCGTTGTGCTACAGGGTTGTAAAAGATATCAAAATGTTCGTCTTGGTCTCTTGAGCATTTTGGTATATTTGTCACACCTGTAGATGAACAGGGAGCCCCCCGCTAACAGTCCAGAACCACCGAAAATCAGTGTTCACTAAAAAACCTACCCCAAAGGCGGCCGCACAATAGTTGTGGTAGGCGATGCCGAAACCGATCAGCGAGAACACGGTGCCCACGGCCAACATGTAGATGTAGATGAGCTGCGCGCTCTCGAAAAGCTCGCCCGCCACGTTGATGTCGTCGCCTGCCTGGGAGATGAGTGAGTTTTAAGCTTTTCGAGAGCCTATACCGAGGAGCTCGAAGTTCGAGCTAGAGCCCTAAACGTATAAAAAGGAACTTACGGTGTTGCCGACCATTTTTGGAGGCGCCGCGCAGGGAGTGGTTTTTTTTGAAGCTTTTTGCTCTAGGTTTTGGGGCAGAAAAATTACTTCCGGTTATGTAGATTACCGACAAGTTCAAGATGGATTTAAAGCAGCGGCTCATACTCGTGAAAACCTGTAAAAACTTTTCTTATTTTCTTGACTTTTTTCATAGTTTCGTGGTTTACTCCTTCGTCGCGTAGCTCAAAGCGGGCTTGCTCAGCTTCTTCCAGCATCGAATGGGGCTGAACTGTTAGGGGGGGGTTTCTGGAGGAAGGAAACCACTTTCTGTTTTTGAACCCAGACCTATTTTTTTGATGATCAATTATGTATTTTTATCGTGCTTTTCGTAGCTTTTTATTGCGATAAAGTATAAAAATATTTTTAAAATTTGTAAAAATTCGAAAATTTGACCTTTTTTTAGTCATTTTTCATACATTTTCAACCAAAGGCAAACATTTTCAAAAATTTCATTGGTTTTATATCGTTTTTATATCTAAAACTATGTAAAATGCTATAAAAATGGGCTATATTTTTTATAGGGCCGTAACGAATCTCAGGAAAAAATTGGTTCCCCCCCCCGCTAACAGTCCAGCTCCGCCGAATCAACCGCAGCTTCATCTGGCCTGATCAAGCTTCTCCATCCCCCGTTCTTCCGCAAAATGCACCCGAATTGACCGGTCACCGAGCCCATGTAATCAATAGGCTTCTCCTCCGGTAAAAACAGTCGGAGGGGGGGTGGCGAACGAATAAAACGTTACGGGCTTCAGAATGCCGCTGATAACAGGGCATTCTGGAGAAATCAGCTTTAGGTCCCCAGCTTCCACCTTTTAGCGCTTATTCGGGGTAAGCTCGCGGTTAGATCTGCATCGATTTTTTTCGCGTTTTTTTAGCGTTCACCTCTCTTTTTTAGCTTCTTTTTTGTTTTAACAGCTTTAAAACTTTGCGTTTGGTTTTGCGAAACCCACGAAAAGCCGTTTTTTTGGTTCTCTTGCATTATCGGGGGCGGGGGGAGGAGTAATCCGGCGGAAAACGCTACTTTCTAAGCATCATTTTTCCGAATAAAAAGGCAGTGTTTCTGATTTCTAAATTGTTTTTAAAACTCCTAAACGCAACAAATCTACATCGTTTTATCAAGGAAAAATACAAAGACATGGATTTTTCGATCGAAAATGGTCGATTTTCCACCAAAATGTCAGTTTTTAACTTTTTTTTTGGGTTTCTTAGATAGTTTGCCACTTTAAAAATTGTTAAATTTTACGGAAAACACGATTAAAAGACTTTCTATTACATTACTAACCCTAGCTCGAAAAAATTGGCCCTTTTCTGATTTTTTTTTTGATCTGACACCGTGTCGAAAAAGCGGAAAATATTTTTCTTTTCTTTTTTTGCTCAGAGCGCATTTTTTTGCACGTTTTTTCTGTAATTTAAACTCCAGGAAATGAGCCGAACCCTGCAGCTTTGTCTATTTTTGGCGGTTCTCTCGACTGTGGCGCTGGGCCGGAAGTGCTACAATTGCTCGAGCTTCGACCCGCACTGCGACGACAACTATGCACGTTATTTGATTGGTAGGAATTTCGGTTGTAGTCTGATAGGCCTTAAAAAGTTTATTATAGGATTAAAAATTCAAAATCGACGCCTGGAACTCTTATTAAAAAAAGTTTGGCGCGACAACGCGATTATGTTCTTTTTTCTTAACTTAACTTTGCCTTTAGCATCCATTAAATCTATTTCAAAACGAATACTACTTAAATTCTCTATAAAACGACTAGTTTCTGAATTTAAACCAGTTTTTCGGGTAGAAACCCGTACTCTGGAGAGTTTATTCTGCGTTTAACGAGCTGTTCGTGGCCAGGCAGCGCTGATAAGCGCCAAATTTGACGTAGCACGGCTAAGAAATGGAGGAAAATTACTCGAAGTTCTCAGTAGTTCTAAGCCTAAGCCTCTGCCTAAGCCTATACCTAAGCTTAAGCCTAATACTAAGCCTAAGCCGAAGTCTAAGCCTAAGCCCCAGCCTAAAGCATAAAACCCAAAATTCTTAGATTGCCCCCCGATCAAGGTGAACGGCCAGGAGAAGCTCGTCGTTGGGTGCCGGAAGATCGATCAATGGGTCTATGATGAGCACACAATGTTCAGGTGAGGAGAAGGGCAAGCTAGCAGTGACCATTTGTGGATCGGAATTGAAACGTGAATTTTTAGGGAGTGCGCCTACACGGGCCGCGACGTCAGCAACAAGCAGAGCAAGGTAGGCGATGGGTTTTCTTTACTTTCCTCTATATCTCTCGCTCTCTCTCTCTCTGTCTCTCTCTTTCTATCTCGCTAACTATCTCTCTCTAACACACACCCTCTGCCTTTCCCTCTCTGTCTCTGGCTCTCTCGCTGTCTCTCTCGCTCTCCCTGTCTCTTTCTGGCTCTCTCCCTCTATCTCCCTCTCGCTCTCTCTCCCTCTCGCTCTCTCTCCCTCTCTCTCGCTAATTCTCTCGCTCTATCTCGCTCCTGCTCACGCTAAAGTTTCCAGGGCTCCCTCGGCATCACCCGCATCTCGAACCAGTGCAAGGACAAAGATGGCTGCAACTCTGCCCCCACTCAGCCATTGATGCTCCTCCTCCCTGCCCTCTTCCTCCTCGTCGCCCTCTTTCACTAGGCCTCGATTTTCATAGCGTAATCGTTTAACCTAGCGTTGATTTTATTGATTTTTCGATTTTCGTTTTTCTTGACAATTATTCAGTAAGGCATTCAATTTATTGCACGGGCAAGCACACACCATGGATTCTGAGGGTATCACAATGTCTTCGCGAGGCCTAGAAATCTATGCAAATTCTTCGAAAGTCGGAAACACGGAAAGTTGAAATCTGGATTTGATTACGACATGGAATTATTTGTGGAGGGGAGCAGGACCTGGATTTTGGAAATGAGAAATTGGAGCTCCTATTAATGCGTGATGGCTATGAATTTGCGTCTATATAAATTAAATTTAGGGTATTGGGCCAGGAAGATAAGCCTAAGCCTAAGCCTAAGCCTAAGCCTAAGCCTAAGCCTAAGCCTAAGCTTAAGCCTAAGGCTAAGCCTAAGCCTAAGCCTAAGCCTAAGCCTAAGCCTAAGCTTAAGCTTAAGCCTAAGCCTAAGCCTAAGCCTAAACCAAGCCTAAGCTAAGCTTAAGCTTATCTAAGCCTAAGCCAAGCCTAAGTCTAAGCCAAGCCTAAGCCTAAGCCAGGCCTAAGCCTAAGTTAAGCCAAGCCTAAGCCTGAGCCTAAGCTCAAAAATAAAAACAAAAGGGGTTACCAAACAAATTGACTCGTATTTTCGGGCCGGGAATTCATACAAACTACATTAGTTAAAACCTTAACATTTGGTCATCATCTTGTGGGGGAGCGGAATGTGTTTCAGATGAGCTAGAAAAATTGAGGGTGAGATTTGCATAAATTTACATAAAATATAATTAGCATAATTTGATTGCATGAGAGCTACCCAGGCTACAATATTCAAAAAAAAGGCAAAAACAAACAATAAAAATGGAGGAATTAAGCTTGCTATCAAAAGTCTGAAGATGCTACGAGATTTTGGCGCTCGAGTTCGAAATTTTGAGCCAAATTTAACCTATGCCAAGCTCAAGAGAAGCCTAAGCATAAGCCTAAGCCAAGCCAAGCCTAAGCTTAAGCCTAAGCATAAGCCTAAGCCAAGCCTAACCCAAGTCTAAACCAAGCCTAAGCCAAGCCTAAGCTAAGCCTAAGCCAAGCCTAAGCCAGGCCTAAGCTTCAACCTAAAAGCAAAACAATGCCCCGGCCAGGACTCGAACTCGGACCCCAAACCCTGCTGCCCACTACTCTACCCACTGCGCTACACGGGCGGGTCGTCGGGTCTAAATAGTCCTTGCAACGGCTCCCTTCCTGCTGTTCTTGACGTCGGAGCACCGTCAGTTGGTTCTCGTTCTCCACCGAGCCTTGGCTGCCTAAAAATCGGAATTTTTCGGCAGTCACTATACGCAAAGAGGACAGTCGCGTATTCGGGACAAAACACGAAAACGTGGAAGCCATTTCCGGAATGGAATGCGAAGCCCGAATGCTCGTTTGAGTGCGAACTTACTGTTTGAGAAAAATGAGGAGAACATCCCGTTAAGACCGCCTAGAAATGGGGGCAGGCTAGCAGGGAGGATTTGAGTCGATAAAACTACTCCCAACCTCTAGTAGAAGTCTAAGCCTAAGCCTGAGCCTGAAGCCTAAACCTAAGCCTTATTAGCCTGAGCCAGCAGCGTAAGCCCAAGCCTAAACCTAAGCCAAGCATAAGCCTGAAGCCTAAGCTCAGCCTAAACCTAAGCCTAAGCCTAAGCCTAAGCCTAAGCCTAAACCTAAACCTAAGCCTAAGCCTAACTAGGGAAGTATCTGAACTTGCCATCGAACTTTGAGAAGTCAGATACACCATTCGATGCGCCGTGACAAGAGGATTCCAAATATGTAATAAAATCAACGGGAGCGCATAACGGTAAAAAGTTATGAGCATTTTAAGTTTTACATTGAAATACGCCGCCGCGAGAAGAGCCCCTCCCAGCGCACCCTGTTCATCGGTCTCGTGGCCTAGTGGTTTGCGCATGGGTCTCTGGGCTGTATGACCAGGGTTCGGATCCCCTCACGATTTTTATTTTTTGCTTTTTGACCGGTTCCTACTTTTTGCATGTCCAAACTCGGGAATAAGTTTTTCTTTACTGTGTGACCCCTAAAAAGCACCAGCGATGATAAAATAACCCCCGGCAACAAAACTAGGATCGGACGCTCTCTATATCAAAGTTGGCAAAATCGTCTGAAACCGCCCTTTTAAGGCTCTGTGCGAATTCGAAGAATTTAATTTGTCAAAAATGGAACAGTACATCTCGATCAGCAGAAAATTCCCTTTCGAATGAGCTATCTTACCTGCGCTTTACGCCAAATTCTCGAAAAGTCTTTGGCTAGCTGGCCATACCCTGCCCTTACCCTGCATTCCAAAAATATTTTTTGCGGAAATTTTTGGCAGCCGTATGTAATATAGCTCATTTGAAAGAGCTTTCTTTGTTGAACAAGGAGCACTAATTAGTTTAGACTAAATTCCATTCCGCGCGATGATACAGGGCCTCAAAGATGCTGTTTTTCGTCATTTTGCCGACTTTGAAGCCTCATAACTTTTTACCGTTATGCGCTCCCGTTGATTTTATTACATATTTGGAATCCTCTTGTCACGGCGCGTCGAATGGTGTATCTGACTTCTCAAAGTTCGATGGCAAGTTCAGATACTTCCCTAGTAAGCCTAAGCCTAAGCCTAAACCTAAGCCTAAGCCTAAGCCTAAGACTAAGCCTAAGCCTAAGCCTAAACCTAAGCCTAAGCCTAAGACGAAGCCTAAGCCTAAGCCTAAGCCTAAGCCTAAGCCTAAGACCACAGCCCTAAGCCTAAGCCTAAGCTCAAGCCTAAGTCTACCCTAGCAAAAATTATTTACGAATGGTAAGTCAGGCTCGCAAGAATAATTTAAGGATTCAGAGGCAGGCCAGCAAAGACCTTTTAGGAATTGGGCAACCTAGCAGAGATCTTTTGGAATCGAAGGTAGGCTAGCAGAGACTCTTTGCGGAACTTACCCATAAATGAAGAAGTGCGACTCCCCGCTTCGCGGGGCGAAATTCCGCCCCCATCCGTGTGGACGCTGTTGTTCCGCAGGCTGCGCATCATTTCGCCTCTGAAAATTTTTAAATAAAAAAACAAGGCTTTTTCCAAGACATTCCAAATGACATTTTACAAAATTCGATTACGGGGAAAGTTAAATTAATAAAACAATTGGTTGAATACGGTAGCTGTGAAAATCGCACGGCAAAAGCGGGTTTTACACGTTATTTTTGGCCATTAATCCACACGTCAGTTTTCATAAATCAAAGCGGTAGTACGCGGCATTCCAGTGAACGTAAGTAGTACGCGGGAGTACGCCGGAGTACGCATGCAGTTTTTATATACATAAATTAATGCAAAAACGCCAAAAACGGGAATATTACCGCATGGCCGCCCGGGAAACGCTGGGCAGTCGACTCCTAATTAGCATAAGGTGTTTAAAAGCTGTTTTAATAAGCTCTTTTTGATTGGGATTATTAACAAATATAGCCAAAATTTAAGGCATTTTTAGTAAAATTACGGTAGGTTTCAAAAGCCAATTTTTAAGAAGCCAGGTTTGAAAAGCTTGGCCACAACAGAAATTGTGAAAGAAAAGGAATAGGGGAGTTCTACCGAGTTCTCTGTCTTTCCCTCTCTCTCGCTCTCCCTCTCTCTCTTTCTCACTCTCGCTCTCTCTCCCCCTCTCTATCTCCTCTTTCTCTCTCTCTATCTCTCTCTCTCTCTCTATCTCTCTCTCTCGCTCTCTCTCGATTTCTTTCTGCGCGCTGTCTCTCTCCGCGCTGTCTCTCTCTCTGTGTCTCTCTCTTTCTCTCTCCTTCCCTCTCTCCCCCCTCTCTCTCTCACTCTCTAAACCCCAAATTCTCCAACCTAGCGCTCGGTTGCCTGCTCAACATTGGCTCGTGCTCATCGTCAAGATCCAGCAGATTCTCCCGGCTTCCGAATCGGCTTTCTGTCGAATCGAGTGAGGTTGCGGCTCCATCATCGTCATATTGACCTGATGCTCCTCCCGATACACTCCCATTCGGCAGGTCGCCTAGAAAATAGGCGGAAATATTAGCTATCGTAAGCGCAGGGGTGAGAGCGCCTGCAATATTATTATTTTTAGCTGCACCCTCGTCTAGAGCTTACTCCTAAGCCTAAGCCTAAGCCTAAGCCCAGCCTCAACCTAAGCCGAATCCTAAACCTAAGCCTAAACCTAAGCTTTCCCAGTGCTACCGTTACTTTTCAGGATTTAAATGGATGATGACCCGAAGATCCGCCTCTTTCTACTCACCCTCCGTCTCCTGCGCGTCCATATCCGCCAGACTGGCCATTAAAGCGTCGTGCTGCCCATCTACCGTCATCTGGGTGGCCAGCTCGGAGACGGTCGCCCGTTTCCGGCTCATGTTTGGCAGCGGGGTCGAGGCGACGATGCTTGGGGCCTGAAAAAGATAAATAGCAATTTTTTTGCCTTCCCAGGCCCTTTAAAACGTTCTAATCCTATTTTAAAGGGGGAGTGACATCTTCAAAAAAGGCTGCCGAAGCCTAAGCCTAAGCCTAGCCTGAGCCTAAGCCTGAGCCTAAGCCTAAGCCCAAACCTAAGCTTAAGCTTAAGCCTAGGCAAAGCCCAAGTCTAAGCCCAAGTCTAAGCCTAAGCCTAAGTCTAAGCCCATCACTCCCATTTAACGCTATCGTAACCCACGCGACTCCAGCTATTCCTTCGGCTCGGCATCCGGCTGTCCAGCTCGAGCTCGGGCTCCCGGTCATCCTCGTCCTCCTCCTCCTCTTCCTAAAACCCAGAAAATTGCACAAATTTGCATTTTTAAAAGGGTCACGTCTACTCCCGGTGGGCAAGAAATAAATATGAGAAAATATAGAAATAATTACGTTTAAAAATACATATTTTAAAGGCAGGGGCTACTGTATATACCGTACCTCGGTGGTCTGGGTTATGGACCTCTAAAATTAATTTAAAGGTATTGAAATAAATTGTCGTTTTAAAGGGATGGTCCCTTACGTGCAAAATGGTGGTCATCCGCTTCTCCTGCCTCATCCCGGGCACGTTCAGCCCGAAGCCGCGAAGCGTCTCGATCAGCAGCCGAAGCAGGGTCCAATCGCCGAGTGGAAGCTGAAAAATTGGGCTTGAAAATTCCTAAATTATCTTTGCTAGCCTGCCCTTTCCTGAAGAATCTCGGCTAGCCTGCCCTTTCCTAATCTCTGCTAGCTTGCCCCTACCCTTCCCCAAAGATCTCCGCTATCCACCCCCTAAAAACCCACATCCAATGCCGCCTGCAGCTCGGGCAGCTGACACGTCGACAACACCAAGCCGTTCAGGTTCAACGCCCGGAATTTCTCGATCAGGGTGTCAAGCCTAAATGTAATTTTGAGGTTTAGATGGATTACGGCAGCCTAAAAACGAGTACGGTAGCCCGAAAAAATTACCGTTTCTGCGGGATGTCGAGCCGTTTGATTAGCTGGACGAGTTGGTCGATGCGCATCTCGGCCAGGGGGACTTCTACCATTTGCCAGGTCTTATCGTCCTGAAAAAATGAGGTTGAGGTAGTTCTCTCTCACTTTCTACGCCTAAGCCTAAGCCAAACTTAAGTCTAAGCAAAGCCTGAACCGCCTAAGTCCGACCGAAGAATAAGCTAAGCCTAAGCCTAAGCCTAAGCCCAAGCTCAAGCCGAAGCCCAAACCCAGACCTTAGCCTAAGCTTAAGCCTAAGCCTAACCCAAGCCTAAGCCTAAGCCTAAGCCTAAGCGCGAGCCAAGCCTCAGCCTAACCCAAGCTTAACCTCGAATGCCCACCGTAAAGAGATGCTTGGCCGTGCCGCTCAACCCAAGCGGCCGCTCCTCAAGTTGGGGCTGTTCGACGCCTTCTCGCTTTTCTGAAAATTTTGGATTTCTAGAGGGCTACAGTAACCAAAACTCAGCCTTCCAAGTCCCTTTAAACCCAAAAACTCCTCACCTCTGATCAACTTCCGGAGATACGGGTCCAAATTCGAGGTGCAAGGGACGAAGCGCTTGACGAGGCTGACGGTCAGCTGCTCTGGTACCCCTTCCGCTCCAACGGCTCGCAGAAACGACTCGAAGTTCTCGGGGTTGCGGTCCTGCGTGAAGAGCGGATCGTTCTTTGGTAGATGGGCACGGAGCTGCAGGTAGATGTCGAACAGGCCCTTCGAGCCGTTGTTTGATTCGACCGCGTACTCGATTAGCCAGCACATACGCACCGGCCATTGTTCGAGCATCGACACCTAGACGTTCAGGGTTGGAAGGCAAGGTGGCAGCGATTTTTGAGGAATTAGTGGGCAGGCCAGCAACTGTCATTTAGGAATCTGAGGGTAAGGTAACAGAATTGATTTAAGATTGGGTAAGCTAGCAGCGATTCTTTAGGAAAGGGCAGGCTAGCAGAGACCACTTAGAAAACCTACCCAATGCCCAAGCGCCAGCCACGAGAACTCGATCTCAAAAGCTCTCAGGAGACGCCCCGTCAGCGTCAACGCATTAATGATACGTCGCATGGCTCGAGGGTTGATCGCCGAGAAGTAATCGTCAGCCATTAGTGCCTCGCCGACCGATCTTGTGCCTAAAAACGACCTCATGGAGTACGTGGGATGGATTTTCGGTCATCTCTCCTAATGCCATATCTCCTAATGCCATATCTCCTAAGCCTAAGCCAAAGCCTAAGCCAAAGCCAAAGCCTAAGCCTAAGCCTAAGCCTAAGCCTAAGCCTAAGCCTAAGCCTAAGCCTAAGCCTAAGCCTAAGCCTAAGCCTAAGCCTAAGCCTAAGCCTAGCCTAAGCCTAAGCCTAAGCCTAAGCCTAAGCCTAAGCCTAAGCCTAAGCCTAAGCCTAAGCCTAAGCCTAAGCCTAAGCCTAAGCCTAAGCCTAAGCCTAAGCCTAAGCCTCCAAGCCTAAGCCTAAGCCTAAGCCTAAGCCTAAGCCTAAGCCTAAGCCTAAGCCTAAGCCTAAGCCTAAGCCTAAGCCTAAGCCTAACCAAGATTAGAGAAGCTAAAAGTCATATCTGCTCTGACCTATCTATCCTGGGAGAGGACCAGGTGGGGGGCGAGTGGGGGATCGAGGGAAAGCACGGCGGCGCCCGGTTCAATTACCCAAGTTTGAGGTCAATTACCTAATTTTGCGTTATATTCATTTTTCCTAAATTAATTTTTCCTAAACATCATTTATCCTAAAAACCTTGCTTCCCTTTTTTGTCGAGATCTAATATAATATCAACTATAATAATTTTGTTGTGGTCTCCGTCTGTCTGTGTGAAGCCGAATTCAACTCGAAGGGGAAAGGAGCTAGAGCTTAGCTCTCTTCGGATTCGGATAGAGCGTGGTCAGAAACCCCCAAACTGATAAAAAAATTACGAAAAAGTTTTTGTTTAAATTATTAAAATTAACTTTGAAAGTGGCGCCTTAATAAAACGAGTGGGGGCCCCTCTCCCCGGGAGGCCACGCCCCCTTTCTCTTCGCCCCTCTTCCCCAGGCCCCTTCGCGCGCCCAGATGCCTTTTTGAGTTACTTTAATACTTTTAATACTTTTTAATTATGTTAATTAATTATTTAAATTATTTAAAGTATCTGAAGCCATCGGGAAGGGATTTAGGTAGTTTTTGAAGGGGATTTCAGCCATGGGGGATATCTGAAGCCATCAGGGAGGTATCTAAGTAGTTTTTGAAGGGGATTTCAGCCATGGGGGATATCTGAAGCCATCAGGGAGGTATCTAAGTAGTTTTTGAAGGGGATTTCAGCCATGGGGGGTATCTGAAGCCATCGGGAAGGGATTTAGGTAGTTTTTGAAGGGGATTTCAGCCATGGGGGGTATCTGAAGCCATCGGGAAGGGATTTAGGTAGTTTTTGAAGGGGATTTCAGCCATGGGGGTATCTGAAGCCATCGGGAAGGGATTTAGGTAGTTTTTGAAGGGGATTTCAGCCATGGGGGGTATCTGAAGCCATCGGGAAGGGATTTAGGTAGTTTTTGAAGGGGATTTCAGCCATGGGGGTATCTGAAGCCATCGGGAAGGGATTTAGGTAGTTTTTGAAGGGGATTTCAGCCATGGGGGATATCTGAAGCCATCAGGGAGGTATCTAAGTAGTTTTTGAAGGGGATTTCAGCCATGGGGGATATCTGAAGCCATCAGGGAGGTATCTAAGTAGTTTTTGAAGGGGATTTCAGCCATGGGGGGTATCTGAAGCCATCGGGAAGGGATTTAGGTAGTTTTTGAAGGGGATTTCAGCCATGGGGGGGTATCTGAAGCCATCGGGAAGGGATTTAGGTAGTTTTTGAAGGGGATTTCAGCCATGGGGGGTATCTGAAGCCATCGGGAAGGGATTTAGGTAGTTTTTGAAGGGGATTTCAGCCATGGGGGGTATCTGAAGCCATCGGGAAGGGATTTAGGTAGTTTTTGAAGGGGATTTCAGCCATGGGGGGTATCTGAAGCCATCGGGAAGGGATTTAGGTAGTTTTTGAAGGGGATTTCAGCCATGGGGGTATCTGAAGCCATCAGGAAGGTATTTAGGTAGTTTTTGAAGGGATTTCAGCCATGGGGGGTATCTGAAGCCATCGGGAAGGGATTTAGGTAGTTTTTGAAGGGGATTTCAGCCATGGGGGTATCTGAAGCCATCAGGAAGGTATTTAGGTAGTTTTTGAAGGGGATTTCAGCCATGGGGGTATCTGAAGCCATCGGGAAGGGATTTAGGTAGTTTTTGAAGGGGATTTCAGCCATGGGGGGTATCTGAAGCCATCGGGAAGGGATTTAGGTAGTTTTTTGAAGGGGATTTCAGCCATGGGGGGGTATCTGAAGCCATCGGGAAGGTATTTAGGTAGTTTTTGAAGGGGATTTCAGCCATGGGGGGTATCTGAAGCCATCGGGAAGGGATTTAGGTAGTTTTTGAAGGGGATTTCAGCCATGGGGGTATCTGAAGCCATCGGGAAGGGATTTAGGTAGTTTTTGAAGGGGATTTCAGCCATGGGGGTATCTGAAGCCATCAGGAAGGTATTTAGGTAGTTTTTGAAGGGGATTTCAGCCATGGGGGTATCTGAAGCCATCGGGAAGGGATTTAGGTAGTTTTTGAAGGGGATTTCAGCCATGGGGGGTATCTGAAGCCATCAGGAAGGTATTTAGGTAGTTTTTGAAGGGGATTTCAGCCATGGGGGGTATCTGAAGCCATCAGGAAGGTATTTAGGTAGTTTTTGAAGGGGATTTCAGCCATGGGGGGTATCTGAAGCCATCGGGAAGGTATTTAGGTAGTTTTTGAAGGGGATTTCAGCCATGGGGGGGTATCTGAAGCCATCGGGAAGGGATTTAGGTAGTTTTTGAAGGGGATTTCAGCCATGGGGGGTATCTGAAGCCATCGGGAAGGGATTTAGGTAGTTTTTGAAGGGGATTTCAGCCATGGGGGTATCTGAAGCCATCGGGAAGGGATTTAGGTAGTTTTTGAAGGGGATTTCAGCCATGGGGGATATCTGAAGCCATCAGGGAGGTATCTAAGTAGTTTTTGAAGGGGATTTCAGCCATGGGGGATATCTGAAGCCATCAGGGAGGTATCTAAGTAGTTTTTGAAGGGGATTTCAGCCATGGGGGGTATCTGAAGCCATCGGGAAGGGATTTAGGTAGTTTTTGAAGGGGATTTCAGCCATGGGGGGTATCTGAAGCCATCGGGAAGGGATTTAGGTAGTTTTTGAAGGGGATTTCAGCCATGGGGGGTATCTGAAGCCATCGGGAAGGGATTTAGGTAGTTTTTGAAGGGGATTTCAGCCATGGGGGTATCTGAAGCCATCGGGAAGGGATTTAGGTAGTTTTTGAAGGGGATTTCAGCCATGGGGGGTATCTGAAGCCATCGGGAAGGGATTTAGGTAGTTTTTGAAGGGGATTTCAGCCATGGGGGTATCTGAAGCCATCAGGAAGGTATTTAGGTAGTTTTTGAAGGGGATTTCAGCCATGGGGGGTATCTGAAGCCATCGGGAAGGGATTTAGGTAGTTTTTGAAGGGGATTTCAGCCATGGGGGTATCTGAAGCCATCAGGAAGGTATTTAGGTAGTTTTTGAAGGGGATTTCAGCCATGGGGGGTATCTGAAGCCATCGGGAAGGGATTTAGGTAGTTTTTGAAGGGGATTTCAGCCATGGGGGGTATCTGAAGCCATCGGGAAGGGATTTAGGTAGTTTTTGAAGGGGATTTCAGCCATGGGGGGTATCTGAAGCCATCGGGAAGGGATTTAGGTAGTTTTTGAAGGGGATTTCAGCCATGGGGGTATCTGAAGCCATCGGGAAGGGATTTAGGTAGTTTTTGAAGGGGATTTCAGCCATGGGGGGTATCTGAAGCCATCGGGAAGGGATTTAGGTAGTTTTTGAAGGGGATTTCAGCCATGGGGGGTATCTGAAGCCATCGGGAAGGGATTTAGGTAGTTTTTGAAGGGGATTTCAGCCATGGGGGGTATCTGAAGCCATCAGGAAGGTATTTAGGTAGTTTTTGAAGGGGATTTCAGCCATGGGGGGTATCTGAAGCCATCGGGAAGGGATTTAGGTAGTTTTTGAAGGGGATTTCAGCCATGGGGGGTATCTGAAGCCATCGGGAAGGGATTTAGGTAGTTTTTGAAGGGGATTTCAGCCATGGGGGGTATCTGAAGCCATCGGGAAGGGATTTAGGTAGTTTTTGAAGGGGATTTCAGCCATGGGGGGTATCTGAAGCCATCAGGAAGGTATTTAGGTAGTTTTTGAAGGGGATTTCAGCCATGGGGGGTATCTGAAGCCATCGGGAAGGTATTTAGGTAGTTTTTGAAGGGGATTTCAGCCATGGGGGGTATCTGAAGCCATCGGGAAGGGATTTAGGTAGTTTTTGAAGGGGATTTCAGCCATGGGGGTATCTGAAGCCATCAGGAAGGTATTTAGGTAGTTTTTGAAGGGGATTTCAGCCATGGGGGGTATCTGAAGCCATCGGGAAGGGATTTAGGTAGTTTTTGAAGGGGATTTCAGCCATGGGGGATATCTGAAGCCATCAGGGAGGTATCTAAGTAGTTTTTGAAGGGGATTTCAGCCATGGGGGATATCTGAAGCCATCAGGGAGGTATTTTGGTAGATTTTTAACGGAATTTCGACCCGGAGGGGTATCTGAAGCCATCGGGAAGGTAGCTATGTTTTTGTGGGGGGGGTTGGCTAGAGGAGGTATCTGAAGCCATCAGTGTAGTTATTGCCATGAAGGCATCAGCGTAAGGTAGGGATTAAATGTGGTGGTGTAGAATATGGAGGGTGGCCCGAAGTCCAGCCGATTGCAGTCGCGAAGCGGCTGTAATCGGCTGGTAAATATAATATTTTACTTCCCTCCTAAAACATAATATTTTAGGAGATATGTAGTTAGGAGATATGACAATCACCCGGTGGGCTGTACTCACCGACGATGAGCGCCGACTGGGTCTGCTTCCTGGCTGTCGAATTCCCGAGGCCAGCCCCGCTCAACGATAGGTGGGACCCATGGAAGGTGTCCTGGCGCCGGAAGCGCTCCTTCCAGTCGAGGTACGTCTCCCGCTTCTCGCGCAGCCTGTTCTGCAACTGGCGCAGGGCCGAGTTGTGCAGGAAGAAGGGCATGTTGACGATGTTCTTCAGGTAGTCGGCACCGGTCAGGTCGGTTCCGGAGAGGGCACTAAAAAACATGGATGGGAGGTTCATGGATTCCAAGTTCAAGAATCTCTGCTAGCCTGCCTAGCTAATTTCCTCAAAAATCTCTGCTAGCTCGCCCTCCATCCCCACCTATGAATATTGTGATTCATCGCCGAGATGATGATGTGCGGATCGACGGCGATGACCACGACAAAGGGCCGATTCTTTCTCGCCGAGAACAACAACTCCAACGAGTCCAGCGTGGTCACCATCTTCTCCTGCTCGCAGTTGTCGAGTCCGTCTACTACCTATAACGAAGGGATAGAGATAGAGAGTGAGAGCGAGAGAGAGACATAGAGAGCGAGAATGAGAGAGAGAGACGTACGACGACAAGTCGCGTCTGGCTGTTGGTGAACGCGTCAAGGGAGCGGATCATGTCAGCAAGGAGGTCGACCTCAGTCTGGAGCTTGTGCATAAGGCCTGGAAAGGTGAGGATGAGTGTGAGGACGAGGCTAAACCTAAGGCTAAGCCTAAGCTAAGCCTCGGCCTCAGCACACCACTCACCCTCAAATCTCAGCTTGTGCATGGCCCGAGCGGCCGAGTTGATCCTCCCCTTCGGCACGTTCTGAGTACCATGGCGTACGGCCACAAAGAGCGGGTAGGCCAGCATCAGAATCAGGAAGACGAGGAACACCAATGACACGAAGAGGTAGCTGCTGAAATCGCCAAGTCAAAGGGGTAAAAATCATCCTGCCACGCTCCCTTTAAAGTGCCCAAAAACCGGAAACCGGGACAAAAATGGTGTGTCACCTGATTAAGTGTCGAAAATAATGGCTGAAAAGTTGGATTTGGGGGTGTCACGGTCCCTTTAAAGTCGTAGATCTCAGCTTTCGATGGTTTTTGATGTCATGCTCCCTTTAAACCGGCTCACCTCGATCCGGTGTTGAACGTCCTGCCCGAGAAGAGCCACGCGATCATGAAACTCTCGAACAGTATGAGGGAGAGGATGATGGCGGCAGCAAGGAGTACGACTGGTACTCCACAATGACGTCGGAGGGAGCCCTGGAGGGTATCTGGAAAACGGGGCATTGAGGAGAGGTTTTTCGGGGAGCAAGGGATCTCTGCTAGCCTGCCCTTTCCCAAAGAATCTCTGCTAGCCTGCCCTCTCCTAAAGAATCACCGCTAGCCTGCCCTTTCCTAAAGGATCTCTGCTAGCCTGCCCTTTCCTAAAGAACCTCTGCCAGAGTGCTCTAAGACTTACTGTAATAGGTGTTCCCCCTCAGCGCGCAGTAGATTCTCACTGGCAGCACGCCAAAGTGATTCTCGGCCGCCTCGAAGAGGGTCACCACAATTTTTGCCAGCGCCTAAATTTGAACAGAGATATAGAGTGAGAAATAGAGAGAGAGAGAGAGAGAGCGAGAGAGAGAGAGAGAGATCAATACCTACCTGTTCCCCTCCAAAAGACGACAGTCGATGATAATCCGCAAATAAGAAGCACACCGGATTCGATACCATATCTTTTTCAGAGTGTTGCGGTGCGTACAGCATTATAACATTGAAAAGTAACCTAAAAAGCACTGGAACTACAGTAGTCCTAGACCTACCTAACATGAGCGAAAATCCTAGCCACATGCTCGCCAAGTATCATACTCCGCACCCACATCTTGTGCTCGCTACCGTAGTAGGTGACGCCTGAAAATTTTAAAATTACGAACCTAAGTCTAAGCCTAAGCTTAAGCCTAGGTCTAAGCCTAAGCCAAGCCTAAGCCAAGTCTAAGCCTAAGCCTGGCTGTCACAGTCCCTTTAAAGCAATTGCTATGCCTATTTTCCAGTTACATTGAGGAAAAACCCACAGTAGAACCCGCCCAACACCAGGTAGATGACCAGCCCGACGACGCCGACGGTAATCAGGAGATGAACACTGCCAAAGATGGAGATTACGGTTGCCACGGAGAGGGTGACGACGGTGACGGCGAGGAGGAGGTAGAAGAGCACGGGCATGGACCATCTGGAATTCGGGAGTTTCAAGCCTAAGCCTAAACCAAACCTAAACCTAAGCCAAGCCTAAGCCAAGCCTAAACCTAAGCCTAGGCCTAAGCCCAAACCTACGCCTAAGCCTACGCCTAATCTTACCGTAGTTGCATGCCATCTAGCCAACTCCTCGAAAACGCGTTCATCGACTCCTTGACCTTTTGGAGCAGTACGGACTTGCCGGTTCCCCACTTTGCGTAGAGACCTTAAAAAAGGAAAAATATACATATTTCTCAAAATATACAAAACGAAAAAATTGGTAAAAATTCACATACCCAGCGTAAGCGGCAGTTGAAGATTTGGCTCGCACAAAATATCGGCTATTACGTTGCTAAAAATAGGAAAAATATTTTGATCTTAAACGTAATTAAGTTATACCTATAAATATCGTATCCTAGCATGGCGTCTAAATGTTGCTCCGCGTCGACGGGCCCGAAAATCAGGGGTAGAATCGGTTGCGGATTTTGCTGGTCGATCGAGTAGGGGGTTTGGCCTGTAATTAGCATAATCAGCTTAATTAGCATCAAATTAGCTTAATAAAAAAATAAGAAAAATACATACCCAATTTATTCGGCCGGTACAGTAACCGGGAGTCCTGCGGGTTGGTGAGGAGGACGGTAGCGAGGCGTTTGCTACGGGCTCTGAAATTTGCGTAAATTTGAATGAATAGATCTCTCACTCTCTCTCCCGCCCTTGCTCTCTCTCGCTCTCTCTCGCTCGCTCTCTCTCCCTCTTTCTCTCTCTTTCTCTCGCTTTCTATCGCGCTTTCATCCTATCGCAAACTCGTGCCACTTACCGCAACGCCAAATGTAACGCGTTGTCCCCCTCCCTGTCGGCGGCGCTGATCTTCGCGCCGGCCTTGACGAGAAGGTCACACAGCGCTACGTGTCGGCTCTTCACCGCTCGCATCAATGGTGTGTCGCCTTCCTGTAGCGCAAAATTTTAGAAGTGGGAGAGAGAGACGGCGAAAGAGACAGCGAGAGAGTGAGAGAGAGAGAGGGAGAGAGAGAGAGATATGGAGAAATAGAGACATACCCGATTTTTCAGCTCCAAATTCGGCCGTTTTTCCAGCAAAATCAGTACAATGTCCATGAACGACTTGTCGATGGCGAGATGAAGCGGGGAGCGGCCATCCGAGTCTTGGCAGTTAATATCCGCATATTTTTCAAGGAGCATCCGGACGATGTTTGCGTTTCCGGAGCGGACAGCACTCGACAGGATCCAGTTTCCGTATCTGGAAAAATTGGCGCATTAATGTCTTTCTGTCTCTCTTTCTCTCTCTCTCTCTGTCTCTCTCTTTCTCTCTCTCTCTCTCTGTCTCTCTCTTTCTCTCTTTCTCTCGCTATCTCTCTATCTCTCGCTCTCTCTTTCTCTCTCCCTCTCTCTCTCTTTCTCTCGCTCTCTCTCTAGCTCTTTCTCTAGCTCTTTCTCTATCTATCTCTCTATCGCTCGCTATCTCTCCTTCTCTCTCTCTCTCTCTCTCTCTCTCTCTCTCTCTCGCTCTCTCTCTCGCTCTCTCTTTCTCACCTTTCCACCTGGTTCACAAAAGCCCCGCATTTTATCAACGAATCGCAGATATCAGCATATCCCTCCTTGGCGGCGATCGACAGGGCGGAAAGGCCATTCTGGAAATTTCAAAAATTGGAATGCTATCGTAAGTCTAAGCCTAAGCCTAAGCCAAGCCTAACCCTTAGCCTACCTGATCAACAACATTAACATTCGGATCCCTCGACAACAACAGGTCGACCACGTGCAAATAGTTGCCCCGCGTAGCCAGCATCAACGCCGTGGAGGAGTACTGTAATTGGGAGCATTTAGCAATTTCGAAAAATGGTTACCATTCCAACGGCGTCCACCTCGGCACCGGCGTTTAGTAAAATTTGTACAACGGGCAGGTGGCCCTTCCGCGCCGCCCAGATCAACGCCGTCGAGCCGAACTTGTCGCAGGCGTTCACCTGAAGTTAAAGGGTTAGAAAAACCTGAAAAAAAGATTAAAGTCTGTTAAGCCGGAGCCTAAGCTAAGCCTAAGCTAAGCAGAAGCTAAGCCTAAGCCTAACCTAAGCCTAAGCCCAAGCTAAGCCTATGCCTAAGCCTAAGCCTAAGCCTAAGCCTAAGCTAAGCCTATGCCTAAGCCTAAGCCTAAGCCTAAGCCTAAGACTAAGCTAAGCCCACCTGCGCATCATGGCCGATCAGGATTCTCACGCAATCCGTAAATCCTCTTCCGGCCGCTACTATCAACGGTGTTAACCCGTCTTCTTCGTCGATTAAATTCACGTGGGCCCGATGTGATAGCAGAAATTCCAGAATTTGCGGTTGATTCTTGTAGACGGCCCACATCAGCGGTGTCCAGCCCATCTAAAAAATTACCGTATCCCCAGCCATTCTACCGTAACCCACCAAATCCGGCTGATCCACGGCGCATCCCGAATCGACCAACAAAGAGACGATCTCGGGGTGTCCGTGAAATGCCGAGATCAACAGCGCACTCCAGCCATCCTGAAGTTAGTGTTTTTAAAGCGAGCATGACAGCAGGTGGTCAAATTTGAGCATCAACTCACGTTGTCCGTATCGTCGAGATCGCTCTCTGGCAGGATAAACCGAAGCACTGGCTGGTTGTTGGCCTTGGCGGCGACTTGGAGGAGGCTTTCGCCATTCTGGAAAATAGGGTTTTAAGAAGCTGAAAAGCTATGGCAGGCTAGCAGAGATTCTTTGGGAAAGGGCAGGCTAGCAGACATTCTTGAGGAAAGGGCAGGATAGCAGAGATTATTGAGGAAAGGGCAAGCTAGCAGAGATTCTTTAGGAAAGGGCAGGCTAGCAGAGATTCTTTAGGAAAGGGCAGGCTAGTAGAGATTCTTTAGGCGGGCGTAGCACAGCGGGCAGGCTAGCAAAGGGCATTTAGGAATCCAGGAGGCAGGCTAGCAGAGATCATTGGGGGAAAAATTTTAAAGGCCTCAGCAAGTCTAAATTCCCACCTGATTCCGCAGACTGCCAATTTCGGCGGTGGCCGCATAATCCCCGGAGACGTCGACCCCATTCTCGACGCGTTCGAATAGTTCCTGGATTTGCTCGGCCGTCAGGGCCGAGGGCATATGGGCTGCCACCTGGAAACAAATACGGTAATTTGCATAAAATATCCAGAAAAATGTGGCTTTTTAAAAATAGCAAAAATACGGCTTTTTCGAAGCTTTTGAAAATGGGGGAGGAGGCAGGGATTCAAAAGGGGATTTATGAAAAGGCCGCTCAAAAGACCGTTCCCGAGCTCGTGCTAGCCATTTTCTCTGTCTGTTTGTCGATTTGTCATAGGCTGTCGAGGTCTGTCTGTCTCTCTCTCTCCCGCTCTCTCGCGAACTGTCTTGATGATTCCTCCCCGCCATTTATTTCCGCCTTCAAGGGCATGTCATCGATTGTGGTGGGCAGGAGAGAGGGAGAGAGAGAGAGAGAGAGAGAGAGAGAGAGAGAGAGAGAGAGAGAAGATCATAGATGCCGATCTTATCCCTACCAGAGCACCATCTCAATACTCTTCAGGCCAAAGGGCAAATAATCAACCAGAGAGAGAGAGAGAGAGAGAGAGCCAGTGAAAGCGAGAGAGAGAGACAGCGAAAGAGCGAGAGAAAGAGAAAAAGGTAAAATGTGCAGGCTATAAATTTCCAACCTTCCAGGCTTCATAAAGGCCTCAAAAGAGCGAAATAAGCCGATCAAAGTGTCGGCCCGTTGATAGCGGGGTGTTCGATTTTGAAAAAGTGGAACGATCGAGAAATTGAGAGAGAGAGAGAGAGAGAGAGAGAGAGAGAGAGAGAGAGAGAGAAGAAGAAATTGAAAACACTTATGATCGGCTGAAAGGGATGAGGGACCTCTCAAAGAGCCCCCTATTTCTGATAAAAAAATTTGCTTTTTCAAATTCTGGTTAAATCCATCAATTTTTTTTGGTTTATTTTAGTTTAAATTTAGCAATATTCAAAGATCCCTGCTAGAGATTCATTCCCTTACAATGAGTTCTTTGTAAGGCAGAGATAATTTAAAACTCGGATCGCATTAATTAAAATGCTATAAAATTCGCATAAATTAAATTATGCTATTTATAAAAATTTAGAACAACAACGATATATCTTTTCCTCTGGTTTTACAGAGTTTTGTGAAAGCTCCATGGCGAGAGATCGTAGAAAAAAAAGAGGAAAATAAGCAGAGGTACCTCAAAAATTAGCATAAATAAAATTAAGTAAATTAAATCAAGGAATAATAAAAAAACCGACCGTAAAGGCGGACTGGGCGGCGCCGACCCAGTCGCGGCCCACCTTCGACAATTGGCCCATTGCCAGACGGCTGGCTGGGGGCCCGTGCCCTCAGGGGATTCCAGCTGGGACCCTCTTTGCTCTTTCTCTCTTTTTAGAGAGAGGCAGATATATCGGATGTGGGCCACAGCAGAAGCAGCTGGCCACACTCTCTCGGCTCCACCCTAAGGGAGAGAGAGAGCGAGAGAGAGTGGGGAGAGAGTGGAGGGCCCAGACGGCTGAGGCTCCGCACCCGGTGGACCTGAAAGAATAGATTTGCATAGGCAAAGAGGTGGCATTTGAAATTTCGAGAAGTTAAACAAAGAAAAGCATAAACCTAAGCCGAAGCTTAAGCCTGAGCCTAAGCCTCAGTCTGAGCCCATCTATGGCTTTTTGGACCGCTAGAAAAAATACGATTGAAAACTATAAGGAATGGTTAGCAGAGTTCATTTGAGAATGATTCGGGGCAGGCTAGCAGAAATTCTTTAGGAAAGGGCAGGCTAGCAGAGATCCTTTAGGAAAGGGCAGGCTAGCTAGGGACCGGGGTAGCGAGCGGAGGTCTTTTGGGAATTGTTAGGGTCGGCTAGCAGAGGCCATTTGGGAATTTAAGCTAAAAATTTGGGACAAGAACCCCAAGAAAAATCTAATCCGGAACTCGCTGAAAAGCGACCGGAAATGGAAACTAGAGCTGAGAGGTGGACAAGCCCCCCCCCGAATTAATCGAATGAGAATACTAATCGGGGCGGGGGCGGGGAATAGCTCGAATTTAGTGCTTTTTTTAGCTGAACATGGCCTAGGCAAACAACAGGAGTTCGTAGCTTGATTAAACCACGTTCCCCTCAGTTTTCTACAGTATTAAACGTTTTTAAGGTTGAAAATCCACTAAAAATTGCTCATTTTACGACTCTTAAGGGGCCGGTGATGTTAAAAATTCAGTTGAACGGCCTATCACCGGGCTTTTCTGCCTTTAAAGGGTTAGTGAAGTTATCGTTTCTTGTGGATTCGATCAGCCAGAAGAGAAATAAGTACAAAAACGTGGTCAATCCGACCGTCTTGGCCAGTTCAACGTGTTGCCAAAAATCGATTCGTTTCCGGGGGTGAGGTAATAAATCGGAAACCGGGAACAGGGAGACCACTGAAGCACGGGAAGGTATTAGGCGATTTGCATAAATTTGTATCGAAGAGGTGTGCGGGGCTCACGGTGATAAAATACGGACGTTACAGAGGCCTTGAAGTGATTCATCAACTTAAGCATAAGCCTAAGCCTAAATCTAAGCCTAAGCTAAGCGTAACCTAAATCTAAGCCCAAGTCTACGCTTAAATCAAGCCTAATTTTAAGCTAAGCCTAAGCCTAAACCCAAGCCTAAGCTAAGCCTAAGCATAAGTCTAATAAGCCTAAACTGAAGTCTAAACTATAAGCCAAGCCTAAGCTAAGTCTAAGCCTAAGCCTAAGCCTAAGCTAAGCCTAAGCCTAATCCTAAGCCTAAGCCTAAGCTAAGTCTACGCTAATCCTAAGCTAAGGCTAAGCCAAGCCTCAGCCTAAGCCTAAGCCTAAGCTAAGCCTAAGCCTAAGCCTAAGCCTAAGCCTAAGCCTAAGCCTAAGCTAAGCGTAATCTTAGTCTAAGCCTAAGTCTAAGCTAAGCTTAAGCCTAAACCAAGCCTAAGCATCAACCTAGGCCTAAGCTAAGCCTAAGCTAAGCGTACATTTTAGATAGAGATAGAGAGCTAAGCCTACATTTTACAACGCAAAAACACCTAAAATAACGCAACCCTCCCTATGGCCTCGTGTTGGAAACGAGGCTTTTGATGGCCGCCAGGCCATGGCCATGCCGTCGAGTCAATTACGGGCCTTAATTAGAGGACCGGGTCGGGATGGGGGGGCATGACGTGGGAGAAAGAGAGCAGAAAACGGGAGCAAAAATTACATCAAAACAGGAGGTAAGCTAGCAGAGATAATTTAGGAATTTGAGATGCGCCAATAGAAAACATTTGTGGATAGAAGAGGTGGGCTAGCCGAGATTCTTCAGGAATGGAGAGACAAGCTAGCTAACTACAGGCAGGCTAGCAGAGATCTTGTAGGAATTGAGAGGCAGGCTAGCAGAGAAATTTTGAAAATTGCTGGTAGGCTAGCAGAGATAATTTAGGACTGAACCAGTCGTGAATTGAATGATTCCACGCGGATACAAACAACAAATCGAGCTGCGGGCGGGTATCCGGTTACCAGAATACGAGAATCAATTGCCTCCTCAAATTGACAGAGCACTAAAAAATGGGCTAGAGGCGAGAGAGGTAGAGAGAGAGAGAGAGAGAGAGAGAGAGAGAGAGAGAGCGAGAAAGAGGGAGAGTGCAAGAGAGAGAGAGACACATAGAGAGAGATGGAGAGAGAGAGATGGAGAGATAGCGAGACCGAAAGCAAGAGAGCAACAGAGAGAGAGCGCGATAGTGATAGAAAGAGAGGACAGAGAGAGAGCGAGAGGGAGAGAGAGAGACAGAAACAGATAAATAGATCAAGAACAACTATTCAGTTCCTAGTTCCTTTAAAACCAGGCCCAAAGGTCCGATTGGGGCATAGCGCAAGTTAACCAGTACCAGACGGGCAGATGGACAGTGGCTGCAGGTGTTATTGGGGAGAGAGAGAGAGAGAGCGAGAAAGGGTGAGAGAGGGTGAGAGAGCGCGAGAGAGAGCGCGAGAGAGGGAGAGACTGGTAAAAACCACCTGGGGCATACCAGGGTAAAATACCACAATGACACAGGGCCGGGCCGCTTCCTCAAAAACCCCCCTCTCACATGTGGCCACATCAATCAACCGGCTGCAAAAATGATGGGAGGGGCTTCCGGGATGTGGCCCATTGTTTAGATCGTTCCAATTCCAAAATGATCTCTGCTAGCTTGCCCTTTCCTAAAGGATCTTCGCTAGGCCCCCGCCGATTCCTAAACGAGCCCTGGCCGCCTAGGAAAACGTAAAACAGTCGAAAAACGTATAGGCGACGCGCTTTCCCACGCGATTCACCCTCGCCCGATCGGAGGGACAATGTTTTTCTGCATTCAAAGGAGTGGGGTGGGGCCTGGGAATGTCAAGAGGAATGTAGGGTAAAAAATGGCCTTGAGTCCGAAGCCCAAGTCCAAGCCTGAGCTAAGTCACACCGAAGATAAGCCTAAGCCTAAGACTAACCTATCAAATCAAAGCCAAAGCTTAAGAGTAAGCTTAAGCCTAAGCTAAGCCTAAGCCTAAGCCTAAGCCTAAGCCTAAGCCTAAGCCTAAGCCTAAGCCTAAGCCTAAGCCTAAGCCTAAGCAGATATACCAACCAACTCGAATCAATTCCGATGGCCATCAGCAGCCCACCCGATCCGGGTCGGTCTCTGTTTGCCGTTGGGATTGATAGGGGGCCGGGAGGAGAAGCCGAGACAGAAAAGAATGGCAAAGATAAGCAAAAAGCAGGCCAAGAAATCAAAGTAAGCCCGAGGCGTATGAAGATTGTGTTAGCTTCATTCGTAAAAATAATAACTTCCAAAAATTTTCCCCATTTTGAAGCAGCTTAAGCTCAAGCCTGAGCCTAAATCTCAGCCCAATCCAAGCCAAGTTTAAACCTATGTCAAGCCGAAGTCAAAGGGAAGCCTAAGCCTAAGGTTTGAGCTTAAGCCTAAACAGCTTAAAAGCGCAAAAAAGTCGAAAAAATTCAGAAGCTGTCGCCGCTAAAGCAGCCCAATTTCATGGCCAGACTACCCTGGGTTGCGTTGGAGGGAAATTTCGAGATAAGGAGGAGTGAAAGTCCCGCAGGGGGAAGCTTTAAAAATGCAACAGTAAGCGATTCTCCGCAAATGCTCTTTGCTAGCTTGCCTTGTGCGTTTCAGCCGACTTTGCTCCAAAGTTCTCGGCTAGCAGGCCTGCATTGGCATAAGCATTTGAGATAATTCGAAATTGAATGCAGCAGGCTAGCAAAGATCATTTTTGGGCGGGCGTGAGCAAGCGAGCGGAGATCATTTGGGAAATGAGGAGGGAAGACTAGCAGCGATTCTTTATGAAAGGGCAGGCTAGCAGAGATTCTTTAGGAAAGGGCAGGCTAGCAGAGATTCTTTAGGAAAGGGCAGGCTAGCAGATATTCTTTAGGAAAGGGCAGGCTAGCAGAGATTCTTTAGGAAAGGGCAGGCTAGCAGAGAATCTTTAGGAAGGGGCAGGCTAGCAGAGATTCTTTAGGAAAGGGCAGGCTAGCAGAGATTCTTTAGGAAAGGGCAGGCTAGCAGAGAATCTTTAGGAAGGGGCAGGCTAGCAGAGATTCTTTAGGAAAGGGCAGGCTAGCAGAGAATCTTTAGGAAGGGGCAGGCTAGCAGAGATTCTTTAGGAAAGGGCAGGCTAGCAGAGAATCTTTAGGAAGGGGCAGGCTAGCAGAGATTCTTTAGGAAAGGGCAGGCTAGCAGAGAATCTTTAGGAAGGGGCAGGCTAGCAGAGATTCTTTAGGAAAGGGCAGGCTAGCAGAGAATCTTTAGGAAGGGGCAGGCTAGCAGAGATTCTTTAGGAAAGGGCAGGCTAGCAGAGATTCTTTAGGAAAGGGCAGGCTAGCAGAGAATCTTTAGGAAGGGGCAGGCTAGCAGAGATTCTTTAGGAAAGGGCAGGCTAGCAGAGATTCTTTAGGAAAGGGCAGGCTAGCAGAGAATCTTTAGGAAGGGGCAGGCTAGCAGAGATTCTTTAGGAAAGGGCAGGCTAGCAGAGATTCTTTAGGAAAGGGCAGGCTAGCAGAGAACTTTTAGGAACTGACAATCGGACCAGCAAAAAATTTCCGCTTCGGCTCCGGGGATCCCTGACAAATCCTCGAAACGGCCACTTCCAAGCCTCCTTCTCCTTTCCTTGGCACTACCTCAAAAATTGGATTTTCAATCTCCCCGGGCTAGCTTTTCACCTCGCTCTCCTCGGATGAAATTGAGCCCCGCCCAAAATGTCCTTTTTGGTTTTTTGTATTTTTCGGCATTTTGATCTTTCAATTTTCGGCGGGAATTTATTTATTAAAGCATCAAAATGTGTATATGCAAGGATAAGTTACAACAATAACAATACAAAGAATTTAATAAGAATCCATTACGCGTTGAAATTCGTCGTCGTCATTTGGAGCGTAGCGTAGCTTCAACGGCGTGCTAAAAACGTTGAATTTCGTTTATTGTGAAAAATCTATTTTTTTTTTAAATACCACGTTGAAGTTTGCGCTAAAAAATCAAAATTAAATTCGAATTTAAAGCGGTCCTAAATTAGCTTTTTTAACTAGCTAGAAATGCAAAATTAAAGCAAGAAAACTTTCTATAAAATCTATGCTAAAATCCGATTTTAAATTGTAGCGTTTTGAGTACAAAAAACGAGTAATTTAAAAAATGCAAGTTAAAATCACTAATTTGCATGCAATATATGTAATATTAATTTCAAGCGTTTTTACATAAAAATAAATGAAATATAAACTTTATTCAGCGCAACCAACACAAATCGTTAGCGCGGACCGTCAAATTCAGCAAAAAAATCAGAAAAAAATAAAATGCAAATATTTCAAAAGCACAGACACAAATGACAATTACAAATGGGATGAATGAGCACACGATTGGAGGCGGGGACGACGAGTTGGAGCAGTACAGGACGTTTTATGGGTTTTTTGGGTTGCGGAGCCCTTAAAAAAAATCGTTTTTCCCTTATTACGGATCCTACAGTATTTTAAAGGCACCATCAAGTCGAGAAAACCTTGAAAATTTACGGTATAAATTTTGTAAACAATTTTTCGACTTTTCGGTGCCTTTAAAAAGCTCTTTTTTGCTCATAAATCCGAAAATCCGAAATTTGAATTTTCCAAGTATTTTTAGACTTTCGCGGCCCTTTAAAATATTTATTTGAATTTAGGCGGATTTTCCGGTATTTTAAAGGTATCGGCAACCCAAAAACGCTCCCAAAATCCATATGTGAATTTAAGGAAAAGCCCGTAGCGAGGACGCAAAGTGAACGCAGGCAAAACGTGTAAAAAGGAGACAAAATTAGCATCAAACCATACAAAATTATCAAAATGTTATAATACCGTAACTGTGATGAGTGGTAGTGGGGCGTAGTATATTTTCTACGTTACAAACTATACATTAAAAAATAGGGAATTTTTGGAAACCATGCAAATTAGGGGCGGAGGAAAGCGTTTACTATTTGTATAGGCTATCACAATTTGTTTGGAAAATAATTAAATTAGGTAAGTATGCAAATTATGCAAATTTTACAAATATGCTAATTATGTAAATTATGCAAATTAGGGGGCTACAGTATTTTTGAGCGCGGTGCACGGGGTGTAATTTGGTTAGTTAAGTAACGTTTGTCCGTGCGGGATTACGGTGGAATTACGGTAAGACTACACGACTACAGTAAGACTACAAATCAGAACAACCGGCGGACAACGAGGGCAACAATGGACGCGAGGGTTACCGTAACGATTGGGGTTACGGTAGCCACGCCATTTGACGGTTCGAGACCTCTTAAAGCCGACGCGGAATCGGCGGCCGGCCAGCAGTCAGGGCAGCTGTCTTGTAGGGAGCGCCTCTGCACCGGGGAGTACGAGGTTTTGAGCTGGAAAACCGGTTTTCGAAATCTCTAACAAGGTTCGTTAGCAGAGATCATTTGGGAATGGCGGAGGCAGGCTAGGAGTGATTCTTTAGGAAGGGGCAGACTAGCAGAGATTCTTTAGGAAGGGGTAGGCTTGCAGAGATTCTTTAGGAAAGGGCAGGCTAGCAGAGATTCTTTAGGAAAGGGCAGGCTAGCAGAGATTCTTTAGGAAAGGGCAGACTAGCAGAGATTCTTTAGGAAAGGGCAGGCTAGCAGAGATTCTTTAGGAAAGGGATAGGCTAGCAGAGATTCTTTAGGAAAGGGCAGGCTAGCAGAGATCTTTGCGAAAATCCCCTACCTGCTCAGCCGGATCATAATAATCATAAAGGGCGAGCTGGGCAGGCTTCTGGTCCGACACGTGGTACACCATATCCGAATACAGGCTCAAGCAGATCGGGTCGGCGTCCAGCTAAAAAAGGGATTATATACGGTGCTGTGGCCAGCCTTCCCAGCCCCTTTAAACACCCAAGTAATCGCTTACCGCATCAAAATAGATGTTGACTTGGGTGTCGTCCTTGTCGAGCTCGACGCGCTGCAGGTCTTTGATGTCTGGAAATTAGGATGGAGCATGAGCATGAGCTCAAAAACTCACTTGTCAGGAGATTCGCCTCCTCCTCGTCGAATTTGTAGCCAGTCAGGGCTTGCACTTCCGCCAGGGCCATGTTCGACTTGCCGGTCTTGGTGTAGCTGAACAGAACGGATAAGTTGAGCTCATGAGCCTGAGCCTAGGCCTCTCTCTCTCTCTCTCTCTCTCTCTCTCTCTCTTTATCTATCTCCCTTTCTCGTTCTCTCTCTCTCCCTCTCTCCTCCTCTCTGAGCTCACTTGCAGCACAGCTCCAACTGCATCCTATTTCCACCGTGGATCTCCTTCAGGTCCTTGGTGCAGTAGAAGGGGGTGTTGTCGCGTTGCGCGTTACGATTGTACCAATATGCCACCTGAAAAGTTTGAATTTGCATAGCTACGTGTCATTCCCGAGAAATTCAAGCAGTTCAGCCTAAGCCTAAACCTAGCCCAAAGCCTAAGCAAGTACCTGAGCAAAGGCCATGCCACTTCCAGTCGCCTGGAGCGTGATCTCCTTGTCCAGCTCGCTGAGCTCGTAGCTCTGCAGCACGATGCTGTTCGCCGCCGACACGTTGAACGCGTGGTTGTCGGCTCCGCTGATGATCTTCACGTTGACGCTCGACAGGTCGGAGCTGGCCTTTGCGGCATAGGCACCCATCGCTTGGAGGGCGACGACGGTATCCTAAATTAGTAGAGTTTCCCGTAAAGTTCAGCAAGTTCAGGTTTCTAGGCTCGTTAGAGAGTTGGAGATTACTTACTTGAGTGCTGGAGTACCCGCCCAGCTCGTTACGCTTCGAGATCAGCCAGCGGACGATGGGAAGACCCTGAAGAAGGACAGGTAATTTTCGATACGATTTTCACGGACCTTCGGCTCTCTCTCTCTCTCTCTCTTCTCTCTCTCTCTCTCTCTCTCTCTCTCTCTTCTCTCTCTCTCAGTGACCTTCTTTCTCGCTCTCTCTCTCACCTTGCTCGTATCTCCATCCAGCATCACCGTCAGCAAGGCGTACGACGTCACTTCAACATCTACCGGCGGCGGCTGGTAGAAGTCAGATTTTTCTCCAGGATTGGTCGGGCGAGCCTCCCAATGCACAGTTCCATCTGAAAAATTAGAATTTATATGAATCCCAAACAGTCTCTGCTAGCTCGCCCTTCATTCCCCACTGATCTCTGCTAGCCGGCCGAGGCCGTTTTAAAGGGATAGCGTCAGCAAAATTCCAAGACCTTACCGGTTCCCTCGACCTTCAGCTTATCCAGGGCGGCAAAAGCGGCTGCGGCCTTTGGCGAGCCGGCCAACTTCAGCGCGTACGACGTCACCGCCAATGCGTACACGTCGCTTTCGATGTTTGGAAGAGAAGTCTCGAGGTATTCGATGGCCTTCTGGTTTCGGTCCTGAAAGGAAAGAGTTAGAGAGAGAGAGAGGGAGCGAGAGAGAGAGAGAGATCAGGCTTACCCCATTCTCCAGAAGGGATAAGGCGACGTAAGCGGTGAGTGCGACTCCGCCAGACAGGCTTCCACCCATCATGTCCTTGTGCAGCACCTTGCCGTGGTCGTTGAACGTTCCGCTCTCCTGAAAGGCGTACGGTAAGCTGGTAATAAGCCTAAGCCTAAGCCTAAGCCCAAGCCTAAGCCAGACCTAAGCCGAAGCCTAATTAGCTTACCGTCTGGACGCCATTCAGGTATGCAACACTGCTGGCGATGACCTGCTTGTCGATGAAGATGTACTCCTTGGCCTGGGCGAACGAGCGGACGACGAAGGCGGTCAGCCACGTCGAGCCGTGCTCGTCGGTGTTGCCGAAAGCCGAGTAGGAGTTGTCGGAGCGGCTGAAACAAATGATTTTTGCCAGTTTCTGTCTCTCTGTCGCTCGCTGTCTCTCTGGCTCTCTCTCTCGCTCTCTCTCGCTCTCCTCACCGATAGTTCAGCTCTCTCTGATATCCAGTCTCCATATACTTCAACGCCTTGCCCTCCATCGTCGGCTCGTTCTTATTGGACCCCTTCAGGTACTTCATGACGACAATGTTCGGCACGAAGTTGAGCATGTTCTGCTCCCCACATCCCGACGGCATCTGGACGAGTTTCTCGAGGTTGGACAGCATTGGTCCCATCACGTCGCCTGGAAATGGGTGGTAAAAGCGGCGTCGAAAATCCCAGTCTGCCAGTTTGCCTCCGAAATTTCCCTAAAGATCTCTGGGCTACGGTTTACTTTTTCCCAAACCCCAAAGACCCCCAAAAACAGCCCTTTAGAAACATAGCACAGAAATCTCTCTCTAATCTCTCTGAAAAAAGAAACTCTGCTATCCTGCCCCTTCCATTCCCCCAATACTCTCTGCTAACCCGCCCTCACCAATAACATCCACTCGCGCCTTCTGGCTGCCCTCCACGGCGTCGGCGGGGAACTTCAAGGGGATGGTCTTCTCCTGGCTGGGCTGGCTGCTCAGGTCGAAGACAACCGGCTCGTTTCGGTTGACCCGATAGCCCTCCGGTTCCACCTTCAACGGCATTTCGACCGCATCTCCAGCGTTGCTGCCCGTCGCGACGACGTGCAGCTTCAGGTCGCCGATCTTGCGCGGCTCGATCGGGAAGTAGACGGCCTTGGAGGAGCCACCGCCAGCGACGGAGACAAGTCGCGTGTTGGCGGAGGTGGATTTCCTGAAAAGTCAGGGATTTGCCTTGGTCTTTGCCAAGCCTAAGCCCAGCCTAAGCCTAAGCCTAAGCCTAGCCTAAGCCTAAGCCTAAGCCTAAGCCTAAGCCTAAGCCTAGCCTAGCCTAAGCCAAGCCCGCACCCAACTCACTCCGTATTGACGCTGCCGTCCTTGTTGAGGAACACGAACTCGTCGTTGTCGTTCTTCAGCGTCACCGTCACGTCCTGCTCGTTTTCCATGTAGTTGAACACCAGGATTTGGAGCGCGAACTTCTCGCCCCGTTTCACCGAGTAGGGCAGGTTCAGGCGGATGAAGAACGGGCGGAAGACGCGGAGCTGGAATGGGGTTTTGTCGTAAGTCTAAGCTAAGCCTAAGCTTGAGCCTAAGCCAATGCCTACGCCTAAGCCTAAACCTAAGCCTAAGCTTAAGCCTAAGCCTAAGCTAAGCCTAAGCTAAGCCTAAGCTAAGCCTAAGCTAAGCCTAAGCTAAGCCTGAGCAGAAGCTTGCGCCTAAGTCTCTTTCCTACCTTAGCCGTTTCCGGTGCAATACCCAACCCCGACACGTCGTTGACGGCAAAAGCCGACGCAACCCAAGAGGTGATAGTGTCCGGAGCAGTGGCCTCGTAGATAGTTTCCCCGCTCGTGCTAAAATATGCAAATTAGGTTTGTCGATTTTAAGGTTTTTTAAACTCGCTTTAACTAACTTAACTTCTATTGCCTATTCATTAACTTAATCAATGCCTATAAAAGTAAATTTTTAAAGTTTTTTCCTCTCAATTTTATCACCTCATTACGGTTTCCAAATGTAGCCAAGTCTCAGGGAAAAATTTGCGGATTTTGGGAGATGGTAGACGATCGGGAGAGATCCGGAGATCGGCGCCAAAGTCGGCGTAGGCAAGTTGGGGGAGGACCACTTGAAAAATGGAGCAAAATATTGGAAGATGCCTTAATCGGGACGTCAAACGGACTGGGAGTGAGCAAACGACTCAACACGAGCAGGAGCGGGGGAGAGTGAGAGTGAGAGAGAGATTTACGTAAAATAGTGTCGCGTACAGTCGCGTACTAAAAACGGTCGCTCTCATATTTGCTAATTTACGAGGATCATTACAGAGCATAAACGAAGCCGAAGCCTAAGCCTGAGCCTAAGACTAAGCGCAAGCCTATACCTAGTCGAAGCCCAAGCCGAAGCTCAAGCCTAATCCCAAGCCCAAGCTTAAACCTGAGCCAAAGCTTAAGCAAAACCTAGGCCTAAGCCTAAGCCTAACGCCAAGCTTAAGTCGAAGCTTAAGCCTATGCCTAAAATGCGACTCTCATGCAGCAAGCTCCTGTAAATTTCGCCGCTCATGTCCTTAAAAATCCATAAAAAGTGAATGAACATTTTTCCCCGTAATTTTTCCACCGTAAGCCGTTGTAACAGCCCGTACAGTTACGTACTAGCGATAACCCAGCTACGCCACGATACTATGCACCTGATGATGCCCTCGTTGACCCAGGTTTCCGGGAATTTAGTCCTCAGAACCGGGCGGATCTCCTGCTGCTGACTACTGAAGCCCTGCACGTCCATTTCCACTGGCGGGCTGTCTAGCACCATCACGTAATGCCCAGAAGCGTCTGTCGGCAATGGGGCCCCATCCAGCTCTACGCTTCTGTAGTAGTACACTGGAATACCGGGGGCGTGGGATACGGTAGCTGGGCCGGGTTGTAAGGGATCAGAAATCGTAGTTGAATGAGAAGCAGCAAATCGATGAGAGATTCCAAGTAGCAAACGTTGGACTACAAAGTACACCCATGCACGCGAATATGTAAGGAGTTGTTGTCTGTAGTTTGAAACCACGATCAGATGGGCAGATTTTTGCTGATGCCAGCAACTCCTATTAAACGGATTCACCTATTTAGCTCAGCCCATATCCACGACTCGGGGAACTTAGTCCGCAGCTGCGGGGTTACGGTAGCCGGGGCAGCATTTGGAGGGGGTGGAGGGGGAGGACCGGGCATCCCCGGTAAGCCACGAGCGAATGCGGCCACCGGCATCGGCGCACCTCCGAGCTTCATCTTCCGGAAATAGTGGACCCCTGCAAGGGTGGGGTAAGACTAAGCCTAAGCCGACCTAGCCGCTTAACTTCCAAAAGTTTTCTAGTGAGGGAATTAAACGTGCACCCGGGGATTCTAACGGAAATTGTGAGTGAAAGAGGCTGGACAGAGGAGAGAGAGAGGGAGAGAGAGAGAGAGAAAGAGAGAGAGAGAGAGATAAAGAGAGAGAGAGAGAGAGAGAGAGAGAGAGAGAGAGAGAGAGAGAGAGAGAGAGAGAGAGAGAGAGAGAGAAAGAGCCATTACCTAGCTAAAAATTCCGGATAAATCCAAGTGTTCGAGAAGTGTTTGCGAATCCTCGACTCAGTCTTTTTAGGCGGTAATTCAGGAGCAGCAGCCGGTTGGGAATGAGCAGAAAGTCGTTGCGGAGAATTCCGAAGCCTTCCCGGCCTAAGCCGCCCTCCAACTCTTGGCATCAGGCTGACAGGGCGGAGTCTGAGACACCATTCCCGGAAGCGTCGACAGGGATGTACTAAAGTGTGTCCTTTCTACAGTAGTAGGTAGGTGCACAATGACTTCGACAAGTACAGCCGTTTTGAGCGATCAGCAACTTCAGATAAATTCAGGTGAGCGGAACAGTTCTAAAAACGAGAGGAAGGCTAGCAGGGCTGATTTTGGAGTATATGGTAGGCTAACAGAGATCATTTCAGGATGGGAAGGGCATACTAGCGGAGATGATTGGGGATTGGAAAGAGCAGGCTAGCAGGGATTCTTTAGGAAAGGGCAGGCTAGCAGAGATTCCTTAGGAAAGGGCAGGCCAGCAGAGATTCTTTAGGAAGGGGCAGGCTAGCGTAGATCCTTTAAAACCACCCGAATCACCTAGCCAGGAATCCTTCCGAAATCCAAGTATGTGGAAACACTTTTCGAAGCTTCGTCACGATTTTCGGAGCTAGTGAAGCGTGACTGGCCCGATGAAGTGACGGTTGTCGTTGTGCTGAGCGATATTCGTAAGTATAGCTCTCCGCGCGATGAGCAAGAGAATGAGAATGAGGCATTGATCGGAACACTTCCGGTCCGTAGCGTTGGGAATAGCTTCCTCGTTGGCGCTGCCTGACGCACCATGGGTGGCGTGGCTCCCAGTAGCAGCCTCTTTCTAAAGCGCGCTCTACGACCGGTTCTCAGGAAATTGGCAAAAAGCCAAGGGAGGCTTCAGGAACAAGATGCAAAAGGGCTTAGAATATAGGACAAAAAAAAATGAAAAAAGGCAGAAAATCCGCATTGGAAATTGGGAAAATGACAGTTGGTTCAGAGCGGAAAGAGTAGCATATCGGAACAAGAGGCAAGGACTCGGACAAGTCAGTACAAACTACAAAATCGGAGATGAACAATTGGCAGACCTAAGCCTAACCTAAGCCTAAGCCTAAGCCTAACCTAAGCCTAAGCCTAAGCCTAACCTAAGCCTAAGCCTAAGCCTAACCTAAGCCTAAGCCTCAACCTACAGAATTCAACTATAGTACCTCGGCAAAAATTCCCAGGCCCAAGATTCCGGGAAGTTAGAGCGAGTTTTTGGCGCTTCCGCGCTGTCGTACGCCCCTGCGCCAGCAGCGCTTTCGGCGTCCATGACCATAACGATCCCCTCGTCGTTCAGCACCACTAAAGGGGGCACGGTAAGAGTACGGTAGGCGTACGATAGCGCGAACAAAACCCGGAAATATGCAAAAATAATCTATGCCAGCGGTGACACCCATAGAAAGTGGGAAGTGAATGAAAGCGTATTATAATAAACAAATCGGTTTGTGACCTACAGGTATCACGTCGTAATGCATTGGCAATGCGAGAGAGAGCGAGAGAGAGAGAGAGAGAGAGAGAGAGCAGAGACTGGTAGAGAGAGAGTGCGAGAAAGCAAGAGAGACAGCGAGTGAGAGCGACAGAAAGAGAGAGATCTATTTCGTCATCCAAATAAGCTGAGACTTTTTGTTTAATTGATTTACATGTCGTAAGCGGTCGCGGCAGCATATTGTTATATACTTTGCCTTCCTAATCCCTTTAAAGTACCTATTCAGCATTTCCCACGCCCAAGACTCCGGGAAATTTGAGCGGAGCTTTGGTTCCTCGCCAGCTGGACCGGCAGGGGCTGGCATAGCTGCCGCTTCCATTACGAAATCCATCACCATGACTAAATGATGAGCTTGAGAAGCTTATCTTGCTTATCGAGCTTTTCAAGCTTCGGCTGGTGTCTTAAGCAAAAAACAAAGCCAACTGACGCCCTTAAGCTAACGAAGCCTAGGCACAGGAAGCTGAAAAATCCAAGCCGAGTCTGTGCTTGCCTCACCAAAAAGCTGTGCGAAATATATATAACAAATCGCAAAAAAATCGTAAGTGATGAGAGTGGTGTAGTGGAAAATGAGAAAGGAGGAAGAGCGTCAAAAATGGTCTAGGGTGAAGTATCTTAATAATATCCCGTATAACATCACATCGCCTAAGTCTATCAACTGGCTATCAAACTTTTAAAAACTGGTTATTGTAATCAGTTACGGTAGTGAATTCCTAACATGATTTTCCCGGTCCCTTTAAAGTACCTATTCAGCGTTTCCCATGCCCATGACTCCGGGAAATTCTTTCGAAGTTTTGGCTCTTCGCCAGGCGGGCCCGCGAGCGCCGGCATGACCGATGCAACCTCATACTCCAGCAAGCCGGTTAAATGAAGGGCTTGAGCAGCTGATTGAGCTTCTTGAACTTGTTGAGCTTATCAGGCTAATTTGGCTTATCGAGCTTAACCAGATTATCCGCTTAAAAGCTAGCTAGCGCCTTCAAACCCAAAAAATGTGTGCCTCACCAAAAAGCGGTGCTGAATTAGTGAAAAACTTGTGAAAAATTGCTTTGGAGGATGAGTCGGCCATGCCCAGGCCTAAGCCTAAGCCTAAGCCTAAGCCTAAGCCTAAGCCTAAGCCTAAGCCTAAGCATAAGCCTAAGCCTAAGCCCAACCCAAACTAAGCCTAAGCCTAAGCCTAAGCCTAAACTAAGCCAAAGCCTAAACCTAAGCCTAAGCCTAAACTAAGCCTAAGCCTAAGCCTAAGCCTAGGCCTAAGCCTAAGCCTAAACTAAGCCTAAGCCTACGCCGAAGCCTAGGCTCCCAAGTGAGCCAGTTTACACGCCGTAATCGGCCGGCAGAGCGAGATCGAGAAGGGTAAGAAATCGGAAACGCGAAGTGCAAGGCGTTCAAAAAGCCTTTAGAATTTAATGTCCTAATCGATTGGGAATAGTCCCGACCCCGTATTTCGGGAAATCTCAAAATTTCTTGGGATACGTCGAATGATAGGCGAGGAACTTCAAGGCGTTCAGGATTCCTTTGAATAAATTCCATGAATTGCTACGATTCGGATTGCCTTCCCAGTCCCTTTAAAGCTCCATTAAGCACCTATTGACGAGGTCCCAGACCCAGGATTCCGGGAAGTTTGATCTCGTTTTCGGCTCAAACTCCGCTGCTGCAGCTCCACCAAAAGCGGCGCCCGGCGCGGCGACCGGCATTGCGAACATCAGCGGACCCGATTTCTCCATCATCCCATCCATCCAGACTAAAGGCTACGGTAGCTCGGGCACGTTTTACGAACCGGAACTGGGATTTGGGAACATTGGCATAGCGTGATTCCCCAAAAAACTATACGTAAGTGATGGCGGCGGCTTTTTAGGAGGTGAGCGGTTAGAAAAAAATTAATCGCACAAAAGCAGAAGGAGTACTTACTACACTACAGTACGTAATTAGGTGTATTCGTACATTTTTAGGGGTGACGGTAGCTATTTACGTGGTAAGAGTACCTGAACTGTGCAATTTTTGTCTGATTGTTAACTAGCTAGAGTAACCGTCCGCTTGGGAAGGCTACTTGAAGTTGTAGGATTCGAATTTTATGGCGTAATCAGTTAAACGGCGTAAAATTTCAAAGCCTAGCTCGAACCTCTTCGACCCCTCCCAAATCCAGCTCTCCGGGAATTTGGAACGTAGCAAGATCGGCTGCGGTTGTGGCTTTGAAAAGGGTGGCGGCCGCACGTCCGCCGATTTGAGCATGAGGCCTTCCGCGGGCTCCCTCATGAGCATTTCCGGCACCGGCGCAATATCACTGTCCATCACCATCATCAACCGGCGATGCAGCGCTTAATCGCAAAAATGCTAATTCTGACTATGCAAATCGCAGAACTAGTACGGTAGTGAAAGCGGTCGTTCGGAGTACGGTAGCGCAGGCAAACGGCCAGGAATTCGCATATACAACGCGTCAAGGAAGTCGAAGCGTAGCGAAACTGGACCAAATAAATTTGAATAAATAAATCGAATACAATACACGGTTACCAAATTTGGAAAACGACATCTTGCTCAGAATTTTTTTCTCTATCGAACTAGCTAGGTCTCGCTCAAGAACTCCAATATCACCTAAAAGCGACTCCTTGTAAGATGATACAGTAACCGTATCTTACGATAATATAGCAAATAATGGGCAAAATTCTCTTGAAAGGTATGAAAATCAAGAAAAATCGAAAATACAATTTTTTAGAAAGATTCGACACGGACGGCGAGCCAAGCGACAGCAAATCGTACAGATAAAAATTAGAGAAATTCAATAGTTAAGGCGAGGTACGGTATCTGGGTATACTGTAGATCGAAAAAAGGGCATTTTAACGATAAATATTGCAAAAATTGTTGTCTTTTACCGCAAAAAATTAATCGAATTAAATTACCGTATTTTCATACAAATTAAGGCGATTCAATTACGTTTAAGGTACCCTTTAATTTTTCTGACTTCTTACTCCGTTTCCTCCTCAATCCAGGCGAACGATTCGGGGAAATTGGAGCGGGTTCTCGGCCCCTCCTCTAGTAGCTGATCACCAGCGGCCCCTGCGGCAAATGCAACAGGTGCAACACCGGCGGCTTCGATGGCTTTGAAGCGCAGCACTAAAGGCAGGGGAAAAATCCATAGTTTTCCAGCCTTCAATGGGCCTTTAACGCCCGAGAGGGTACTGTAAAGGTTCTAGAATGTAACTAAAAAATCGGTGCGCTTGGGTGCCCGGGAGAGGATTTATCGTACTTTGCGTGCTTGGCATTCGGGGGAAGAGAAATTATTGTACACCTGAATACCGTACCCATTTGTGTTTTTGGGGAAATTATCCATTCCGCATGACAACACAGTACGCAACGCCACGCATGCGGGGGTAAACTGAGGAAATTGGAAGTGCGATCGGGTAGTTGAGAGGGTAGAAGTTCGGAAATAGTACAGTAGACAGGCAATTTGTATAATTAAATCGTCAAAAAAGGCAGGAAAACCAAGCCTAAGCCTAAGCCTAAGCCTAACCGAAGCCCAAGCTAAGTCTAATCTAAGCCTTAACCTAAGCCTTCCTAAGCATAAGCTTAAGTCTAAGCCTAAGCCTACGCATTATCCTTCCCCGGCCTAGGCTGTCACCACCCCCTTTAAACTCTCCGCCGAACCTCGTTTCCGCCTCAATCCAGGCGAACGACTCGGGGAAGTGCGACCGCACGGCGATGGCCACCGGCGCGGGCGCGCTGGCGGCAAATCCGGAGGCGGCTTCCGCGCCTCCGGCATCCCGGAAAAACGCGCCGGCTGCTGGCGCGAACATGACCATCGGCACTAGGGTTCCAGTTTCCAATCAGTTACGCTAGGAAAATGACAAACAGGTGCTACCGTATCCAAAAAAATCTGCAGAGTAAAAGTGTGAAAAGGCACCCCAAAAAGGCCTGAAAAAAGTGGTTTGTCAAATGGTGCTACCGTAACCTGAAAGTACCGAAAAATCGGATTATGCAAATTTTTGAAATTTCGAGAATGTCGAATGAATGAAGAGCTGAAGAAGGCGGAAAAGGACAAAGAAACTAGATCACAAAATTGTATACGATGGATTTAAAAATGGGCTGCTGTAGTCTTTAGTTTTCAAAGACTTTTAGTGGTAAAAAAGATGCAAATTAGATTACCGTAATCGCCTGCGATTCCGCAATTACAATTGTCATTTTTTATTTTTCTATATTTTTTTTTGCAAATTACCCCCCGCGTCCCAAAACCAACTTTTCCAGCGCCTCAAAAAGCCACGTCTCCGGGAATTTGCTGCGCAGCTGCGGGGGAGCTGTGACGCGCGCCGGAGACGTCGCGGCTCGCGGTGTGGGGGCCGTGCTCGAAATGATGCCCAGGTTCGAGAAATTGACGCCACCGCCCGCTGCGGCGCCACCGAGCGCCGTGCGCATCATGTATTTGACTGAAATTGGGGTGGAGATGGACCGTCGTGGGGTACGGTAGGTGAAGCGCGTTGTAGCAAAGCCATTCAGAAGCCCCTAAGCCTAAGCCTAAGCTTAAGCATAACCTAAGCTTAAGCCTAAGCCTAAGCCTAAACCTAAGCCTAAGCCTAAGCCTAAGCCTAAGCCTAAGCCTAAGCCTAAGCCTAAGCCTAAGCCTAAGCCTAAGCCTAAGCCTAAGCCTAAGCCTAAGCCTAAGCCTAAGCCTAAGCCTAAGCCAAACACAGCTTCGAAAATCGCGTGATTTTGTGGGCAACGGCCAGGGGTACGGTAGGTGGGGTGTACGGTATCTTGGAAGCGGGGGACTTTTAAGTAAATTTTAATTTTTTTTTGTCACCTACAGCAGAGACAGAAAGCGAGAGAAGAAAGACGGAGCAAGAGAGAGATAGAGAGCGAGAGAGAGAAAGAGGGAGAGAGAGAGAACGAGAAAAAATGAAAAATAATAAGAAAATTAGATTAGTCAACCAAACGAGCACTTCATGCCTGTGGGATGCAACAGAAAAAGTTGTTAATTTGATAGGCAAGTTTTTCTGGGTTTTGTGGACCTTATAAAACATAGACAACGCAAAAATATCCATCTAAAACGCAGCAAAACAATTTTTACAGTTTTAGACCTAAGCTAATTTCATAAATATCAAATCCACAGAACCCGAAAAATACCAAAAATATAGAGTTTTTGCGGTACCGCCACCAGGTGCTGTGTGCGGGGTGCGAACAAAAAATGCGAATTGAGAGGAAAATCGGGCCGAAAATTTTTTTCGCAAAAATATATTTTGTTAAGAATCGTAGTTTTAAGAAATGTGTTAGAAATGCCGATTTTTCTCCCAAACACTGCACGGCATAATCCGGCTCAAAGGGACTCACTTGGTGGCATCGGCTGTTCGTGTAAATAGGCATCGGTCAGCACCACCAAGCCAGCGTTCTGGAATAATCAATTTTAGACCTTTAAGACCTAAGCATCGTAAGTCTAAGCCTAAGCCTCAGGGCAAGCCAAGCCTAAGCTTAAGCCAAGCCTAAGTATAAGCCAAAGCCAAACCTAAGTATAAGCCAAAGCCAAGCCTAAGCCTAAGCCTAAGCAGAACCTAAGCTTCCTCTACCCAAAAATTCCCACCTTGAAAATGCTGGCCGCGTCCTTGCCTCCGATTCCCCACCACGGGTACCAGATCGACCTGAAAATATGCATAAAGTCCGAAAAGATCCATTAGACGTCCCATCCCTATAAATTTAGATACTACCGTACCGGCGCGCTCGGAAAGCTCCTTCCCAAGGTCTGTAGCTATCGCCGGTGGTCTCGTACTGCTCCATGTCCTCCTCAACCTAAAAGCAGAATATTATAGGAAATATAGCTATCTCTCTCGCTCTCTCTCCCTCTCTCTCACCCTCTCTACCTTCTATCTCTCTTTCTCTACTCTCTCTCTCCATACCATTTGCTGCGTAATATCATTTCCGCTCTTCAGCAGCAGCACGCTCTGATCAACGGCGAGCAGGCCAACGTATGAATCAGGGTCGGCGTGAATCTAAAATCCCGGAATTACAGTATCTCAAAAATCCAGAATTTTACAAAACTATAAGCTACAAATTCAAGGCACTAGGCACCCACCTTGAACTTGACCTTCTCGCCCGGTTGCGCCGAGTTCGGCTCGATGGCGAGGCTGACGTTGTTCCTGAACAGTATCCAGTAGACTGGGCTTGATTACGATATGGAAATAATCAGGAAATATGCTTAAGACATTCGATTACGCGAGGTAAATCACCTGAACAATCCGGCGACCTTGAAGTCGGTGGCGTCGACGAGGATCTCGTTGTTAGCGGGGCGGATGGCGTAGACGAGCAGTTGGGATTTGGGCGCCATCTGAAGATGCATTAATTGGAGGAGGTTCTGTCTAAGTTTCTAAGCCTACGCCCAAGCCCAATCCGAAGCCTAAACCCAAGCCCAAGCCTAAGCCTAAGCTTAAGCCCAAGCCCAAGCCCAAGCCTACCTCGCTGGTCGCCGTAAACGTAATCGTCGTATGATCGGCATTCATCGGGATCTCCTTGGCCAAGACGACCGCCCCCTTGGACATGACCTAAAACCAAGCTAACTAAGCTTTGATCATCGACTATACCTGGTAGCTGAGCACGCCAATGTTCTCCGTAGCCTTGACGGTGAAGGAGAGTTGCTTTCCAGCATCCACCGTACCCTCATTGTCGGCGATCAGCTGCAGGAAGCTACTGGTGGGCGAAGCGGCCGAGTCGACGTAGCTGGAACATGCGGATTTTTGTATTAATACCAAGCTTAAGCATACGCCTAAGCGGAAGCCTAAGTTTAAGCCGAGTCTAATCCTAAGCCCAAGCCTAAGCCAAGCCCAAGCTAAGCCTAAGCCTCAGCCTAAGCTAAACGAATCCACGAAACTTACAGCGAGCTGAACAGCTGCGTGTTGGTGAAGTTGTCCTTGCCGAGCCGGTCGTACTGCGCCTCTACCCGGATTGAGGTGCAATTTAGCGGCGGCTGTAGCTGGAGTACGGTAGTGCCATGGGCATCGAGGTCGACGATTTTAACCTAGAAATCGTTTTAAAGGTACCGAGAAGGCAAATCCATAGATCGGCCTGCAGTATTCGTTCCCCAAACTATTTTAAAGGTATTGGGAAGGCAAAACTACCGTAATATCCTATTCCTTACCTCCTTGTCCTCCTGCTGGCTTGTCCGTTCCGGGTTGTAGGCGTAGTTGTAGACAGTGGTTACCTGCGAACCAGGCGTCAAGTTCAAGAAGTACAGTACGCACCTGCACTCGCTTCGGGACCGAGGCGGGCACCGGCGTGTCGTCGACCAGCTTCAGGGCGACGACCACGTTGTAGGAGAGACCCGGCTTGAACGACTCGCCCTGCTTCTCCAGTTCGAGCTTCGTGTCGTCCTTGTAGACGGGCATCTAGAGCGCGGAATTCGAAAGATGTCGCTCTCTCCCGTCGCTCTCTCGCTCCCTCTATCTTGCTCTCTCTCTTTCTCTCTCTCTCTCTCTCTCTCTCTCTCTCTCTCTCTCTCGTTCTCTCCACCTACCGTAGCCGTGTTGTTCCTCTCGATCTCCGTCAAATCTTCGGTGACGATGGCGACGACACGAATTGATGAGCCCCAGTCCTGAAAAAGTCGAATAGTTAAGCCTAAGCCTAAGCCTAAGCCTAAGCCTAAGCCTAAGCCTAACCTAAGCCTAAGCCTAAGCCTAAGCCTAAGCCTAAGCCTAAGCCTAAGCCTAAGCCTAAGCCTAAGCCTAAGCCTAAGCCTAAGCCTAAGCCTAAGCCTAAGCCTAAGCCTAAGCCTAAGCCTAAGCCTAAGCCTAACCTAAGCCCACGCCTAGGATCTCACTTGTTAACACCCACCCGAACCAGCCGGAAGTCCTTCAGTTCCTTGTTCGTGAAAGTGACAGTCCCCTCCCCAGAATTTCCGAGCTTTACAGTACGCTCGAGCAGCGCTTCCGGCTGCGTCTCCTTGGTGGTGCCGTCCGGGTTGACGATGACTGGGCTACGGTATGCCCATCTTGCATAGGGCTCCTCGAGGCGCACCTTGGCCTTGCCGGCCACGCCTTTGCCGTAGGTGTACCTGGAAAGGGCGAATGGTCTCTACTAGCTTGCCCAGACTCCTGAGGTTGTCTCCGCTAGCTCGCCCTCCTCGAAAATCTTGAACACCTACTTGGCGTTGACCAGAATTCCAAGATCTCCCTCAGTCGTGATGAAAGAGGGGGTCTTGATGTTCACTTCAAACTTCGGGAGCACGTACTTTTCGACGGAGAAGGTCTTGCTGAAAAGCGAGAGTTACAGAGGGAGAGAGAGAGAGAGAGAGAGTGAGCGAGAGCGAGAGATAGGGATAGTGAGAGAGAGCGAGCGAGAGAGAGAAACTTACGAGAACTTGACTCCGGACTTGCTCTCGGCCTGGATCTGCCAGTCACCAAGCGGGGGTTCGGCAGCGAGTTCGAGCTCACCAGAGTAGACGCCTAGAAGGCATGATTATAATTTGAAACGAAGCTCACTAAGCCTAAGTCTAAGCCAAGCCAAAGCCGAAGCCTAAGCCCGAGCCTAAGTCAAAGTCTACGCCGAAGCCACGCCACCTACCTTTGTTGAGCGGCTTGCCGACGTGCTGCTGGATGACGTTCTGGCTGGGGTCGATGATCTTGAGGGATACCGTATCCTTGAACGGGGTCAGGTCGGGGTTGATCAGCACCGCGCGGTATTTTACTAAAAATCAAGATAATTATGTTTGAGAAAGCGAGAGAAAGAGAGCGAGATAGAGAGAGCGAGAGGGAGAGCGAGGGATAGGTAGATATACCCACCGGTGCTTCCCGGCTTGTAGATGGCCTTGTCGGTCTGCACGAAGATGGACATGTGCTTGGAGTTGTAGTTGACCGTTTCCTCGGCTTCAAATAGGGTCGAACCGCCGATGGTCTCGGCGCGGACGTAGACCTAAAGTTCAAGGAGTAAAGATAGCTTACTGTGCCGGCGTAAGGTCAAATGATCTCTGCTAGCTGTCAATTTTTAGGGAATCTTTCGTCGCTGTATAGCTTTAAACGCTCCCTTTAAACGCTAAAAGTCCCTACCTTGTAGCCGGTACTTCCGGTCAAAGCATCAGCCGGAAGTGGGGCGATGGTGACAGTCTGCGGCGAGCCGACTTTCACGTCCTTGACGACTCGAGTCCCAATCGTCTGGTTCTTATCCGAACGGACTTCGACTCTAAAGGTATCATTAATGGGCGATTCAAAGAAAATAAGTAGCTTCGGCTTCTGTCTACACTTGGCTTAGGCTTAAGCTTAGCCTAAGCTTAGCTTAGGCCTAGCTTAGGCTTAGCTTAGGCTTAGCTTAGGCCTAGCTTAGGCTTAGCTTAGGCTTAGGCTTAGGCTTAGCTTAGGCTAAGCTTAGGCCTAGCTTAGGCTTAGCTTAAGCTTAGGCTTAGCTTACTTACCGAACGATATGGTCGGTCTCCTGCGACTTCAGAATATTCACCGAGACGGCATACGGTAGCCCGGGGCGCACCACCTTCGGAGCAACAACCATATATGTAGATGGGCTAAAGATCGTAAATAAAGGTCCTAAATGGTCAATGCTAGGCTGCCATGGCCCCAAAACTTACTATTTCTTTTCGGGTGCCAACGTCGTTGTTGGTGCGCTGGTGGGAGGGACGATACGGACGGTAGGGGTTACCTAGAGGTAGAAACGTTAGAGAGAGAGAGAGAGAGAGAGAGAGAGAGAGCAAGCGAGAAACTCACCAATTCTGCTTCTTTCGTGGTGGCGGCCGTGGTCTCCTCGACCTCGTCGGCCAGACAGTAGCTGGCCACCGCCAGCAGTATGTAGATGGGGAGCCGCATGGCTGAAAAAGGTTATCTAGAAGGGCCAGAGAGAGAGGGAGTGAAACTAAGCGAGAGAGCGAGAGAAAAAGAGAGAGAATGAGAGTGAGTTAGATAGAGAGACAGAGGGAGTGGGAGAGAGAGTGAGAGAGAGCTAAGAGAGAGTTAGCGAGACAGCGAGAGAGAGAGAGAGAGAGAGAGAGAGAGAGAAAACGAGAGTGCGAGTAGGAGAAAGGCAGCACAGCTTCAGATATTCAAATTTCGCCTCCATAACCCCAGCGCCAGGGGTCATTTTCGAGGGCGAAAGTGGGGCTCACGAGTGGCTGAGGATCAAAAGAACAGAAAGCAAAGAAAAAGACGAGCGAATGGATTGACCGGATGGGGTGGAAGCGGGAAAAGACAAGAACCGGCTTTCTCCTCCCGGCCCATCAGCAAAATGCCAAAAAAATGGCTCACGTAATCAATTTTTGGCTAGAAGGCGGTGCGAGAGAGGAGAACGAGAGAGAGAGAGAGACAGAGAGAGAGAGATATTCTCTCTCTCTTCCGTTTCCTCGGAAATTTTTTTCAGAAATTCCGCGATGCTACCTAATGCCGCTCCCCAAAACGAGCTCTACTTTTTAAACCCCTCGAAAACGGCTAAACTTTTTTACCCTACTGTCCGTTCCACTCCCCCGGTACGTCTATTTTCACAGGGCGCGCGTGAGTAGCCCAAAAATGGGCGGATTTGGGCGGTGAGTCACCCACCCCCCCACAGTTTAGCCAACCGGATAAAACAGCTTTTTTGAATGGAGAGAGAGAGAGAGACAAAAAAAGGGAGAGACAGATAGAGAGAAAGCCAATGTTGGGCAAACGGCCTTGAGCGGCATTTTTTTAAACGCCGTCGAATGATGTCAGCGAGGAACGGAATCTCTAGCATAGAAAGAGAGAGAGAGAGAGAGAGAGAGAGACAGATAGAGACAGATAGAGAGAGCCGAAGATTTCAAGGAACATTCTTGAAAGACCTTTATAATCGACGATCTTTACAGTTAATTAAACATTGAATCACCAGGAAAACAATACTCAGACTAAAGGTAAATCAAGAAAAAATAACGAGGTGCAAAGGTAAATAGATAGGAGGTGTGGCTGTCTTTCCTCATCCTGACTCCACCTAATAGTCATCTGCTAGCCTGCCCTTTCCTAAAGAATCTCTGCTAGCCTGCCCTTTCCTAAAGAATCTCTGCTAGCCTGCCCTTTCCTAAAGAATCTCTGCTAGCCTGCCCTTTCCTAAAGAATCTCTGCTAGCCTGCCCGTGACGCAACCGTAACAAATCGGAAAAACAAATTGACCACCCGGAGGGTTCGGAAGGGGTGTTGGGAGGGTGACAAGTGTGTGGTGGGGGGGTGCTCGGCTTCTTGTTCGAGCCCTCAGGCTATAGGGAGGGGAGGGAGAAGATGAGTGCCTTAGCCGGGGGAGACGATGTAGACAAATACCGACATATACTCATTTTCGCGACTCTCTAATCCCCTTTCTCTCTCTCTCTCTCTCTCTCTCTCTCTCTCTCTCTATCCGAAACGTCGCCTTCTTTGTTTTCCAAAACGCATCGCGCTCTGGCTTTCTCTCATTCTCTCTCTCTCTCTTTCTCTCTCTCTCTCTCTCTCTCTCTCTCTCTCTTTATCTCTCTCTCCTCTTTTGCTACCAATTTTTGAGGCCCGGTTTGGATTTCAGGAAACCCCCCATGGGGTCCAGGGCTTATTTTGTGGGCTGCTGGCTCTATACGAGCGATTTTTGAGAGCTGGAGAACTTCAAGAAGTACAGAAAAAGTGCAGAAATAGGCTTAGGCTTAGCTTGGGCTCAGGCTTCGTTAAGCTTAGCTTTAATCCACCCAAACACCGGAAAATCGAGAAAACGAAGCTCAAAATTCTGAAGCTAAAAAATTCTAAAAATCAGGTTCGACCCCCTTGAAGCCGTCACGTTCTGCCGGGTGTGTAAAGCACGGGGCTGAGGCCAAAAACCGTGGCTTAAATATATCCACCGGGTGGGAAACATTTGGAGAACGGCGAAGCCCCGCCCCCAAATTGAGCACCAGCAATTTATCATCAACGCTGAACAGTTGGCTGGAGGACTTGGGGAAAGCCCGGCGGCTTCTCTTGATCTCTCTCTCTCTCTCTCTCTCTCTCTCTCTCTCTCGGTCTCTCTCTCTTTCTCGCTCTCTTCGACTCATCATTTTGGTGTTACAAAAAATTAAAAAAGTTTGGGACACTCACATAAACGAAGGGAAATCAGGCGCTTGGTGAGTCATTGGGGAGGAATGGGGTAAACAGGTAAAACAAGGAAGTTCGCGATTTTCGAGAATAGCGTTCAAAAGGTTTAAATGATCATGGCTAGCCTGCCCAAGCGGATGTGAAAAGACTCGATTTCCACAAAGAATCTCTGCTAGCCTGCCCACGGGGAGGCCGCAGGACCAGTTCCACCAAGAATCTCTGCTAGCATGCCGTCTTTTCATCGCTTCTCTCGAGTTTTTAGAAACTCGCTAAAGATCTCCGCTAGCCGGGGACCAACATTTTGGCAGACTGGGCTTTGAGAGTTTTTCCTCAATGATCTTTGCTAGCCTGCCAAGAGTAGCCCGATTTTCTCACCGGTTTTTACACTATTTTCCTAAAGGAAGCCTGCGATGGTCAGGAAGGCGATTCCCTGAAAAAAATCGAAGTTCTCAAAGAATCTCTGCTATCTAGCCCAAAACTCGATTCAGAGGTATATAGCAGTTTTCTAAAGCTATCCTAAAGAATCTCGGCTAGCTTGCCAGGGTCACTTCCGGTTTTGAGAGTTTTGTCGCGGTAAACCAACTCAAAGGATTTCTGCTAGCTCGCCTCAATACCAATTTTAAGGGCTTTTGAAGTTCTTAATATTCCTTGAAATTCCTTAAGGATTTCTGCTAGCCTGCCCTTGCTAGATTTTTAAAGGCACAATGAAGACAAGCATAAACGATTAGGCACTGTAATACTTCCGTTAAAATCTGAAACATTCCTAATAAAACTCCGATGACACATTGTATTTTTTGTGGCCTAACCCTGACCTCTCCACATCATTTCCAACAAACATTTTCACGACCGCTACACTGCCAAAAAATAAATCCGTAAATAATTGGCCCGGGGAGCGGGGTGGAACGGATTTTTTTTTGGCGTATTTATACCCCGCTGACTCATTTGAAATTATTCGCCGAACCTTTTTGCACGAATTTATCAAATAACACGTGTGTGGATAGGAATCGGTGGAAATTTTTGGAAGGGGGAGAGCGAAAAATGACCGGATTAATACCGTAATCCGGGGGTCAATGGGGAAAATAGAGAATCAAAAGTTGGGGAGTGCAAAAAGTGTTCCGGGTTTTGCAAGGAAAGAGAGAGAGAGAGATTGAGAGAGCGAGAGAGAGAGAGAGATAGAGAGGCAAAGATAGAGAGAGAGAGTGAGAGAGAGAGTGAGAGAGATAGAAGGTCTATGCGTTAGGGAGTGTAAATAGAAGGAAAACATGCCTTCAGCGGTCCTTTAAAGCATAGCCTTCCTGGTTCCTTTAAAGCACAAACTATTCTTGTCCAGAGGTCGAAATTCAGATGGGATGGTATAATGCTCGCTAAAAAACTCGGCGCGCGGATTTGCCTTGCAGGGCCCTTTAAAAGTCAAAAACGACGGATTCGAGCGGATTTTTCGACAATCACATAGTTTGGGTTTAGGATTTAGGATGCAAATCGAAGTTGCGCCTGCGGGTAGTGAAAGCCGGCCGAAATCCTTGGAGCCCTTATGCGCTGCTGGGGGTCGGGGGCTTTTAGAAGTCAACTCAAGAAGAAAGAGAGAGAGAGAGAGAGAGAGAGAGAGAGAGAGAGAGAGAGAGGGAGAGGGAGGGGGAGAGATCAGGAGAGATACAGAGACACAAACAGCAAGACAAACCGACAAAACGGACGGGCAGAAGATGGAAATTGGAACCAGTTCCTCCATTCCACCACTACCCATCCCGAACGGAATACACACACCCGGTCGGATGCATTATGCATCTACACGAACAGCTGGAGCAGAACAGTGATGTTGGGCAGGCTGGCAGAGGTTTTTTAGGAATTGGAGGGGGCTGCAGAGGCCATTTGGGAATTCAGGAGCAAGCTAGCAGAGATTCCTTAGGTAAGCGCAGGCTAGCAGCGATTCTTTAGGAAAGGGCAGGCTAGCAGAGATTCTTTAGAATTTCGGAAGGATCTTCTATATCGGGTTTCGAAGATGAAGGACAACTCTCAGAAAATACGCATCACTACGCAACAGTCCTTTAGACGCCCTTATTCAACTTCTAGCCGAGCTAGCAATCCGGGAAAGCGGGCCGAAACGTAGGCAATTAGCATACAGGGCTGTTCTACGAGGAGGGAACCCGTTTTGTTTTGGCTGGCCGGGAAAACCTTTAGCTTGCGAATTCCGCTACATTACTCATTACGCATGCGGTGGGGAGAGGGGAAAGTAAAGTATACGATGGAAATAGTGAATCGTATGTTGTAAGTGAGACCACAGAGAGAGAGAGAGGGGGGGGAGAGAGAGCGAGAGAGAGAGAGAGTACGAGAGTGAGTGAGAGCTATCGAGTCAGAGAAAAGGCTACGGAGACCGAGAGAGCGAGTGAACTATAGAAAGAGACAGCGAGCGAGAGAGACAGAGAGAGAGAGAGAGAGAGAGATGGTGAGAGAAAGCGGAAGAGTGAGGACGAGGGAGAGACTGGGAGCGAGAGAGAGACAGCGAGAGACAGAGCGACAGAAGAGATATCCAGAAGCGGGAGAGCGAGTTTACCATAATTGCACAAAGCAATTTCACACCCTAATGTCAACATTTGAGCGCGTACGAAGCAAGACCATTTGCGGAAATCAATCATATCCGTATATCCAAGGGGGGGGGGAGGCGGACGATGGGTTGCGCCTCATCACTTTGCATCCCCGCGCGAACGGGTCAAAGGAGGATGAGCAGCAGAGGAGCAACAGAGGGAAAAGAGAAAAGATAAGAGATGATCCGCTTTTTCGAGGTCATGTCCACTAGCCATTCTCCCGGCCGGGAGTAGCTCGAGATGATGGTTTTGGAAAAGCAAAAAAAAGATGGTACTTCCGGAAAGGCAAAAAACAACCAAAAAAATGGAGAAAATGAACCAAATTGCAAGTAACGCAAGAACTGCGAGTGCCAAATGCTGCTGCTAGATTGCCTTTTCTAAAGAATCTCTGCTAGCCTGCCCTATCCTAAAGAATCTCTGCTAGCCTGCCCTATCCTAAAGAATCTCTGCTAGCCTGCCCTATCCTAAAGAATCTCTCCTAGCCTGCCGTCTCCCAATTCCTCAAAGAACCTCTGCTAGCCTGCCCACAAAGCAAAAGCCCCCGAGGCGTGTAATTTAAATGCCGGGTGTCTAAAGGAAAAATCCGTCAAGCGAGGTAGGGAATGGAGGGACTATTCGCTTCCAGGAATCTTTCTCTCTCTCTGTCTCTCTCTCTCTCTCTCTCTCTCTCTCGCCCTCTCGCCCTCGCTCTCTGCCAGCGGATTGGTAGTGGTTGTGTATTCAAGGTCAGTTGAAGGCTGGAAGGCGGAAAATTGGCTCCCACGGGCTGGAGGCACAGAGCCCGATTCACTTGTCAACATAGCCCGCCACTTTTTTGAATCCTGGAGCGCCAAAAAAGAGGTTGACTGGTTTCGAAAGCTAGAGGGAGATTTTGGTGGTTTTTGGAAGATATCCAACGGACTATGGGATTAGGTTCTTTTGCTTAGAGAGAGAGAGAGAGAGAGAGAGAGAGAGAGAGAGAGAGAAAGAGAGAGAGAGAGAGAAAGAGAGAGAGCGAAAGAGAGAGAGAGAGCGAGAGAGAGTGACGGCGAGGAAGCGAGAGACAGCGGGAGCGTTAGATAGGGGAGTTTAAAGGTTTATAAACTATCTTAAAGGTGTAGCGACATCAGAAAAAAGCTTGCTAGCTTTTTCCGTCTCGAATTTCATGCTCAAGTTCCACAGTTCATGCTCCCCGCCCTGCTCCCGAATTTCCATCACAAAAGCAAAAAGCCGGCGGAGCACGGGCTGGTCTCAGGACTGGCGCCACCCAAATGACACCCAATTTATAGCAGGACAAGACCGAGGAGTGAGCACAGGGGTCGATGTGCACTTTTTTCTTGTTGTCCCCCCGCGGAGTCCGACGGTTCCGGGGCGGGGAAATAAAAATGTTGAAATTTAGAGTGTGCAGGATAAACAAAAATGCCTTGTGATTTGATGGCTAAGTGCTTTTTGTAAATCTTTCGTTTCCTTCTGAGCAGTTTTAAACGGTATATACATATACAAAAAAATCTGGAAAACCTAGCTTTTATTAACGCTTAAAATGAATACCTTCTTGGATTCTGATGTTTTATTAAAACTCTATAGACGTTGTTTTTCACCAAAAAAAAATGAAAAAAAAGAATTTAAATCATTTAAAAGGCCTTCAAAAACATCTTGTGGCGTTTTTAGAAGTTCAGGGTTGTTATTTGGATTTGCAAAAATTAAAATTCATTTCAATGGCGAAAACCTGTCCCGCGCAACTTTCGGTATAAAGGCCATCCTCGGCAAGCCCGAGACGATCATAAAAAGGGCACCGTTTAGGGGCCGTCTTGAGGAGAGAGAGAGAGAGAGAGAGAGAGAGAGAGAAGCATAAAGGACTTGATGCATAATAGGGAACGGTTCCTCTCTCGACCGGCTGTGAGTACCGTACAACCCAGATTCGCCTCGAGACTGCTTGAGAAAGCCGCTGAATCGGGGGGAAAGTGAAACGGGCTGGCAGGTCCCGGTTAAGCTTTCCCCGGTTTTAAAGGGATTGTGAAGCCAGATTTGCTCATATAATGTCGGAAACCATAATGCCGAAATTCACGATTTTTCAAAAAACGCTAAGGACTTTTTAAGAGCCGCTGAAGTCAAACTTTAAGCTCGAGCAGGTTTTAAAGGAACATGGTAGGCAGATTCAGACATCTGCGAATTTTTAAACGAGCGGCCAATCCAAACCATGAAAATTGTTTTAAAGGACCGTTGAAGTGTCCATACAGACTTTAGTGGGTCTTAAAGGGCCATAGAAGGCAGATTCTGGCATCAGCAAGCTTAAAGGGCCATTAAAGCCAATCCAAACTTGAAAAATGATTTTAAAGGCGCGTTCAAGCCAACTCCTTAGTTTAAAAGCAATTAAAGGGACTTTGAATCGAAGTCTCTCCGGCAGAAAATTTTTAAAGGGATGTTAAAGGCAAGGTTTTGATTTTTTAAGGCATGATTGAGGTTATCAATCGACGGGAAATGATTTTAAAGGACCATTAAAGGGACCATAACCTGACAGGAAGTCTTTACCGGAACGGTCGCCCCCGAATTGTTGACTTTCTCCCCGGGTTCTCGCGCGCCGAAATTGCCCAAACGGGTTAACCGATTTACCGTCCCCCCCCCCCCCATTTTCTTACGGACTTTTTTTGGCCGGGGGAGCGTTCCGTTAATCGGCTACCCAAATTGAGACACTCGCGTTTGGGAGGAAGGAGAGAGGCAGTCGCTATGCAAATATCAGAACGCCCGGAATGCATGAGAAAAGTTTTTATGTGAGTTTAAAGGGGTTGAGACAGCAAAAATTCGTCGTGTCGAATTCGATGATCAAAAATTCACGCTTTAAAGGGAGCATGACGCCATAATTTCAGTAAAATTATCCCAAAATGTCGCTTTTTTTGTTGCTTTCCAGTTTTCCCGCTTTAAAAGGAAACTACATCCTTAATTTCATCGATTTGAGTTAAAAAATCGCCAAAAAAAGAATTTTTGCGCCACTTTATGTGTTTTAAAGGGAGTGTTGCACTCCAAATTTGCAAAAATCAATTAAGGGGCACAAAAACCGGGTTTTTAAGGGCTTATCTCGCTCTTAAAGTGAGCATTAGCTCAAATTTCCATGAATTTGAGTGAAAAACACAAGGAAAAACTTCTTAAGGAGTTTACGCACTTTCAAGGAGATGATGGTGTCACCGGATTTTTGTCCGTTTGGTCAAAAGGTCGACAAAAAGGACTTTATTGCATAATTTAAACCAAGAATTTTGGCAATATATTTAAGATTAATCCTGAAAAAAGACGCTCCAGTTTCAGGGATACCGTAACCCGCTGAACCGTCAGGAGTCGTGCGGCCGGAATTATGGTGCTGGTTGGTAGCCAAACCGGAGGGGTGAAGTGGCTGCTTCGACACAGGGGTCGCAGCTTAAGCTTCGTGGAACAAGAAACGGAAGAATAAGCTTGTTACAGGGCGACAGAGAGAGATAGAGAGAGAGCGAGAGAGAGCGAGAGAGAGAGAGAGAATGAGAGCGAGCGAGGGGAGAGGCGGAGAGAGAATTTCCGAAGCGGTTGGGGCCCATTCTCGGGGCCTTTCTTGCCTGGGGGCCAAACCGTTGCGTCGGCGCTTCACTCCCCGCGCGGGGGGATGGGTAATCCCCGCGACCCGCTGAGACAATATACTCGCCGGGGGTGACCCATCCTAGCCGGTGGGCCTTGGGAACTTCGGTCCTGGGGCTGGAAATTTGGGGAAGATCGGTTTTGAGCTTAGAAAAATGAGAAAACCCCAAAGTTTCTGAGGAATCCTGGCTAAGCTTAGATTAAGCCTAAGCCTAAGCCTATGCTACGGCCTAAACCTAAGTCTAAGATTAAACCTAAACCTAAGCCCAAGCCTAAATCCAAGCCTGCGATGGACTCGACATTAACCGAAAGAGAGAGAGAGCGATAGAGAGAAAGGGAGAGAAAGAGAGAGAGAGAGAGAGAGAGAGAGAGAGAGAGAGCGAGAAACGCGAAGAAATGCACTTACCACAACGAAGCGCCAAGTTAATAAATGCCCCCAGGCGCTAACGGCGATTAGTAGCACCTCGCAGCTACTACCAGCCGCCTCGAGCCCACAATTATGTTATGCGCCCATCATTAGCTGGGGATTCATCTCCGCTATGGGGTAGCCGGAGGGCATTCGCGGCCCAGGATCGTTATTATCTGTCACATCCTCCTCACCCCAGAGGGCTCGACAAATAGGGATTAGTCGCTTATGCAACCGCCTATGATGTTATGCGGCGAAAATCGTGCAAAATTGGCTTTAAAGAGACATTGAAGGTTGCGAGGCTATGGATTATCATGCGAAAACCTAGGCCTAAGGCTAAACCTGAGCATAAGCCGAAGCCTAAGCGTCATCCTAAGCCCATGCCCAATCCTAAGCCTATAATTGAACTCCAAAGATCAACCACAGCAAAAACAGGATGACCATCTACTGGGAAACCCCGATTCGACGCGGCGATCGACTACGCGACGATCCGTCTCACGCATCGTTTCACGTCCTGTTTGCGGGTTGTCTTCCACGCCACACCAAAGGGACACACGCGGAAATGGTGCACCCCCCAGATCCCCCGCGAAATGGAAATTTGATCCCCATCCTGTCCAAGACGAAAAACCCCGGGTTCTTCGAGTGCGTGTACTTCGGTGATACTAAAAACGAGCAGACATCGAAAAACTCAGAGCGTACTTGTTCGGAATTCGTAAAAAGTGTAATAATTTATTCAAAAAGCCGTCAACATGTGGGCTCTCTTCTTGCAGACGTAGTTCGCGTAGAGTTGCGTAGCATTCCAGCCGCTCCAAGAGGTGCTTTGGCAGGCAGGGTCGCTCATCTGAAGGACGTAGGTTAGAGAGAAAGGGAGAGAGAGCGCGAGATAGAGAGAGGGAGAAAGAGAGAGCGAAAGAGAGGGAGGGAGAAAGAAAGAGAGAGAGAAAGCAAGAGAGAAAAAGAGCGAGAGAGAGCGAGCAAGAATGAGAGAGAGAGAGCGAGATTGAGAGAGCGGGAGAGAGAGTGAGACAGGGAGAGAAAGCAAGAGAGAGAAAGACAATCAGAAAAGCGATACCCCATAAGAATCAGCCATTCCCAGCCCAGTGTTGTAGTCGAATGCGCTGCCGTCGGTCCATTTGCTATGGCTGAGCCCGATGACTGTTTGAAGGCGGGCGTCGCAGTCGTGTTGATAGGTAGACATCGCCGAAGAGAGCAGGTCTAGGATAAATTTGGATGAAGCTGGATTAAACGAACTAGCCAAACTCACCAGCAACGAACTGGTTCTCCGCGTCACTGTGAATCGACACTAGATGCGAGCCCTCATTGGCACAGACAGCTTCGGCGGTGGTGAAGTTGAGTTGAGGGGTTGGGTTCCAGTTCATCGCCTGAAAAACATCTAGAATAACGTTTTCTAAGCTACCATTTGGGTGTAGTAGCAGTAGCCGGTCATCGGGAAGTACGTCCAGCCGGGCAGGCAAACTATAGATGAGGATTCTGGGGAACTAAATTTAGATACCTCGAGCCTGATCTGGCGTCGTGCAGATGAAGGCTCGCTTGCCGAGGCAATCAGCAGAGTACCAGAAGAAGTCCGAGCTGTTCAGGACGACACATCCGTGATCGGGGTTGTTGATCTCGGCCGCTTAATTTAGAATTGCAATCAGAACGAGAGAGAGAGAGAGAGAGAGAGAGAGAGAGAGGGAGGGGGAGAGAGAGAGCGAGAGAGAGAGAATGCGAGGGAAAGCTAGAGAGCAAGTCACCCTACAAAACTTACGACTCTTCCAATTCTGATACTTCAATTCCGTTCCGTCAGCGTAATACCACGTGCCATCGATACGTTCCACACCTATGTACGTCGCCTGTCCTCCAAGTTCTGCAAATTGACGCCGTCGGATTTGGTGGATTTAGCTTTACTTACCCGCCGCATTCTGCAGCCCGGCCATCAGATTCTCGTCGTTGCTCATCGGCTGGATGAGACGACCGCCAAGTGAACAAATTCGTCCTGCCGTTCCGTAGGTGGCGCCTAAGCAGGGGTTGACAACGGGCCGGGCCGGGCCGAAGGTCTGGCGGGCCCGGGCCGGGCCCGGGCCTGGATTTGGGGGTCCGGGCCGGGCCGGGCCCGGGTTTCTGTGCCGGGCCCGTCGGGCCCGGATCGGGCCCGATTTTGATGATTTTTAGGCCATTTTTGCGAATTTTCGGCCAAAAATCGTGATTTTTTTCAAATTTTTTGAAACTTTTCCAACTTTTTTAGGTTCTTTTTGTTAGGTTTTTGGCTCTAAACCCTATTTTTCAATTTTTTTTTGCTCCGGGAGTTGCAGGCTAGGTTAGTAGGGCCGGGACTTTTCTTAGAAAAACTTTTCAAATAACCCACGATGGTCGCTGAAGCTGCAGATGAATGGCCTTTTGGTGGTGCATGGGGATGCGGTCCAGTAGGTGGTTGTCGCTTGCATGATCCCGCAGTCGTAACCCACCTGCGTCGGAGGACCTAAGAGGAAAAGCGGCTTCTATCCATTTTGACAAAGGAAAAAGGACATCAAAGTACTGTTACTTCTTGTAGAAAAAAGGCATCAAAGTTAAAGTAAACTTACTTCCCTGCCATTTCGTGAAATTCATCATCGACCCGTCGCCGTACTTCCAGGTCCCGTCTTGGCGTCGTACTCCGATGTAGACATCACGGTTTTTAAGGACTAGAAATAAAGGGTCGGTCTTAGATCACACTCACTATCTCTCTCTCTCTCTCTCTATCTCTCTCTCCATCACTATCGTTCACACTCCCCTTCTCTTTCTCTCTCTAGCATATCTCTTGCTCTGGCTCTCTCTCTCTCTCTCTCTCTCTCCACCTTTCTCTCGCTTTCTTTCACTTACCCTGCGTCTTTTGCGAGCTGACAAACGAATTTTCCAAGTCGGTCTTCGGTTGCACCAAGCGACCACCAAATGCTCGGCACGTCCTTTAAGCGCTGTCGTAGGTGGTATCTAAACTCATACTTCAGTAGTGACCTAGCGACGTCTTCAGCTCACCCGCATCTACCGCAAAAATACACTCATTCCTCTCTTTTTTCCTATATTTCCTATATCTATATATATATATATATATATATATATATATATATATATATATATATATATATATATATATATATATATATCTATATATCTATTTTCCTATATTTCCATCACTAAATTCCAGGGAACCATCTGGGCAAAACCGAGCTTGAGCTGCAGCGATTAGCAGCAGGGCGATCGTGCCTAATTGCAGCATTCTAAACTAACAGATTTTAGAAGCTTTTCAGGTATCCAGAAATTGCTAAAGGTGCTAGAACCCAAGGGGCACGTCTACTAGCAAGAAGCCGCCGAACTGAATGACTTACCAGGCTCCATCTCTTTTTATAGAGGGCCTCGGAATCCACCGGGGCCACCGCCCCTCTTATCTCGACTTACCGTAAGTTTCGACGCCGCGAACAATGGAGTTGGGCAAAATTTACGGCTCATTTACGGCTACTGGGGGTTGTCTAATGCTGTCACTGAACCATTATCAGCTGAAAATTCCGGGTTCCCCAGGCTTCGGGTACGTTTAGGATAACTACCCCTTTCTGGAGAGCTGCAAACACCGTCTGTGTGGGGAGGCAAGACGGAGAGAGCGCGGAGAGAGCCGAGAGAGAGAGAGAGAGAGAGAGCGAGAGAGAGAGAGAGAGAGAGAAAGAAAAAGAGGTATTTTGCATTTATCGTTGCCCTGAATCGTTTATTAACGAAAAGCATTGGTACGTCAAAAATTTGGTGCTAGAAATGGCTTCTGACTGCGTCGACTTAGCAATGCGGCTTCTTGGATTACAGCGATCCGCATCGCTATTTTTTTGCCAGCCAGTATACTTTTTGCACATGAAGCTGCTGTGAGCTGCGTTATACGACGCACCCTCCCAATAGGGGCTGCCGCAGGCCGGATCCCTGAGCTAGAAAGAGACCATATTTTGTAAGAAGTTATTTTTCCATTGAAATACACAATATTCTGCCATATGGAAAACACGCGATTTCGAAGAGGGTCCACTTCTTGGCACAAACCAACCCCCGAGCAACGTACCGCGAAATATGCATTCTTGGCTTAAAAAACAAACAGGATACCTACCGCAAAGGTAGACGACGTGTTTAGAACGCGGAGGTCGTAGTCGAACGGGGAGCCGTCGGTCCAAGTCGTTACGTTAAGTCCGATGACTGTTTCGTAGTAGGAGCAATGGTGTGGGAAACTTGCCATGGCTATCGCAGTCAAGTCTGGAAAACCGGCGTAACACCACCACTAGCAAATGCCTTGGGACACCGGTTCCGGGCTAATCCAGACGCTCTGAAACCCCGGCCGACACAGCACACCCACTCTGCACAAACTGATTCTCATGCTCGCTGTGTATCGAGACGAGGTTTGCCCGATAGAGCAAACTGCAGATGTATTCGCCGAGATCAAACGTGATGTTTCTCCAAGTAGTCCAGGCTATGCCCTAAATAGAAAATAAGATGCCGTATCGTGTCGGACCTACCATCGGCGTGTAATAGCAATCGCCGGTTTCCTTGTAGCGATGCCAACCTTCCGGGCAAGCTATAAATATGAGCCTAGTCCAGGCGAACAAGTGGAACTTGGCTCAGAGGCAGCCGAGTAAAACGTGATTTTGGAGTAGACCATTGGGGGTTTAGAATTTATTCGGGAATATTGATAGAATTAATTAAACTTAATAATGGGAATTTCGCCCTCTCGGTGACGACGTATAGGCCGACGTAGCGCAACACCGCCCCCGAAATCGGCCGGGGCCCGAAAAGTTCATAAGGATTCCCTTACAATTTTTTCTCAAAAATATTTCTGCCTACGGTGCTATTTACTAAAGTTTTTTTGGCCTATTTAAGAGCTATGCAACCTTCTTTTCCAAAATTTTTCGTCGGTGGCGCCGTGTAAAGGGCAGGTTTTACCGCCCGTACCTCATGCTTCCGCTGATCGCCCTCAACCCCTTTGACGCGCCAAAACTATGTAAGATTGAGCACGGATTTCGGAAATCGATTGTGTCAATAAAGTCACCCTTCGCCTCTAGTGTCCGGTCCACAGAATTGTCCGCTTTTACAGATTACGTATCGATTGAAACCCAAAAAATCATAGAGCATCCCAAGAATACAAGACCCAGGCTGTCAACATTGCTCCCCACCGTGGTCGCCAAAACTGCAGATAAACGGCAGCCGCGTGGCGCATGGCCTAGCGTCCCAGTACGCATCAGTGCTTCGGAGGATTCCGCAGTCCTCACCAATCTGCCACGGCGGAGCTGGGAATGGCTCGAGCTCAATTAATGGCCATCGCTAACTTACCGTCAGCCCATTTAGCATAGGTGAGATTTGATCCGTCAGCATACCTCCACATGCCATCAGTGCGCTTGACCCCGATGAATGCCTCTTGCCCTCCCAAAACTGAGTAGGATTCCGGGTATTGGGTGAGAAGTCAGAAATACCTTGCGTTTTTTGCGAGTTGGCGAAGGCATTTTCGAAAGCGTCTCCCAGCTGTATAAGGTGTCCGCCGAGAGCCTGGCATGTTTTTTGCGCGCTGTCGTAGGTAGCGTCTAGGTTTCTCAATATGGGAAAAGGAGCAGTATTGGCGCCATAGCGATTCCATGACCATCTTACTTGCCTGTGCTGGTCTACCTTAGTTGAGGGCTCACCTGCATCGACAGCTAAGATGCACTCATAATTGTCTCCATATTCCACGGAGCCCTCCGGGCAAAACGTGCTTAATGCCAACGGCAAAGCCAAAAGCACGAAGGTGATTGCACGCAACATCCTAAAGCAACATCCTAAAATGCAGTTCAATGGAAGTTTGTAGTTTATTAGAAACAAGAAAGTTGGTCCTCGCTGAAAGCGGCCAGGAAGTAAAAATTCGTGTGCTCGGGGATCGATCGACATTTCAAATCAAATACGATATTTCACGATTAAAGTGGGACAAAAGAGCTGGCGGGGCGGTCGCGTGGCAGCCGTGTCTGGCCCCCAAGTCAGGCTGAGGGCCTTGACCAGCCGGTGCCTTTTAATAAGCACGGATTCGATCAAATTTTTCTAGATCTCTCTCTCTCTCGCTCTCCCTCTCTCTCGCTCTCTCTCGCTCTCTCTCTCTCCCGCTCTCTCTCTCTCTCGAATTGCCGGGGCACCGCAAGGTACGGGATTTCTTGACTTGCAGGAACATTTAAAGGATCAAAATTCGCATAAAAGTTCGATTTAAAACTTGAAAGGCTCTAATCTTAAAGAAGAAGACGAATAGTCGTGTCCTTACTACAAATCATATTTGGCATAGGCCTACAACATACTAACTAGCGTCTAGCGCTTTTTATAAAGCTTTTGAGACCTCTACGGTCGGAGGGAGGTTATCTCTATGTGCGAAACTCAGGCAAGGTGCGCCTTGGTTTTGTAGCTAAACTGGACATTTAATGACTATCACGGGGCCATTTTATGCTGAAAATTAGTGATAAGAGATTTTTTCGGGCGCCTAATACGTAACTGGCCGGAGCAGCAAAATATTTTGCCGGGAAGTAACGAGCCAATTTCAGAATTTATTCAGTAATCAACTTATTGGTTTGCGGGCCTCTTGCAGATGAAGCTCGCGTAGACCTCGTCCAAGTTCCATCCATCCCAGGCTACGCTCTTACAGCCGGGTGGGAAGAGCTAAAAATGAAGGTTTGATGTGAAGCACATTATTCATCCCCCATAGCTCGGCCCATCCACGTCTCCGCCATTCGTGAAATCTACTGAGGTACCATCAGTCCAGGTTCGGCCGCTTAACCCAATGACGCCTTCGAGCCGGATCGAGCAGCCGGACGTGTAATTGCCAATGGCGTCGGCGTAAAGACCTAATTTTCCTGTAGCCGATTAACTGCAACTTTACCATTGACAAAATTGTTCTCGGCTTCGCTGTGGATCGATACCAGATGGGCTTGGTTTTGTACGCACAAGGCTTCTCCGGATGCAAATGTTATGTTGGGGGGTTGCGGGCCCCAGTTGGACGCCTTAAAAAGGTATATAGATAAGTTCAGCCTAAGCCAAAGCCTAAGCTTAAATCAGCTTTATCCTAAGCCTAAACCTAACCTAAGCCTAACCTAAGCCTAAGCCTATACCCAAGCTTAATATTAAGCCTAAGCTTAAGTCTAAGCCTAAGCCTAGGCCCAAGCCTAAGCCCAAGCCTAGGCCTAAGCCTAAGCCCAAGCCTAGGCCTAAGCCTAAGCCCAAGCCTAGGCCTAAGCCTAAGCCCAAGCCTAGACCGAAGCCTAAGCCCAAGCCTAGGCCTAAGCCCAAGCCTAACCCTACGCCGAAGCCTAAGCCTAAGCCTAAACCTACGCCCAAGCCTAAGCCTACGCCTAAGCCTAGGCCTCAACCAACCGAAGGTGTGTAATAGCAATAATTTTCATATCTTGTCCAGCCGTTCGGGCAGCTGTAGTCTAAATGAGTACATTTTTGGCGAAATGAAGATGACAAGCCATCGCCATATCAAAAAAAATGTAACCTCTACCGTACCCCTATCCGAAAACGTGCAAATAAACGGGCGTTTCGTAGCGCAATTTCCGGATATCCACTGGGCCGTCGTGCCGTTCAACATGGCGCAATCATTTCCGGTAATATTCGGCTCATTAACTAATTTTAAATATCTTTAAAAATTGGACAAAGTTGTACCACTTTTCCAGTTTGCATATGTTAATTGGGAGCCGTCAGCGTAGCGCCAGATTCCATTTGTTCTCGCTACGCCAATCCACGTGCTCCCGGCGTGCAGATCTGAAGCGGGCTTCAAAAATTTGTATTAAAATTTATACAAAATTTAAATCAAATAGCTCTATATTTTGCGACGTCTGATTTCTTAAATTATTTAATTATATAAAAATTGGCGCTAAAATTTCTATAAAATTAATCTAATTTATTCTTTCGTTTTATCGCATCTAGAGATTCAAAATTAGACTTATAAAAATGCAAATAAAAATAAAATAAATCTGAATTTAAACAAAAGCTAAATAGTTATTTTGCCAGCAGTTAAACCATCTAAAAGTACGAAACTTACTCTGCACGTTCTGCTGATTAACAAACGTGTTTTCGAAGGCGTTCCGCGGCTGTACTAATCTTCCGCCGATGCCAGTACACGCTTTTTGCGCGTTTTGAAAGATGGCATCTAAAATTTGGTAAAAATACTCATCTTAAAGGCTAACCCGCATCAATGCAAGTGATACACTCTTCTCCGTCTGTATAATCGGCCGAATTGGGCGGGCAATAGCCAGATTCGACTGATAGAAATAGCAGGGAAAAGAAAACTACGTTCAACACAACTCGCATGGCCCTAAATAAATTCGAGTAATACCTGTCAGCCGATGTAGAAAAACGTAGCATCAGAGAGAGAGAGAGAGAGAGGAGAGAGAGAGAGAGAGAGAGAGAAAGGACGAGAGAACAAGGATCAGGGCGAAAAGAATGAATTAAAGCCATGAAATGATAGACAATTGCTCGTTGTCTAGGTCAGGTCCCTCCTTATCTACTTGACCAATCATGTGAAAAGCGCTCGATCAGCTTAGGAGAATTTTAAAGCCGCTTAGCGCCAAAATCAAGGACCGGAAATTTGCTGCGTCCGAAGATTGTTTTGTAAATTCCAAAAAAAAACTTTAAAGCTATGACATTTTTGATCGTCTTATCCATAGAAAAATTTTATATCATTGCTAATCAACAACATTTATTCAAAGCGAAGTTGGCGGCACGAATGGCATTTTGTTCAGCCGGGCCAGGGTCGCCAATTTTTGGAGTTTGGCCAGTTTTTCCTCGAGTGGCGGTCCGGCGACGATGGTGGCGGGCTAAAAGTAAGATATAAAGAGTTAGCTCTGTTGCTCTCTCTCTCTCTCTCTCTCTCTCTCTCTCTCTCTCCCTCTCCTCTCTCACTCACTCACACTCTTTCCCCTTCTCTCTCACTCTCTCTGGCTCTCTCTCATATCTCTCACTCTCTCGCGCTCTCTCTCTCGCTCTATCTCCCTCTCCCTCTCTCTCTTCACCTTCTTTTTGCAGATATAGCCAGCATATCCGGCGTCCTGGCTCGAGCCATACCAGTAACGACTATCATAGCACAGCGGATCGTTTGAGATCTAGATGCTAATTGCAGAAAATCGTCGTGAAAACGTACGCCGTAAGAAGCGGCGCCGTTAGTCCCCACATACGCGTAGTCATAGGCAGAACCATCGGTCCAACGATACGATCCCTGGTTGGTCAGTCCGATCAGGTACTGACTGACGGGAGAGATCGGGCAGCTTGTTATATTCCAGTTTTGGCGCACCGAAGCGATCAGGTCTGAAATAGCGGATGACAGGACTAAGCTGCCAAACTATGCCTAACAAGGAACCCTGTAAGTGGAACCTTGTCCTGAACAAACAGACTTTTTTGAGTGACATCCTAGTTTCGTGTCGGAACCAACTCGACCTTGTGCGGAATTTTGTGCTGTCGCCGAATAAAATCCTAACTCTAAACCCCAAACTCACTAAAGACGAAGCGATTCTCCAGGTTGCTGTGAATCGACACGAGGTTTCCTCCCATACCGCGGCACATCGATTCGCCCTGATCAATCGTGTAGCTGTCAGGATCTGCGAAGTTCCATGCCTAAACGATGCTAGAGCCGAGAGAGAGAGAGATAGAGAGAGAGAGAGAGGAGAGAGAGAGCGAGAGAGGCAGAGCGAGAGAGCGAGGGCATGGAAAAGACAAACAGGCTTACCGGCGCGTAGTAGCAGTACCCGGTGGCCTGGTAGAAGCTCCAGCCGGCGGGGCAGTCTATATTTCGCTTAAGCCTGATTCAAGGGCAACGTACTGTTGTTCACCAGCGGATAAGAGAAAGAGCAGATGAAGGGCTGTCTGGTGCTGCAGGCGACTGGGTACCAGCTGAGGTCGCTACCGCGGAATCCCGCACAATCTTGGCCGACAGAGCCGGTTCCTGAAATGCAAAACGAGGTTTTCATTATTGAAGAGAAGCAAGATGCCGACAGTTAGATTGGGACCAAACGAAATACCGACATCTCGACGCTTGTCGGTATTTTCGGTTGATCTACCAACTCGAGTGTCGGGATTTTGGGACCGGGGGCTTGGCTTATTGGTATTTGCATGCCCGCGTGTTGTTTGTGATTTCGAACTGTCGATCTATTGGGTTGCCGGCATTTTACTTTAGCTGTATGTGGTTTGTCGGCATTAGAGCGAGAAAAAGAGCGAGAGCGGAGGAGATAGATAGGGAGAGAAGGCGAGAGAGAGCAGGAGAGAGGGAAGGATGGAAAGAGAGGGAGAGATAGTGAGAGAGATACAGGGAGAGAGAAAGAGCGAGCGAGAGAGAGAGAGGGAGAGAGAGAGAGAGCGCGAGATAGAATAGATAGTAAGATCGAAAGGGTGAGAGAGAGCGAGAGAGCGAGATGAGAAAGATAGATAGATAGAGAGAGAAAATGTGAAAGAAAGAGAGAAAAGAGTTGGCGTACCGTTCTTCCAATTCTGGTATGCCAGCGAGGTTCCGTCCGCGTATCCCCAAGTGCCATTAACCCGTGCGACGCCGATGTAGCCCGCCTGGCCCTTAAGGGCTGGAAAACAGGGATTGTATTTAAGTGTCGAATTACTTTGAATATTTTCAAAACCAGCCATCGCATTCTCGAGGGCGTTTTTCGGCTGGACGAGGCGGCCATCGATCAATTTGCACGTCTGAAGCGCCACTGAGTATTCGGCGTCTAAAAATGAATTTTGCTAATAGAAGGTAGTATTCTTGCCAGCATTGATGCCAACGAGACATTCACGGCCATCGCTGTAGTCGAACGATCCTGACGGGCAATTGCCTGCGGAAGCGACGATAAAGGCGACGGCGCAGAGGACCGAGACGCTATACAGCATCTTCTAGAGTGTAAGCCTTGAATTTCGACATGGGAATGCAAGAAATAAGAGAGAGAGAGCGAGAGAGAGAGAGAGCGGTAGAGAGAGAAAGAGAGAGAAAGAGCGAGAAGAGGGAGAGAGGAGAGAGAGAGAGAGAGAGAGAGAGAGAGAGAGAGAGAGAGAGAGAGAGAAAGAGAGGAGAGAGGAGAGAGATGGGAGAGAGATTGAGTGAGTGACAGGTAGTGCCAGAGATAGAGCGAGTGAGAAAACCAGAGGACGAGAGAGGGAGGGAGAAAGAAGAGAGGGATGGAGAGCGAGAGGGAGAGAGAGAGATAATGTTCTCGTACCAGCTCTCGAATAAGCTTTTAGCCAGGCTGCTTCTGACGATACCAGCCCTGGGTGCCTGGCTTTTATACAGGGCCCTCCTTCGAATTCAGATAATTCGCGCTTGCTCGAATCGCTCATTGTCGGCACTCCTTTTACTGCCGATACGTGCTTAACGACCCTTCCCGAAAGAGGATTGCTTGTTCTGAGAACCCTGTTCAGTTAATTTTTCGCGTCATCTAGGACGGAAAATGTGCTCTAAATTTGTCGCGGTGATGCCTTATCTTTCCGCGACTCGCTTAATCGAAAAAGGTGAGTGTGCTCGGGGCAGGAATTGTGTTCGTCTAACGAAACGGCAAAATGTTTTCCTTGAATGTTTCGAGTGGCTTAGGGCTTCATAATCAGTTTTAGGCAGCGGAAGGCAGTTTTCATGAATTCTACCAAGCTTCCGTTCTGCCGTCTGATTTGCAACGCGTTATTAAGTGGAAACTAGCGCGTCCGTCTAATGAAAAGTCTTTATTCAAAGCGAGTTTGGCGGCACGAAGGGAATGTTGTTCAGTCTGGCCCGGGTGGCCAATTTTTCAATCCTCGCGAGCTTTTCCTCAAGTGATGGTCCGGCACCGGCGACGATCGCCTGAAAACCGCTATTTGAATGTTGCCCGGTCATCAAAAATTTTTTTCCACGTCTCCCTCTCTCTCTCTCTCTCTCTCTCTCTCTCGCTGACCTTCTTCTTACAGATGTAGCCACCAAATTTGCCTGCCGCAGCCCCATACCAACTGCGGGTGCTGCTACAAATCGGATCGTTGTAGACCTGAATGATCCTAATACAAGAAAATACAGTATAAAAACCTACACCGTATGAAGCCAGTCCAGCGCGGTCGACGGCGGTATAGTCGTAAGCTGCGCCGTCCGTCCATTCAGGTACTTCCGTGTCCCGTCCATTGAAGGCTAGCCCGATCACGAACATATTCGACGAAGCCGCGGTGCACCGCGTGACGTTCCAGTTCTCGCGCACCGTCCACGCCAGCACTGGAACAAGACCCCGCATAGAAAAAGGTGCGACTATGGATTTGATGCTTATGGAACGACTATGGCGGTAACCACCCCCCGCGACACGCAAGGTATGATTTGGCGGTTCTTTAGGCTTCGCGGGGGGAACCAAATTTTTTTCCTCGCAGTCCCGTTTGACCTAGTAACCAAATATTCAGTGTTTTCACATTCTTTTTTTGCAAAACTTAAACCCATTTGAATCGGAAAAACTCCTTAAAAAAGTTAGAAAAACGCTTGAAAAACTTGAAAATTTTGTCATTTTTGGGTCGAAAAAATTGATTTTTAGACCTAAAACTAAATTTTTTAATTAATTTTGTAAAGTGGTATGCTTAGGAATAGCGATAAACGATTTAGAAACACTTCCACAATTTATATAAAAAATCTAGGCTTGTGCCGAAAAACTTTGGTTTCTACCCCCCGGGACTACCTCCCCCCCCCGCGAGTCCTAAAGAACTAATTTGGCGGATGCAAATTAGATTTGATTTGAATGCTAATATCACCAGGCAACACCGACCATGGACAAAATGATTCTCCCTTTCGCTGTGGATTGACACAAGGTCCGCTCCAACATTGCGGCACCGCGTGACGCCAACACTCAGCGGCAGCAGGGCCGGGTCCGCAAAGTTCCATGCCTAAACACACTCTTAGTTATGCTCACAAAATGGATCGTTGTCGAAATGAAAATTCGGCGAAACTATTGGAACGATGGAAATACATACCGACGCGTGGTAACAGGAATCGGTGAATCTGTAGTATTTCCAGCCAGCCGGGCAACCTGCAATATTCAATCGTTTGAAAGAAAAGGGGCACCGTTGGTCAGCTGGTTCGAAAAGGAGCAGATGAAGGGATGAAAAGTGGCACAGGTGCCGGGGTACCATGACAGGTCGCTTGCGCCGAACGCCGCACAGTCCTCACCGGGGTGTCCGGTTCCTGGAACGGCAGGAATGACTGGCATACTTTGCTTTTTGACCCCAAAAAATGATTATTTGTACCATTTTTCCAGTTCTGATAAACGAGCGGGGTTCCGTCGGAGTAGCGCCAGACGCCATTGTTACGCGCGACGCCGATGTACGCTGATTGTCCGTTGAGGGCTGCAAAGCGGAGAAATGATTTTAGCTTCGCGGTTACTTTGAATTCCCTGGGAGCCGGCCAAAATATTTTCGAGGGCACTCGTCGGCTGCACGAGACGTCCGCCCAGCATCTCGCATGTCGACGCGGCTCCCCAGTAGTTGGTGGCTGGAAAGACAGGATGCGGAGAGCTGGGGAGCAAGGCTTACGTGCATTGATGCCGAGGAGGCATTCTTCGCCCTCGTTGTATTCAACGGCACCGGGAGGACAGCTTCCGATAATTGCTAGGGTAATGAAAGAGGCGAGGAAGGTTGAGAGAACATGCAGCATTTTCTAGATGACAAATACGGAGAATTCGAGAAAGCTAGAGGAGAGAGGGAGAAAGAGAGAGAGAGAGAGTGAAAGTGAGAGTGAGATAGAGAGAGGGGGAGCGAGAAATAGCGAAAGAAAGAGGGAGAGAGAGAGAAAGTGAGAGAGAGAGAGAGCTAGAGAGAGAGGGGGAGCGAGAAATAGTGAAAGAGAGAGAGCGAGAGAAAGAAATAGCGAAAGAGAGAGAGTGAGAGAGAGAGGGACCACAAAATTTCTGAGCCTAAAATCTGCCTGGAACGACGAGCTTTTCTGTGCCTTATAACTTGGCCCGCCCAATCCCGATAAGCCGGGTGGCACTTTGTGTACGCCATTTTCAACTGTCTTTTTTTGCGAACAGAGGCGCTTATTTACAGCTCCTCTTGGCGCGAATTTATCATTTTTTGGCTTGCCGCTACTGGAATGCTGGGCGTTAGATAATCCGCGATTTGGGGTGTAGTTCCCAGCCACGCACTAGCGTCTGATTACGGGGCAAAAATATGTTTGTGTCGGTTAGAATTTGTCTGCCAATCTGTTAAAAAGTAACGCCGAGTAGTATCTCTCTCTCTCTCTCTCTCTCTCTCTCTCTCTCTCTCCACTTACCGTAACCAATGCCGCCTCAATCATTTCCATTAATGCTTCAATAGATGCTTTACAATGCCGTTTCCAATCCCCTGCGTACTGCATTACCGTAAAATCATTCATAAAATCATTTATCACTGGCTTTCATAAAATTGCGTGCAATTTTTATTAACAAGATTTATTCAAAGCGAGGTTGGCGGCACGAATGGCATTTTGTTCAGCCGGGCCAGGGTCGCCAATTTTTCGATCTTGGTGAGCTTTTCTTTGAGGGTTGGTCCAACCACGGCCACAGCCTGAAACACAACGCATTCTCCCTTTCTCTCTCTCTCTCCCTCTCTTTCTCTCTCTCTCTCTCTCTTTCTCTCTCTCTCCTACCCTTTTCTTGCAAACGTAGCCAGCGTAGTTTTAAGCAGCCGCCCCATACCAACTGCCGGTGCTAGGGCAAATCGGATCGTTGTAGATCTATATTTTCCCATTCAAAGGCGCAGACAGCAAGACACATACACCGTATGAGGGCTGTCCGCAGGCCCGTACGAGGGGGGCAGGGGGCAGCCTGCCCCCCCCCGAAATCCTCGGGGGGCCGAAAAGTACATAAGGTAGTACCCTTATGTTTTTTTTCGCCATTTTTGCTGCCCCCATGGAGGGGGCAGGTAATCTAGAAGTTTGAATTTTCCCGCATTTTTTTGGCACTAATGTTAGGGTGGCAGATGGGGTTGGGTGTTGTTAGGAGATTATTTTGGCACCATTAATGGGCTAATATTTGGAGAAAAAGCCCAAAATAGGCAATAATGATACGGCGGTAACTCCATGGAGAAGTAACGGATCGGGATGATTGATATAGCGATAGAAAGCCCAGAGTAGGGAGAATACAGGGCGAGGTAAAGCAGAAAACCCGTATTGCTAAAGCACTTTATTCCGGTTACTAACGGTATCTTAGCGCGGCAGAGGGCTTGCCTGATCACGGCACCCTCGACAAGAATAAAGAGTGAGGAGAAATAGACCTCCACCCAAAATCGACCGAGTCCGGAAAGCGCATAAGGCCCTTTAGAGTTTTTTCGCAAAAAATTTCGAAAAAAAACTGTGCCAAGCCTTGTTCGGGTGACTCGCAAACGGCCTTTTAAACGCTATTTATTTTTATAATATAGACAGTTTTTTCAAAAAATTTTTGCCTGCGGCGCCTTTTTCTTCGCTCTTTAACACCATTTTTTTATCCTATAGGCACCGTTTTTCAAAAATTTCAGCCTGCGGCGCTGTTTTTTCAGTAAATTTATCGCAATTTTCGCTAAGTTTGCTGCCTGGGGCGCTCTCAGGACGCCCCAGGCGAGCCGCCCCCCGCCCCGCAATCGCCCGAAAAGTTCATAAGGGGACCCTTATGATCTTTTTCCGGAAAATTTTTCTGCCTGCGGCGCTTTTTATAGCTGTTCGCAAGTGGGTTTTTGGTGTTAGAAACACCATTTTTGAAAATTTTTTGCCTGCGGCGCTCATTTTTTCATTCATTGAATCGCAATTTCGGTTCAAAAGTGCATTTTTGCCGCGATTTGGCTCAATCCCAGGGTGTTTCTTAACCAATTTTGCTTTTTACTTCTCCGCCATTTTACAAAAGCGTCGACCGGGGGAGGTCGTCAAAAAATTTTTTCGGTCCTGCCCCCCCCCGAAATTTCGGCCCAGGTACGGCCCTGGCTGTCCGGCACGGTCGACGGCCGTATAGTCGTACAGCGTACCGTCCGTCCACTCCGGGGGCCCCCTAGAGAAGGTGAGACCTATCAGATACCTGGCCCCCTGAGTTTGAGAACACGTCACGTCCCAGTTCTCGCGCACCGACCACACCATCTCTAAAATATCGGGTTTGGGCTTGGGCGTTAGGATTAGGATTAGGGTTAGGCTTAGGCTTAGACTGAGACTTGGCCTAGGCTTACAAGGATATGTTTTTGAGTGTCGTCGGGGCTTTGGCCTGGGACCAAGCCTATCTTGTGCAGAATTTTACGCTGATTCTGAATATGGTAACCGTTTTTGCGGAATAGCCATTTCTCGAAAGTTATGAACGATTTAAACCTCAAAACAGCCCAAAATCGGCTACTTCCGATAATCATAAAAGGTTCGGAATAGGTTTTAGAAAACACTGTGAATGTGAATGACTTTTATGACCCTTTTATGACTATCGGAAGTAGCCGATTTTGGGCCGTTTTGAAGTTTAAATCGTTCATAACTTTCGGGAAATGGCTATTACGCAAAAACGGTTACCATATTCCGAATCAGCGTCAAATTCTGCACAAGGTAGGCTTGGTCCCAGGCCAAAGTCCCGACGACACTCAAAAACGTATCCTTGTTAGGCTCGGGCCTGGCATAGGCGTAGGCTTAGGCTCAGGCCTCGGCTTAGGCATAGTAATAGACTTAAGCCTGTGCTTACGCTTGTATGGCAAGTCTTTTGTCATCAAGTATCATCAGGTATACCGACCGTTAATAAAGCGGTTCTCCTTTTCGCTGTGAATCGACGCCAGGTCCGCCCCAACACTGCGGCATCGCGCCGCGCCATCATTCAGGGTGAGAGAGACCGGGGCCGCAAAGTTCCACGGCTAAACATGGTGGTGATGCCGAAAGTCAAGCTGGGTTAATACCGGCGCATAATAACAGGATTGGGTGAAACGGTAGTATTTCCATCCGGAGGGGCAGCCTGAAAAGTTCGCTGGCTCTAGATTCTGATAGATATATTTTGCCGTTACGGCGACAGGCAACGCGCACGTTGTATAATCGAAGCCAAAAAAGGCGCTAAATTTCGACGGAATTATACTTCGAAGAAGTTAAATATCGACAAAATAATATTTCAGCAAATGAAATTCCGACAATGCAAATCGACATTATGGATTTCGACCGACTCCTTTTCAAAATAACGATAATATAATTCCGAAATTTCATCATGTCGAAATTTCAGAATGTCGAAATTTACGTAAGCTAATCTTACCGGTAAAATCTTCCAATTCCTAGGCAAAAAATTTCGACGTTATGATTTTCGACATTATGATAGCAAAGATTTCTACCCTGTGGATTTTGAAATTATGAAAGTAACCATCAGAGAATTGCTGGGGTATGTTGCTCCTTAACTGTTGACGTACCGTGGGTACCGTTAGTCAGCTGGTCGGAGAACGAGCAGATGAAAGGTCGAACCCCGGTACACAGGTCCGGGTACCACGAAAGGTCGTTGCCGCGGAACGTGGCGCAATCCTGACCGGCGAGTCCGGTTCCTAAATAAAGACTGTCTTACCTAGGCGTAGCGATACTCTACCATTTTTCCAGTTCTGATACGCCAACGCGGTGCCGTCGGCGTAGCGCCAGACGCCATTGATGCGACGCACGCCCAGGAACGCCGCCTGACCGTGCAGCGCTAGAATTACTGAATGTTACGCGCGGCAAAACGATACCCTCAATACTCTGCGAGCCCGCCAAAACGTTTTCCAAGGAATTTCTCGGCTGCACGAGCCGTCCGCCGAGCATTGTGCACGTCTGCGCGGCTGCCGCGTATTCAGCAGCTGGAAAATCAGGATGTGGAAGGCTGAGAGCGGGGCTTACGTGCGTTGATGCCGAGCAGGCATTCTTGGCCCTCGCTGTAATCGACGGCACCGGGAGGGCAGTTTCCGGCACTGGTTACGGTAACGACAAACGCGATGAAGGTTGAGAAAAGGTACAGCATTTTCTAGAAATAAATCACAGAGAATCGAGGTAGAGAGAGCGAGAGAGAGAGAGAGAGATCGTGGCGGTGAGAGAGAAATAAAGAGAGAAAGTGAGGGAGACAGAGAGAGAAAGAGAGAGAGAGAGAGAGAGAGAGAGAGCGAGAGAGAGAGATCGTGGTGGTGAGAGAGACACATATAGAGAGAAAGCGAGGGAGACAGAGAGAGAGAGAGAGAGAGAGAGAGAGAGAGTCAGAAAGCCAGAGAGACCGGGCAAGAGGAAAAGTGGCAAAGCAAATGTGGTGAGCGTAAAAATCTGTCTGACGGAGCCCTTCTGTGCCTTATATGGCCCCCTGACCCCATCTCGATAACGGCTCGCACTTTGTGTACGTGTTTTTCAGCGGCCTTTTAGCCGAACCAGGGACGTATTTAAGGTGTTTTTGGCGGGAATCTATCAGCCCTACCTTTCGCTGCTACTGGAATGCTTGGCGTTAGATAACTCGCGACCTAGGGTGCGACCCCAGCCACGCACTAGCGTCTGATTAGGGGGCTCAAAATATGTTTGTGTCGGTTAGAATTTGTCTAACACTCTGTTAAAAAGTATCGCCGGCGTCTCAGTGCGCCATTCGAGCCATTCTTATTCGTGTTTTGTCTTAAAATCTTGTGTTTATTAAGATGATTATCGATATCTCTAGCCATAAAATATCAAGCGTCAATCGAAAGACGGCTAGACCACATGATTTCCCATTCGTGCGTCTCGCCAGCGCACGTCTTCTTCTTCTTCTCCTCGTCCAGATTCCATCGGCCGCGTCGATTCTGGGCAATATGGACTTGGATGCGATCATAACGACGGGCATCTCCAGCACCACGGTCAGGTCGGACTGGGCACAGCTGAAACGAGACCGGACTCGATAGAAGCGAAAAGAAGCGCGCGGACCGAAAGACCCACATGTGAATGCCGGTAAATGAGCACCTCGTCGTTGTCGCCAATATTCGCTCGCAGAACCTCGTGTATCGCGTCGGGCAGTCGATATTCTGGCTGAGAGGGAACTTGTTGAAACCCTTCGGCCAAGTTTTTCCAAATTTTTCACCTTGGCATCGAGTTCCATGTGATGATATAGTTGGATGCGGAGTAGGCGATTCGCGCCCGATGATGGTCGATACTGAATGGGGGATGACGTCTATCCGTTCTCGCTCCCTCACTCGCCTTCTCTCTCTCTCTCTCTCTCTCTCTCTCTCTCTCTCTCTCTCGCCTTCTCTCACTCCAGCTCTCTTGCTCTCTCTCACGCTCTTTCTCTTCGTCTCTCACTCTCTCTCGCTCTCTCTTTCTTTATCGCTCTCGAACTATCTTTCTCTCTCACGCTCTCGCTCTCTCTCTCTTGCTCTCTCTCCACTTACCGTAACCAAGGCCGCCTCAATCATTTCCATTAATGCTTCACTAGATGCCTTCCAATGCCGTTTCCAATCCCCTGCGTACGCCATTATCAGCGCAATTTCTGGTATATGCGACACCTGACACATAAAATATTCTTTCTTAGCCAACAATTCTATTTTCCAATAGAAGACTGTAGATGGGAAATGCACCCACCTCGCCGAAGATCTTTTGATACATGCCGATTGTTTGTGGCGTCTCCCACTTGTGTTTGCGAGAGAATCCAACACCCCAGAAAGACAGTCTTATCTGTACGAAGGTGTTTCATTTAATGCAGAAAGCGCGTGCATTTCGATGTGTTTTTTTATTCAAGTTTTGCCCTTTTGCAAACCGTTCCGTTTGCCTGCAGGCGCACTAATGACTACCATACGTACGCAAGTTGGAGGCGTGCACCTACCTCCGTTGGTTGCCGGACTAACTGCCGTTCGGCCCGAAGCAGCGTCAGGAATTGCTCCGCCGTTGATCTCAGGTGATGTACGGAAAACGACCCGCTCAACACGTTCAGCGCGTCACGGATCGAAACGGCTTCCTGAGAATGATGGTCATTACTGACAAAGAGAAGCGAAAGTGAGAGAACGAGAGAGAGATACAAAGAGCAAGAGAGTGAGAGAGAAAGAGAGAACTAGAAAGAGAGAGATAGAGAGGGAGAGCTGGACAGCGAGATAGTGAGCGTAAGAGAGTGCGATAGAGAGGGGGAGATGCTAGAAAGAGAAAACGAGGGAGAGATAGAGAGAGTGAGAAAGAGAGAGAGAGAGAAAGAGAGAGAGAGCGAGAGATAGAGATGCATGAAGACAAACACATGCTCCCTCACCTCCATCTCTTCCTCGTATTTGAAATTGACATGATGTGCCGGCAGCGTCGCAGTCACTCGATTGACAAATGCGCATTCAGCGTCCCTCGATTCAAAGCGTCGCTCAACGCGCTGCCACTCGCTGTGCGGTCCGCGTATCGGTCTGCCGAAATTGTATTAACAAGTGGACGGGGTAATACTCACGACTCCGAATGGGTAAATTCCATCGGTTTCCCAGAACAGCCAATATTAATGGTTAATGAGAAATCTGGGGTAGTATCTGCGTCAAAAGTCATCACCCTCATCAAGCTACGGTCCTGAAAGTGCCTTTATATACGGACAAAAATTTTCTCTCTCTATCTCTCTCGCGCTCGCTCTCACTCTCTCTCTCACTCCCTCACTTACCCAATCGTGCATTCTGACGGACACACGGTCAAACCGGGTGGCCATCAGAAAACGGTGCGCTGAGCGTTGGAGGAAGACCTTTGCAACCCGCCGGAGCAGAAACTTTTGCGAAAAGCCGATATGGTAGTGGATGGCCGTCCGTTGCGTTTCGGTCAATTGACGGAACGGAAATGGGCTCATCTTTTGAGAATCGTAAGCGGCTCAGTCGATTAATGGCGGGCAATCAAGACTGACATAGTCTGATTTTAAATAGGCTCCCACGGCGCCAAGCCAGATGGAAAATTATCAGCGCTTCGACGTGCATTAATGAATCATCGGTGAAAAAGAGGGAGAGAGTGCGAGAGAGACAGAGAGAGAGAGAGAGAGAGACAGAATTAGAGAGAGTGATCAGTGGATGGTCGCAATCCACGCATAAAAATTATACAATTTATTCAGACAGCCATCTTCTTGCAGACATAGCTACCGTAGACGGAATCTTTGTCCCAGTTCAGCCATCGCACATTGTAGCAAAGGGGGTCGTTTTCGATCTGGAAATTTTGGTCTGTTCTTTCTCCTTTCTCTCCCTCTCTCGCTCTTTCTCTCTCCATCTCTCTAACACTCACCCCATATGTATATCCTCCACTATTCCTTCTATCATAGTCAAACGGCGTCCTATCGGTATCTTAAAAAGAAATTAAGTAATGCCCCAGAGCTATGCGGGAGATATGGGGGGGGGCAAGAAGGGATCTGCATCTGTCTCTTAATTATATGATAAAAATAATTCCATTTTTTCATTCCATCATCCATTATTATATTTCCCTCCCCTACCTAGCTCTTCCCAACGAATCAACAGCCATAATAATTTATAGAGAAAGAAATAAGACGGGGAATGAAAGGAGGAAAACAATCTTTGAACAAAAGTCCGTTCAATATTTCGGCTCTACCCGATCGACTACAATCTATTGTATCTACTCATTTGGGATTTCGTGAACGGATCCGTCTTCGTCATGCTACAAAAGTATGTGGTTCTTCTTTTTTTTCTGGTGGCTAATGAAAATAAGCGTTTTGACTATTTTTGATTTTTGAGAATGCCATTCGATAGAAGGTGTAAAAAGATCCTAGGAGCTTTTTTACAGCCCGAAAAAAAACAGGAGAAAAAATTAGAAGAAAGGATTCGTCACGCTCAAATTCAAGTGAAAACGTCACAGAAAAGGCACCGCATGCGAATAATTTTTGGAAAAATAGGCTTCATCGGGAGTAAACACCGTCTTAAAATCAGGAATAAACCGCGCCACAGACAGAAAAGTTTTTATAAAAAATCATAAGGCTCTCCCTTATGAACTTTTCGGCCTTCGGTCGTTTTGTTGGAGGGCAACTTGTCCCTCTTGCCCTCCACAACACCTCCTTACTATCGGCGATTCTTTAGTACACCAACTCCGGTTTTCAGACATACATCCATCGCAACACACATTGGCCGACGAGTTATCGCGTCTCTGATCTGCTCATATGTATCGACAAATATCCAGGATGGATTGTGGAAGTGAGTTAAGTTTGTGTCAAACCAAAAGTATCAACAAATGCAGGTGTAAAAAATTAGCTTTCCCGTTAACAGGGAAGCACCCAGCTTTAAAAAAACCCGTAAATGAATTAGTTACAACATAATCGAATCACGAATGAAATAGTAACGAATATCATACCAAGATATTTTGTCGGCTGCGGTAAGTATGTATTGTATTGTATTGGATCAGACGTAAGTATGTTGTAAATGTCTATAAAAAGTGTATTATTTAGATTGAATATTTACTTAAACCAGGGTTGAAAAGCCGCTTCGCGGCTTTTCAACCCCTGGCCCCGTCTGATCCCATTTTATCCTTCACTTTGCATAATCGTGCTGAGTTCAGATGACAAAAAAATGAAAACAACCTCTTCTACCTCTTTATATAGTCGAAGCCCCACTTCCGGTCTATGCTAATGTTTCCTAACAAAGAAGTTTTCACAAAAACTTAAATTTAATGTCGAAAATAGGTAATTTTGTTTCATCTGATATGCGTGCAGTCATCTCCAGGCAATTACGCACCAAATGACGTATCATACATACCTTAAAATTCATCCCTTATCGAGATATCCTCCGGACAGACACACGGAAGTGGATCCAAAGTGACACACACACAGACACTATTTTTTTATATATACTAGGATCGTAGGATTCGGCGTGAAATAGTCTAATAATAGGCGACCTGTGCTTCTGAAAGTCTTTTCAGAACATGACTCTCACTTTTCGAACCTGCTGCGGTGAGATGGACTTCAAACTTATGCGAGGGAACCTCGAGTTCTGCCATAACGATTTCGTCCGACATACCCATGGTCACTCGCTACAGTAATGTTTTGCGGAAACTGAGAAAAACGGTGCTTCCGTGTTAACACGGGGAGGCGGGGGGGGGGGGGAGAGTAAGAAGTACGGCCCCGTGCGACCCCGTACGCTCTTCTAGGAAGTACGACGTGCGACCTCCTGGAAAGTACGACCTCCTGGAAAGTACGACCCCGGGTAGTATCCGGGAGGTCGTACTTTCCAGGTAAAATCCCCGTCGGGGTCGTCCTTTCCAGGAGAACGTACGGGGTCGCAAGGGGTCGTACTTTACAGGTTGCCCCCTGACGCCGGAAAGGAGGGGAATTGTCCCATTTCCCATTGAATTGGCAGGCTGCCCACGCGGTCGATAAGTCCATAGGATGCATACATTGGGGCGCGTCTACGACCCTACCTGAAAAATCAGTCGAAGCAACAAACTATTTGGAATGCGAAATAGTGTTATTGATACAGCTACTGTACCCTTCTCGAATTCTGGAGGGGGACGGAGTGCTGCCAGGTCTAGGTGACGCGTTCTCTGGGGACCGCAGCAAAGCAACCAGCAACAAACTCAGCACCAGATTTGGACAACTGGTTCGGTGAAAAATTCTGCACAAGATGCACTTGGTCCCGGAGCGAAACGCCAAGTTGAACAAAAACACTTTACGATAGGCGATATGCCCATTTGGTGCAGTCGTTGGGGTTCGAAGCTCCCATTTGGCCACCGAATACATCATTTTACGCATAAAACTTTGCAAGCTCAAAACTCCATTGCGAAAGGCCTTCCTGCATTTGCAGTCAGTGCTTCAATAGAACTTCTTTGTGTACAATATATCGCAAATACTAGGATTTTTCTGCGTCGGATTAATGGCCAGTTTCAAGGAAAACCAGAATATTACGTTATTTTGGCAGCGCATTCAAGAACTCCAAGAAACCGTTAGGATGTATGGCAACCAAGCCAGTCGGTAGATCATTGAACGCTCTCTCAAATAGTATATGACAATCCGCCACGAGGACCCCAGAGTTTTTTGAAAAATTGACTTGAACAAAAAACGACATTATTTTTTTTACCTCCCAATAGTATTTTTAAACAATTTCTCTATATTAAAACACTTTCAAAAATTATCAAAAAACCTCGAAAGGCTTGACTTCTTGGTCAAAAATGCATGAAAATTGGAAAGGTCAAGAATCTCGATTTTTCAATTATTTTTTATAACTTTCTAGCCATCAAAAACTGCTAAAACCATTATTAAAACTTAGTTATTATCCACAGATAAGTAGAAACAGAAAAATGAAAGTTACTCTTTATTTATTTTTACAATTGACTACAGGGTGTCCCAAAAAAAATCGACCCCCCTCTAGCGGGCCGCAGTCATGTCCGATTTTGACGATTTAGATATCTATCGAAAGCACTCGAAAAGGCGAGAAAACAAGCACTTTTCGTTTTTCAATATCCTACTATATATAAAAAAATAGTGTTTGTGTGTGTGTGTGTGTGTGTGTGTGCCACTTTGCATCCACTTCCGTCTGTCTGTCCGGCGGATATCTCGATAGGGGTTGAATTTTAAGGTATGTGTGATACGTCATTAGGTGCGCAACGGTCTTGAGATGACTGCACACCTATCAGGTTTTACAAAATCAGCGATTTTCGACATTAAATTCAGGTTTTTGTGAAAACCTCTTTGTTAAAAACAATTAGCATAGACCGGAAATGGGGGCGCGACGATATAAAGCCGAATATAAAGAAGTGGTTTTTCATTTTTTGTCATCTGAATTCAGAACAATTATGCAATGCGAAGGATAAAATGGGGTCAGACGGGGCCACGGTTGAAAAGTCGCGAAGCGGCTTTTCAACCCTGGTGGGAATTTTAATTCATTAAATTTAGGGCCAAAATCGATGAAAACTGCAGATTTTATGCAAAATCGGCATGTTAATTGCTTGCTAAAGCAAACAGGACGATGCTGGTTTTACGCTTTTTACAGAAATCATTGAATATCGAGCGAAGGCTAAAATTTTTTGGAAAACCAAAGGCGCTTGTTTTCTCACCGTTTGAAGGGCTTTCGAATGGTGTGAAAATCATTCCGATCCGAGCTTTCTGCGGTCCGCTAGAGGGGGGTCGATTTTTTTTGGGACACCCTGTAGACAATAATATTATAGGGTTGCCGGCAGTCGAGTGATGTATAGGCTTGAAAAGTGCAACAACGAGAAAGCACTCTCGATAATGAATCAGCTATTCGAAGGAATTGTCCCGAACGCTTTCGGCTTATTTATCACGACGGGAAGGCTGGACGCGGTGCGTTTCTTCGTTAGCGCCGTCGTAAAAATTCGTGTGTTCGGACATCTACAGAATTTTCTAATTCTTCGTCGCCGGGTGTAATCGACGCAACTACCCCTTTAAAATATAGGTTTTCCAGGAGCTTGAATTCCCGCTTCGTCGACTTACCCTTCTCAACAATCCCCACTCGATCCTCATCAAAGCTTGCCCGCTTATTTCGCCGGTGCAGCTGGCATGGCTGAAAAGTCACGACTTCTCCCTGGACATTCTGGTCTGTTTTGGCACCGTTTATTGATTAACCGAGGTTGAAAACGGTTACGGAGATTCCAGCAAAAGAAACCTAAAGCATATGGGTTATAGGGCATCCTCCCTTCAAGATCCTGCTGGGCCCTCAAACACGACTGGATAGGTGAACAGCAACCGCTCTGGGATCAGGTACAAATCTTTTACAATCTCCGCATCAATCTCACCTGAGGTTCCAACCACCTTTGTACCAATTATTGAAGTCAGACCCTACCGAAAAGAATATTTCTCATAATATTTCCAATAATTATATTAGCAATCTTACTGGGCTTCGGGCTACCCTTCCATATTCTACAACACCATATCCCTCCCGACCTTCATCAATACCCACGCTGATCGCTTCAGATACCTCCTCTAGCCAACCCCCTTAAAACCTACTTTTGATGCTTCAGATACCTCTCCCAGGCGAAAACGCCCTGAAATGGAAAACAACGACCGACCGACTATGGGGGAGAAATGAATGGCTTCACTCAGGTTGATAGTAAAACCCCAGGTAATTCCAGCTAAGCGACTCCTCTGTGCTGCTCATCCATACTGGAATCCACGATGGTCATATCGAGACTCTTTCTACGGCCAATCGTCTTGTCAATTGGGCGTTTATGGTACTTTTATCTCCTAAAATATTATAAAAATAGTGTCTGTGTGTGCCACTTTGCATGCAACTTCCGTCAGTCTGTCCTGAGGGCATCTCGATAGCGGCTATCAGATTTTAGAAAAACCGCAATTGCGACATGAACTTTTTGAAACTATTTTATGTTGCCCAGGAACTGTTCTATTTGGCATGGGGGGGCAAAAATCACGCAGGGAGTAAAACCATAAGGGACGTTTTCGATATTTTTGCTAGTTTTTTGAGGTTTTTTGAAACCATAGCATTGAAAATCTACTAAGAGTTGAATTATATACTGTAAGTTAAAAATGATGTAATGTAGTATAAATCTGAAATAATGTAGTACAAAAAAGTTATAGCAAAATCAACAATACCTATGAAAAGGGGTTACAAATTTGGTTTGCGATATTTTTTGCTATTTTTTCGATGTTTTGATGACGCCATTCTATAGAGTGTCAAAAAAATATACTCAGCGTTTTAATTTTAGCCCGGGATAATGTCAAATAAAAAATTGATTGCAAACTACCAAATTTACCCCGGCGTGGAACTTTGCCCCCGGCCAAATAGTACAGTACCGTAGCTTACACTAAATAACTGCAAGGGCGCGCCGCAAGTGTCGCGGTACCGTATCAAAAACTAATCAATGATTAGAAACCACCGCGGGATAGTAGAGAACGAACAATGTTGGTCACATTGAAGAAGAAACTTCGAAGGAAGGCACAACGGTCAATGCTCAAACGGGTTAGTCCTCAATTGAAAGTATCCACATTGAATGGCTCTCATCTCATTGTCAGTCGAATCTTGAAAAGAGAATGAATTGATTACTTTGAGGACATGATTGAACTTGTCTCCTTCCTCAATCGTCATCAGCCAACGCCACTTCCGGGAATCGAGATCGAATTGTCAGTGAAACGTCGCGGTCTCAACGCGTTCGTCACGTTTGTCATTCGACAAAATTGCCCCAATCCCCGCACCACCGCTCATCGGCAATTAACCCGACTATTTCCCATTGGCTTCGATCTGATGTGGGCCGGCAGTTCTCAATAAAGCGTTACTCCAATTGACTAACTGACCGTATTCCAATGAGAAACGCTTAAAAATGAGGGAATATGGTATGAAAAGAAGAGAAAGCGGGTTATTAGGGAGAAAAGAGAAGTGTATTACAGAATAGGTACATGAAAAATCCCCCATATTAGAGAAAAAATAAAAAATATTTTTGCTATAACTTTAAACTCCGCCGATCAATCGCGCTGAAACTTTTTGTGTTTATTGGAAATTGGCTTCGCTACCTTTGTGCAAAATTTCAAGTCGATCGGACGCGAAATGAAGAGAGGCGGCCGGTGTCTTTTTTTGGGACAACCGGTATAAGCTGGGAAAGTGCATAGTCCACTGCAATGAGTTTGGCCATAGATTTACGAAAACTTTCACATGGCAGTAGAGAATATTGAAGGGCGCGGGGAATTTCATGATGAGCAGGCCCTTGAGCTAAAAAAGCTACTGTAGTAGGATTTTTTCAAAGAGAAAGGGGTCGCAATTTAAAGAAGAGGCCACGTGTGGAAGAGGCAGTGCTGCTAAAAAATGAGCTGAGTGAGCCGAAATAGGCAAATTTTTCTTTTTTTGCTACGTTAAAAGCCGTACTTCGATTTTTTAGGAATTTGTCGCCAAGCAGGAAAGCACATAATTCGATGTAGAATTTAATTGCATATCTTTTAAGTATATTTCTACGGTTGCGACAGCTTCCTATTAAATATAATTTTTTTTAACTGATTTGAGTACGCAGGATTCCGATGTTCCGGTCATCTTCATGGTTTGAAAGATATGAGAGAAATGATCGGCGCCCCAAATTAGGCATTGTCACAAACTTTCAGCCTATTCAGCACCGTAGTTTTCGAGATAGTTTTTGGACGTACGCAACTTTGACGGCCATTTAAACCCCAAAAATGAATTTTTTAAACTTCCAAAACTATGCAACCCTAATTCAAACATGATCTTATGACATCAAAAAACAGGGGTCGAAAAACGGCCTTTTAATGCCCCAAAAATTCTAATGTGGATACACGGTGCAGAATGCTGGCTCGTAAATTTGGCAGATTTGAAATTAACTCATTAGCAAAATCAAGATTTCGTGTAAAAAAGACTGACCTGGTATTCGTCGAAATAGCCGCTATCTCAGCCAGGCGCCTGACTTTTTTCAGAGCCTAAAAACTAAACACCGACACTTTCCATTGTGATTTAAATCCTTTTTTGCATTTCATCCAAACGGCGACCTGGTGGTCGGCGTTCGAATTTAGGTGTGAATTGCTCTGCTCTCCAAATAAAGATTTCATTGTCGGAAAACCGTCGGCTTACTGATCTTTCGGCGTAATGAGTGTCGATCAAGTGAGAGCTGATGTAATGAGTGTCGGCGTAATGATCGGAACTCAACGAACCCTAGTTTTTGGTATCCCAATTTTTCCGGAAAGCCGATTTAATATCACGTATATTGACGCAGAGAAAATACTTCTGCAAATAGCGAAAACCCTGTTTGCTAGGCAGACCTTGGTCAAAAAAATCGAAACCGTCAATGAAAATTCAGGCTTCGAGACCTGTGAGGGGAAACTATGTTTTATGATAATTTTGGCAAATTTTGGCATAACAAATAAAGTTAGAAAGCCTATTAGAACGACCGGAAATCGACTACACAAAACTTGGATTCGTCGCGAGGACAATCGCTTAGTACCCTGCAAAAAGAAGCAAAATCGGCATTCGGTAAAGCTAGCATTATGAAAAATCGGCATTATGAGTTTAACCCGTACGATTCTCAAGCAAGTAAGTTGTCTTCAAGTCTCCGAGTCATTTAAGAGTCTCGGTTCCGAAGATCAGCCGATTTCCGTTCCGTCATTTGGCCCAAACGCAATACACGGCTGTCTAGGAGCGAGAAAGCGCGAGAGAGAGAGAGAGAAAGAGAGAGAGAGAGAGAGAGAGAGAGAGGGAGAGAGAGCGAGAGAGAAAAAGAAAAGAGAGATAGAGAGAGTGAGAGAGATAGAGAGCGAGAGAGAGAGAGAGAGAGAGAGAGAGAGAGAGAGAGAGAGAAAGAGAAGGAGAGAGAAAGAGAAGGAGAGAGAAAAAGAGAGAGTGAGAGAGATAGAGAGAGAGTATGAGAGAGAGTGAGAGAGATAGAGAGAGAAAGAGAGAGAGAGAGAGAGAGAGAGAGAGAGAGAGAGAGAGGCCGGCAGGCTTCCTTCCTTTAGCGCCCCCTACTGTTGCCTTGTAGGATCGTTTTTTGTATTCTGCCATAAGGGCAAAATCTGAGTAAGTAGGCATGCGCCAAAACGAGAAAACTTGACGGCAAATAGTGAAATGCGAGCTCGGTGTAAGTAATAGTAAGCGTTGAAGGACTGCATGACTACTCCGAATAACTGATTAGTATATCCCGCATATCCGGTTCATTCTCCCCATTTTTCAATACCTGCTTCGTTTTCATTCTCCAGCCACAACTCGGTGCTTTCTGGCAGTTCATCTGCATCTATTGAGGTGATCATTTATTGTTTTTTGAAGGTTTGATAAATGTCCGTATTACTTGCCTACCTAGTGTTCCTTGCTTCAATTTTACCAATTGCTAAATGACACCTTTTCAAGCATCAACGTAGCAAGCAATCTTGGTTGAACCGTTCCTAAAATGAGCTTCCAATACGGTTGGTGCCACGGTGCAAAGCTTGGCTCCTTTCTATTCGTTAATGGCGGTTCGAATGGGAAATCATTTTGCATCGTTCATATTGAAGGCGAATGTTCATTGTTGATTTTACAGAGATGATTTGGATTTCGATCTGCAGCAACGGCATGGCTTCACAAACTTTCCCGTTCGATGAGAGGAAACATGTGGGTGACTTGATGCGGCACCTGACGACCGAGCGCGGATATGATTTGGCCGGCGCCTTCCTGTGTTGTGACGGTAAGCCTCTCTGATCGATTTTCGCTTTAATTGTCAATCATTTTGCCACTAAATTTTTGGCTTTTAGGAAACGAGATGAGGGAAAGTGACTTCCTCCTGTACTACCTCGTCAGCGAAATTCTTTTCGTGGAGCTGCGCTACCGTAAGATTTACTCGATCTTTAAAATCTTCCTATTCTTCTCAGGCAATTTTTTTAGTTTTGAAGTCCTACGCGCACACTACCAACCCCCGAAGCCACTTCCCTCCACCGCCCGTACCAATCAGAATCTTTTTTTATTTGTATAACGTGATTCAATAAATTCCTTCTGTCTCACTCTCTCTCTATCTCTATCCTTTTCTTTCTCTTTCCCTCTCTCTCTCACTCTCACTCTCTCTATCTCTCTCCTTCTCTCTCTCTCTCTCTCTCTCTCTCTCTCAAGAGACCAGGCCACCAATTGTTTTGCACACAATTCCACGTGGAAAAATTATACAATTTATTCAGACAGCCATCTTCTTGCAGACATAGCTACCGTATACGGAATCTTTGTCCCAGTTCAGCCAGCGTTCATTGTAGCACAGGGGGTCGTTTTCGATCTGGAAACGTTGGCTTGTTCTTGATATTTATATCTCTCTCTATCTCTCTCTCTCTCTCTCTCTCTCTCACTCTCTCTCTCTAACACCCACCCCATAGGTATATCCTCCACTATTCCTTCTATCGTAGTCAAACGGCGTCCCATCGGTCCAATGATGGTAATTTCCGGTTCCGTTGAGTCCTATCAAAATCGACATCGACGAGTCGCTACCGCATAGGGCGACTCCTTGATTTTCGCGAGCAGTTTGGAGGAGGTCTAAAAATGAGAATTCAGGCGAGCTAGCAGAGACCTTTTCGGATTCGGTAGGCTTGCAGAGACTAAGAGGGAGGCTAGTCGAGATAATTTGAGAAGAAACCTACTCAAAACAAATCGATTCTCCGTGGCACTGTGAATCGAAGCGAGGTGCGCTCCGTAGCCCTGGCAAATCGCCTCGCCAGCGTCAAGGCTGAGATTTAGCGGCCGAGCCCAGTTGGTTTTCTATCGAAATTGCACATTATTAATTTCTTACGACCTACCGGGGTGTAATAACAGTATCCGGTGCCCTGGTAGAAGCTCCAGCCGGTGGGGCAGCCTAAAAACTACAATTTTACGTAAAAATCAAGATCTAATAACCGTAAATCGGCGAAGCCAAGCTCTAACGGTGAAAACGACATTAAAAACGTAGTCAGAACTTTAAAAAGTCATTTCTATATGAAGAGCTACTGCTTCCTCAAAAAGCAAAAACAATTTGCCGCCAGCAGGGGTCGAACCTGCGACCTTGGGCTTATTAGACCCACGCTCTAACCAACTGAGCTATGGCGGCTGTGCGGAGAGGGAAGGGAAAGGGCTATGTGAGGCAGAGGGGAAGCTATAGCCAATCTCGGGTGGACACGTCTTTTGATCAACAAAAACCCTAATTTGCAGGAATTAGGGAGATTTCGAATATTTTAAAAACTTAAATCATGTAGATTATACTGAAATATGTCCCTAGAATTTAATAAACATCTCGGAAAAATAAAAAAAGGCCGAAACTATAGAAAAGGCGAAAAAATGCAAAATTATGGTTTTCATAAAGTTTTAGCATGCTTTTTACAGTTTTTATCGGTTTAAAGATTTGGAAAACTCACGAAGATCCGATTGATCCGAGATGGTACAGATGAAAGGCCACTTCAGCTGGCATTTCGTCGAATACCAGGCAAAGTCGTTTCCCTGCATGTAGGCACAGTTTTGCCCGGGTAGGGTAGGCTCATTAGCTGAAATCAGAACAACGGTTTTTCAGCCAAGCCAATAAGTTCAGGCTTAGCTTAGGCTTAGCTTAGGCTTAGCTTAGGCTTAGCTTAGGCTTAGCTTAGGCTTAGCTTAGGCTTAGCTTAGGCTTAGCTTAGGCTTAGCTTAGGCTTAGCTTAGGCTTAGCTTAGACACAGCTTAAGCTTAGCTTATCCTGGGCCTAGGCTTAAGCGTAGGCTCAGACTTAGCTTAAGCTTAGCTTAGGCTTAAGTCAATAGAAAACACCTACGCGTCTTCCACTTCGAGTACTTCAACGGCGTCCCATCGCCGTACATCCAAGTTCCGTTCAGCTGGATGACGCCGATCAGCGCGGCGTGGCCGCTGAGGACTGAAACTTGGTTTTAAAGGGACTCGGAAAGCAAATCTATACCATCAAGGGCCTGGGATCCAGCTACAAGATTTTCGAATTGATTTTGTGCTTGGATTAGGCGACCTCCCATAAGACCACAGAGACGTTGAGAGGTTGCGTAGTCAGCTCCTGAATATATTCTGGATAAGAGAGAGGGAGATAGAGCGAGAGAAAGAGAGAGAGAGAGAGAGAGAGAGAGAGAGAGAGAGAGAAACATACGGGCATCAATGACCATCACGCATTCCTTCCCATCGCTGTAGTCGATCGAGCCGGGCGGGCAGTACTTGGCCGAGATGATGGCCAGCAGTAAGGTAGAAAGTGATAACCTCAGCAACATTTCGGTTTACTAAACATGATAAAATTTTGGGTGACTAACGGAGCGTAACAAAGCCTAAGCACAAGCCTAAGCCTAAGCCTAAGCCTAAGCCTCAGCCTAAGCCTAAGCCTGATGTAAAGCCCAAGCCTGAAAGTCTAAGCCAAAGCCTAAGTAAGCTACTGATCAATTTTAAAGTTCCCATCAGAAAGATGCAGAGCTCCTCTGGGTCTGTGGTGAGGCCGTAGGACAGGCTTTTTGTACCGTTATCTCGCATCATGGAATCAGGAATCAAACGAAACACGAGACCCTTGTTGGGGTCTTATCACCCCGAATTAGTCATTAAAAGCGCCACCCACACATTTCGGCGAGTTCTCGAGCTGGGGGAGTGATGATTATTCGTATCGCGAGCCGGGCGGGATGTCTGGAGTCCGGGGTACGTGTTTCCGTCACCATACTCTGCACGGAGCCGTGATTGTGTGATCTACAGTATGAGCCAGATTGAGTACTGTAAAAGTACTTGGAAGAGGGGAATTGTCTAGTTTGTGGAAAAAGAGAAATTACGGTACCCAAAAATGGCACCTAGGCCGCAAATACACGAAAAATATTAAAAACCACTTCAGAATTTTTTATTTTTAATGTGCATTTATACTTTTTGGTCATTTTAAAGGTACAGACAATGGAGTGCTATGTATTTGTGGATGCGGGTTCTTCATAGTTCTCTCTATCACTCTCTCTCGCTCTCTCTTCCGTTCTTTCTCTCTCTCACGCTCTCCATCACTCTCTCTCACTCTCTCCATCACTCACTCTCTCTATCTCGTTCTCTCACTCTCACTCTATCGCCCAGCTCCTCAAGTTGTTCCACCTCCCAAATTTCTCTGCTAGCTGGACACCTCCTTTATGAACGTCTTGAACTTGTTGTGTCATTTTTAATGTAGATTTTTAACGTTCTGCTGGGGTCATAAAATACGAATTATAATATTTATTCAATGCCTCCGGAAAGCCCCCAACAACAACTTGCTCCTCTGGATCATTCCTTCAATCGGAATTCTCTTGGTGGCCTGGCTGCCGGCGCGCTTCTTGCAGACGTAGCTGCCGAAAAGGTCGTCTTGGCGCCAGTTGTCCCACTCGTCCTGGTAGCACAGCGGGTCGTTGACGAACTGGAAATAAAATTAATAAAATTGAGGAATTGTGAAGGCGGGCTAGCAGAGATTCTTTAGGAAAAGGCAAACTAGCAGAGTCCATTTGGGAATCCCGGGGCATGCTAGCAGAGCTAATTTGGGAATTTGCAACTTACCCCATAAGTGTAAGCTCCACTGTTCCTGTGATCATAATCAAAAGCCGAGCCATCGGTCCAGTGCTCGGTTCCGGTGCCGTTGAGGCCGATCAGCACCTGGTTGAACGGCTTCCGGTCGCAGTTCTGCACGTTTTGATTTTGGCGCACCGACGCAACAAGGTCTAAAACAAACAACTTTAAATTTAAAGGGACTTTGAAGTCAAAAGTTATGGCGTCTGACGTACTCAGCACGAATCTGTTCTCCTGGTCGCTGTGAATCGAGACGAGGTGAGCGCCTTGGGCCTGGCATCTTTGCTCACCGTCGTAGAGGCTGATGTTAAGGGGCAGGTTCCAGTTGACGTTCCAAAAAGTTGGGTTGAGAGAGAGAGAGAGAGAGAGAGAGATAGGGAGAGAGAGAAAGAGAGGGAGAGAAGGGAAGAGGGAAGGGAAGAACTAACCGGAGTCCAGTAGCAGGAGCTGGTGCGTTGGTAGAATTTCCAGCCGTTTGGGCAGTCTAAAAAAAGGAAATTAGGAAGGCAGGTTAGCAGCGAAATTTTGCGGAAAATTAGGGTAAAGAGAAAGAGAGAGAGAGAGAGAGAGAGAGAGAGCGTGCGAGAGACAGAGAGCTGAGAAACTAGGGTGACCAAAAGGCAATCTAGCAGAGATTCTTGGCGGAATAACCCTCACTTCCATCCCTTCCATCCGGAAAAGTGCAGATGAATGGCCACTTCAGCTCGCACTTTGTCGAATACCACGAGAAGTCGTTGCCCTGCATCATCGCGCAGTCAAAACCGACTTGGTTCGTTTCATTCGCTAAATTCGGGGGTATAAATCGGATACTTTAAATGTACAGTGACAGCAAAGAAAAAGACGTGGGCTTACCGCTCTTCCACTTCTGGAACGTCAATGGTGTTCCATCGGCGTAGCTCCAAGTTCCATTAATTCTGCGAATGCCGATGAAGGTGGATTTGCCAGCAAGGACTGAAAAGCAGAGCTAGAGAGAGGAGGTTAGGTTTGGGCTTAGGCTTCGGCTTTTGCTTGGCGTAGGCTTAAGCTCAGGCTTTGCTTTGGCTTATGCTTAGACTTAGGCTTAGGCCGAGGCTTAACCTTATTCAACTCTAGAACCCACCATCAAAAAGCTGGGATCCAGCCACGATATTCTCGAACTGATTCTTCGTCTGGATTAGTCGACCGCCAATAAGAGAGCAGATCTGGCCGGCCTGGTTGAAGTCGGCGTCTAAATGGTCGCGTAAGGCAAAATCCATATTGCTGTACCAGCATCAATGGCCATCACGCACTCCTGAGCATCACCATAATCGATCGAGCTCCCCGGACACGAGCTTTGAGCAAGAGCTAGGCTTAGAAGGAGGGCAGAGATGGTGAGTAACCGGAGCATTATCTAAAAAAGGTATGGTAATCGATTATGACATGAAAAATGCTAGAAAGGGTCAAGGAATTGAAATGACGCCTAAGCCTAAGCCTAAGCTTTAGCCTAAGCTTTAGCCTAAGCCTGAGCCTGAGCGAGCTTAGGCCTAAGCCTAAGCCAGACACACATTAAGAAAGTGATCACGGTACTGGATATAGCAAAATTATCGCTTACGGCATGAAAACTGCGAGAAAATACCTCCCACTACTACCAAACCCCGGCCGCAATTTGGAGCTGGTCGGAACGTGAGTGCAGGCGAGGGCTTTATATACCCCGCTATCTCAAAAGGAGCGTCGTTTCCAAAAATCACCCATCACACCCCATCCAATCCTTATCGCGATTCATTAGTCATTAAACGCGCCCCGGCTCCTTCCAACGAAACTCCCACACGATTTCCGGGGCCCATTCTGTGGTTCCTAAAATCATCACTATTCGTATCGGGTGGCCTCTCCTGATTGATTGGGATGTATGGGGTCAATCTGTAAACAACGAATAGGGATAATTGAGGAAAAAGTCACAGAGATTCTCTAGGAAATGGCAGGCTAGCAGAGATTCTTTAGGATAGGGCAGGCTAGCAGAGATTCTTTAGGAAAGGGCAGGCTAGCAGAGATTCTTTAGGAAAGGGCAGGCTAGCAGAGATTCTTTAGGAAAGGGCAGGCTAGCAGAGATTCTTTAGGAAAGGGCAGGCTAGCAGAGATTCTTTAGGAAAGGGCAGGCTAGCAGAGATTCTTTAGGAAAGGGCAGGCTAGCAGAGATTCTTTAGGAAAGGGCAGGCTAGCAGAGATTCTTTAGGAAAGGGCAGGCTAGCAGAGATTCTTTAAGAAAGGGAAGCCGAGCAGAGATCATCTGGGAACTTTTCCCTTCTCTGTATCTCCAAAAAGGATAGCTCCCGGCCAAAAATGGACCCCAAATTCGAATCCAGCCCAAAAAAACGATTTATTTTTAGTTTGTAGCGCCTCGAATAAGTATATTTGGGCCCGATAGTCTTATTTACGCTAATCTCACTGTAAGAAAATATTTGGTCTTACTGTAACGACGAATCTAACCGATCACGCGTTGTAATTGCATATGGAAGGACCCTTAATTCCAAAAATTATTAGGCCCTTTATTTCGGCAAATCATTGCTTTGTCTCTCCTGCCAATTCGTCTTCATCCCGGTCGTTTTCTGCGCCAATTTCTTGCATACATAACTTCCATAAACATCGTCACGATTCCAGTTGTCCCACTCGTCCATCCAGCAAAGCGGGTCGTTGTAAAACTAGAAAAAATAGGCTGAAAATCGTTAACAATGCGTGTTATTTTAATATCATATTTATTATAGTGTTTAGGGCTCAAAATATAGTTTTTTAAAAAATTAGAAAAAGAAATAATTCTAGTAAAAGGAATCCAGCACCATTTGTAAACGATGTAAATGAAAACGTTGGCTGAACGTTGTGTTAGCTGAACGTTTAGGCCTATTCATGAGACGATTTAAAGCCAAAAAAAAGTATATACTTGCAAAATACTTGCGAAAGCATCCAAAACCCATTCCCCAACTTTCCCCCAAAAAGCAAAAACTTTTGCACGCGCCGGGATTCGAACCCGGGTCTCCGCATTGGGGGTGCGGCATGCTGTTACCACTGCACCACACGTGCCTATCAGTGGGGCGGGGGTGGGGGTTGATAAGGGCATGGGGGCACCCCCGGCCGCCCAGCCGCCCCAGGTTCCCGCGCGGCGCACCAATGGCATGACCCCAGGGGTCAGAAAAGTATCGATTTTTGCAGTTTTCTTTGGATTTAATGGCGTAATATGCTAATCAAAACGCGGTCATAAATGGTGTGGATATTTTGACTTTATTTTACAGCATTTTTCTAGGGTTAAAAGTATTATTCAAAGTGTTTTAGGCGAAGCCTAAGCTAAGCCTAAGCTGGGCCCACTCAAAAACTACGAAAAACACCCCAATCACGGTTCGACCAGTTCCCGCTGTCGTAGCGCCTTCAAATTACTAGGGGTGCTTTCTGAGCCTTCTAGTAGCCTAAATGCAAAAAATTGGAGCTCTAGCGCGCTTCCGAGCGATTTTCGCAATTCCGGGTGGCCAAGCCCGAGGTCCGATTCGACCACCTCGGAAAACTCGATACCCTTAGAATTAGGTTTCATGTGTTGAAATTTTCAGGGTTGATTAAGCAACTCTTTAGCATGTCAGAACAGGTTTCAGATCGACGATTTGAGTTTCCAGCGCAAAGTTACAGCGCTTTGCAATTTTTGGGCTGCTCCGAACGAAATAAGTCGACTTAGCGGGCTTAGCATTTATTCAATCGGCTTATAAGTGGTACCATTCGATCCGGCTCGTTAAGGGCTTTTAAATGAGGTTCAAAAAGCCATGGAAAATTAGAAAAAAAACCCGGAAATTCCCCTCATTTATTCAACGGTCAACAGCGCAAAACGGAAAAGTGTGTAATAATTCACATCAATACGGGCGATTAAGGATGGATACAAGTCGGTGGGTGTGGCTTAAGATTGGCGGCACAGGAAGCTGGGCGGCCCGTTGCCCTGGCGGCCGCGAGAAGCCGCATTTTCCTGAAAAAAATTTGTAGTCGAAATTTTGTTCGAAAATTGACCATTTTTCGTCGAAAAATCGATGTTTTTGTAATTTCTAGCAAAAAATGTGTAAAGTTTTTACGTTTATTAATAGTAAAAAATAGCTTAAACCTTCAAAACTCCTTAGAAAAAATCTTGCCCCCCGTTATCGTAAAAGAGCCCAAATCCCCGGACCTCTCGCTGACGGTCCAGATCGCGGCGCATCTTCCGGTTGGTCGCCTCGGCCCGCTTCAGCTCCTCCTTCAGCCGTTCCACCGTGCCGCGCCTGAACTTGCTGGAGTCGTCGGGAAGCCGGGAGCTCACTTGGTGTCCACCTGCTGCTCCAGCGCCACCTTCAGCCTGGCCAGCTCGGCGCAGTCGGCGTCGATCAGCTCGGTGTCGGCCTGTGAGTGTTTTTGAGGATCTACTGACCAAGAACTGACCAATACGAGGGCGTGGATCTGTTGCAGCTCACGGAGTCGATCGGCTCCCGTCATGTGCGAGGCGTTCAGGAGGTTGGTCACCGACTGCGTGGTGGCCGTCATGGACTAGAGAAAAATTAGAGTGAGGGAAAGAGAGAGAGAGAGAGAGAGAGTGAGAGAGAGCGAGAGAGAAAGAGGGAGAGACAGGCAGAGCGAGAAAGTGCTACACCTGACCTGCTCGCCCATGGTGTTCGCCTTCTCGAGGCTGGCCACCGTCGTGTCCAGCTGCAAGAACAGGGCCTGGATGTGGGCGGGATCGTGGTGTTTGGCCCAAAACTGCAAGTTGATCATTGATAGGAACCGGGTCTTCTGAACACCTTGGTGACGTTCTGGACCTCGGGGGCCACCTCGAGGGCCTGGACGACGACGATGTGACGGGGGTCGAAGCGGTTGTCGACCAGCTCGATTTTTACCTGAAGGGAAAGAGGATGAGAGAGAGCGAGAGCAAGAGAGAGAGAGAGAGGGAGAGAGGAGAGGGAGGAGAGAGAGAGAGAGAGAGAGAGAGAGAGAGAGAGAGAGAGTGGTCATCTACCTCCACCGGATCCTGGTTGCACAGGATTCCGCCATTCGGCGAGCAGATGTACCGCGTTGGCGCGTTGGTCTGCACCCGCCAGGCGATCGGGGACTAAAATCGGGATTAGATGAGAGAGAGTGAGAGAGAGTGAGGGAGAGAGAGAGCGAGAGAGAGAGAGCGAGAGCCCAACCTTGATATGCGGTGATCGGTGGATGGAGATGGTCTGCGAGGCGTTCGTCGGCTGCTCGACGTCGAACAGGATCAGCGTCTGGAAGCAGTACAGTAGAGCAATTAAAACTAGCTCTACTACAAAATACAGTACGAACTGCTACAAATTCCGCTCCTTCGAAATCGCTCTAAAATACCTGGTCGAGGATGACGAAATTCGGGTTGACCGTCTCCATGGCCATCCTGGGAGGAGAATCATTGGGAAGCTGAGGTTAGCCATTCTGAAAGGCCTATTCTGTATAATTATGCAAATTTTTGGGATGCAGAAGTGATCTAGCAGAGATCGTTTTGGAATTGAAAGGGCAGACTAGCAGAGATCATTTGTATTTGGGAACCAAATGTGTCAATACCAAAGCTTTATTAACACCATTTTAATGGCACTTCCGGGGATATTTAGGCAAAGGCGAAGGCGTGAGGGGGCTCCTCGTGAGCGCCATTTCCGCCATCGGACTTCTTGTGGGCGCCGCCGAGCTTGTCCTGGAAAATTTATTGCATTAACGGGGTCAGAAAGACAAGCCTAAGCCTAAGCCTAAGCCTAAGCCTAAGCCTAAGCCTAAGCCTAAGCCTAAGCCTAAGCCTAAGCCTAAGCCTAAGTCTATCCGTAAGTCTAATCCTAAAACAAGCCTAAGCCTAGGCCCAATCCCAAACTGACCCCATCGTTCTTCAGCCTATGTCCACCCTCAGCTCCGTGAGCAGCAGCTTGCGGCACGTAGGCGGCAATGGCGACGAGCAGGAGGCACAGGACGAAGAAGAAGCGCATTGTTGGTAGTGAAGTTGGTAGTGGAACGGAGTGTAAAGTACTCATCTCCGTGAAGGCTAGGCTTTTATAGCAAAGTCTCGCTGTATCTCCCAAGATTCAAGCACCAAAAATTCCGCATCACTCCTTTGGCGGCCGCCCCGCCAAAGTTCGGCCCGGCTTTGAGGACGAATTTTTAAGCAGTCCAAGAATTTTGAGTGCAAATTGTGTAAATATTTTCCTGTCTATTTAGAACGTGTTTCTGACGTGGGGTGGTTGTGTTTCGGTGGTGAAAGTACTGGTCTGTTAGCGGGGGGGGGATAAATTTCTCAAAACCTATCCGACGATAACGAATTAAAGACCAAGAAAATTCGGCGTCACTCCTTTGGCGGCCGCCGCGTCAAAGCACGGCTCGGCTTGGAAGTCAGAATTTTTAGCGAGTCCAAAAATTTTGAGTTCTAAGATTTGTAAATATTTTGGCGTGCTGTTTTGCAAATTCCAGACGACGTGAACTGGGCTGTTTCGTGGGGCAAGGGTACTGGGTTGTTAGCGGGGGGAAATAGCGAGTTATTTCCCTTTTCAATTATACGTTTTACTAATGACGAGCGTACTTTCAGAGTATTTTGATAATTAATTTAAACAATACAAAACAAAACAACAAAATTTAAACAAAAACAATTTAAAAAAACGGCTTTTTTTAAAAACTGTGTAAAATGCCATAAAAATGGCTTTTTAATTCGTTATCGTCGGATAGGTTTTGAGAAATTTATCCCCCCCCCCGCTAACAGACCAGTACTTTCACCACCGAAACACAACCACCCCACGTCAGAAACACGTTCTAAATAGACAGGAAAATATTTACACAATTTGCACTCAAAATTCTTGGACTGCTTAAAAATTCGTCTTCAAAGCCGGGCCGAACTTTGGCGGGGCGGCCGCCAAAGGAGTGATGCGGAATTTTTGGTGCTTGAATCTTGGGAGATACAGCGAGACTTTGCTATAAAATCCTAGCCTTCACGGAGATGAGTACGTTACACCCCTTTCCACTACCAACTACCACTACCAATAATGCGCTTCTTCTTCGTCCTGTGCCTCATGCTAGTCGCCATTGCCGCCTACGTGCCGCAAGCTGCCACTCACGGAGCTGAGGGCGGACATAAGCTGAAGAACGATGGGGTGAGGGCTTCAACTTAGGCATTGGCTTGGCTTAGGCTCGGCTTAGACTTGGCTTAGGCTTGGCTTAGCTTCGGCTTTGGCTCGGGCTGGGTATCCTTGTATTAGCCTAGCCTTCATAGTCCCTTTAATTCTGTAAATTTACTAGGACAAGCTTGACGGCGGCCACAAGAAGTCCGATGGCGGAAATCACGCTCACGGAGAGGACAAGCCTCCGCACGCCTTCGCCTTCGCCTAAATCCGACCGAAAGTGCCATTAAAATGGTGTTAATAAAGCTTTTGCATCGATGCCTTTGGTGACAAAATGCAAATCGTTATGTCGCTTTTTGATGCTGTATTCGGGCATGCACATTTACTTCTCTTTTATAAAGAAGACAATTTTTTATTCATTCTCGCACTCCTCTTCATTCAGCCCTTCTCCAACAACACCGGTGATGGTGGAACAGAGGCTGCCACCGGCGGCGGAGACACAAATAGATGGTTTCGGGCAGTCCGAATTAGTTGAGCAGTGGATACGGTCACCATTCGGGAGCGACACTGTGTCCACCTGAAAGAAATAACGACTTACCAAATATCTCTGCTAGCCCACCCTTTCCTAAAGAATCTCTGCTAGCCTGCCCTTTCCTAAAGAATCTCTGCTAGCCTGCCCCTTCTTAAAGAATCTCTGCTAGCCTGCCCTTTCCTAAAGAATCTCTGCTAGCCTGCCCTTTCCTAAAGAATCTCTGCTAGCCTGCCACAAAACTTACTCCTCCGGGCACAATTCCGGTGTTCAATGCGGCTTTTTTGTAGAGTAGAGCCGTGGCGCTGGAGAGGAGAAGACAGAAGACCAGCAGATATTTCATGTTTGCGGCACAGCGACGCGTGTACGTTCGACACCTCTGTAAGCCTTTTATAAACCTAACCTATAGATTATAAAGTCAATATCGGCCTTTCCGCTCAAAAACATGCTTTGATTTGGTCAGTCCGCATAAATTTGAGGTAAGTTTAGTTTTGAAGATGTTCTCTAAGAAAAATTGGATTTTTGAACAGCGAAATTTTAACCTGGATCGTGCAAGTGAGGGAAAGAGAGAGAGAACGAGCATGAGAGGCTGAGAAATAATGTGAGAATGAGAGAGAGAGAGGAGAGAGAGAGAGAGAGAGAGAGAGAGAGAGAAGAGAGGAGAGAGAGAGAGTAAAAAAATGGCGCCCCCCACCGGCTCCCATCAAAAATCTGAATTTCAAATCTTCCGAAACGATCCCAGACCAGAAAACTTTGCGGAAAAGCTACAGCTTCTGAAAATGAAAGTATCAATACAGTTATTATCTATTATTTTCCTATTTTTGTGCAAAATTTGTAAAGCAGATACGGTAGGTTTTCTATGAAAAATTTGAAACTTTCAGGCCTACGATTGCAAAGCCCACTTAAGCTGTAGACCGGGGGAATGGTGTACGGAGGCAAAGATATGTCAGGTGAGCGGGAGAGAGAGACAGAGAAAGAGAGAGAGAGAGAGAGCGCGAGAGAGAGCGAAAAAGCCAGAGCAAGAGTACAAAGAAATAAATCAGTTTTTAGCCAATCCCCTACATGCGATGCCTGACCCGAGCCGACTGCCCGGATAAGCTAAACCACGTCTGCTATCACAGCTACGCGTACGGCCCACTAGGCATGTGTAAAGTGTAGCGTACCGTAGTAAAATACACCGCATAAAATGTAAAAATGGAACAGACAAAAAAATAAGTCAAAGCATTTATGCTCATCGAGAGGCTAGTGTGCGGGTCGGGCGATTTGGGCGCTTCGGAATTGCGGCTTGACCGGCTTGGGGTTGGTGTTCATCGTCAGGTTAGGCGGCTTCTTCTTGGGGGGAGCCGCTGGATGAGGACTGAAAATGGGAAAAGTTAACAGGTCGTGAATGATCTCTGCTAGCCTGCTCTTTCCTAAAGAATCTCTGCTCGCCTGCCCCCAATTCCCAAATTTTCTCTGCTAGCTATACCTATTTACCGTCTTTTGGCTGCTGCCGTTGGCCGCGTTGGCGTCACCGCTCCTCCGCGCCTTCTGCGCCCCTTCGGCGAACACGTTCAGCAGGTGCATGTAGAGGCTCGGACGGCTTACCTAGAAATCGTCTTAAAACTCCGAAAAATCCGTAGTCAACCTTGCTGACGACGGTCTGGCGTTCGGAGGTAGTGTCGGGGCCCACCTGCACGTGGATGAAGCTGAAAAGCGTCGGAATTTTGATAAAAAGCAGCTCGACAGCGAAATAAAGCACCGAAAAGCATGCACAGGTGGTAAAAAGCCATTTCTATACCTATACGTAGTCGTAGTCCAGAAAGCAAAAACAATTTGCCGCCAGCAGGGGTCGAACCTGCGACCTTGGGCTTATTAGACCCACGCTCTAACCAACTGAGCTATGGCGGCTGCGAGGCGGGGGGAGGGAAAAGATTACTTCCGAGTTGGGGGAGGGGGGAAGGGGGAATCACCACGCCCATGTTGGCATACCAGTCTGGGGGTGGAACTGATAAGCTGACAAGCCAAAATGGGTTACTGTCAAATTACAAGCGTGTTACGATAGCTAATAGGACAGATTTTAGGTGCCGCAGTATTTTACATGTAATATTACGACATTTAAAATGTCGCTGGAGCTCTCAATTTTGGTATAACGTCGTTAAAACAAGTACCTACAGTTTTCCCTCCAGAATTCTGGTAATTAACGTCAAAATCGTCCAAAATTTACAAAAAATGCCTTATGTAAAATTCGGCGTAGATTATGGCATTTCCAGTCGCCAAGTGCTTCGTCGATATCCTTGCTTAAGTTAGATACCTTCACGAAGCGTCACCTGGGGCAAATTGCATAATTTAGGTATCAACGGTAAGTCCTATTCAATTTTACGAAAATTACACTAATAGCGAGCCGTAAATTGCAGCCGAACGTACAGCCAAAGCGCCGCGAACGTCTCCGGGTATCGGCTGCTGAGGATGTCGGCATGCCCGGCTCCCTCAACGACACACACCGGGTTCGACGGCTGCGCGGACGAGGGCAGCATCTGGAAAATGGGGTACTGTAATTTTAGGAGGTTTATTAAAATACTTTTAATTTCGTAATTTTTCTCTCCGCCTTTTCGATTTAAAAAATAGCGCTTAATTCCCGTACTTAAATTAAATTAAGCTACCAAAGTCACAAAATTCTCACCTCAAAAATGAAAGTTTGAAATTAATTTTCAAAGTAAAACGCTCAATACCACTCCTCAATTTACACTCTGTTCGTGTGAATTTTTGCCTTTTCTCTCTCTCTCTCTCTCTCTCTCTCTTTGCCAGCCGGGTTATCGATTTTTCTTGGGACCACCCACTGGGTCTTTAGGGCCCTGGGGCCCAGTCCTTTCGAACGCCCCACTCCCCGCCCCCCATGTAGGTCCAAAACAACTTCTAAAACTCCATTAAATAGCTGTTCATATTCAAATATGCTAAAATCTGCTAGCCACTTCATAATCTACACTTTTATCACCCGACTCTTCAATGCGTAAAAGTAAGTGTTTTTATTGGTCGGTTAGTCTATAGTCAGGAAGTCTGTTAAAGCCAATAAAACTAAAAAAACCCAATCCACATAGCACTTTATTAAAAGCAGATGCCAAAAGACTACAACATAAAAAAAAACCCACTCAGAAAAACGGAAAAGACGCCTAAATCTGGGCAGATAAGGCAAAAAAAAAACACCCCAGATTTAACCACTATAGTTAAATTTAACCGCTCATGGTTAAATTTTCACCACCCAATTCAGAAAATTTAACCGTTTGTTTGAGTGGTTTGAAATTATGGCTCGTCGACGGGCCCCGTCTGGCGGGGCGTCACGAGGGCGGCCAGGGATGGCGCTGGCGTTCCAAGTTCCGGGCGGCCATTGGGAGGCCAAGACAGAGGAGGAAACTCGGTAAAAGAGACACCGAGAAACACGGCCCGACACTCTGTCAACTACATCCAATGGCCTCCCAATGGCCGCCCTGAACGCCGGAACGCCAGCGCCATCCCTGGCCGCCCTCGTGACGCCCAGCCAGACGGAGCCCGCCGACGAGCCATGCCACGCCCCGCCGACCACATATAAAACCCTGGCCGAGCACACGAACGCCAGTCTTCCCAATAACCTTTTGAGCACTGTGTATACCGCGCTGTTGGAGAAATCAGTGTAATATAAAAGAGTAAAGAGACACAGTACGAAACCGGGCCACAACACAGAGGAAGATTAAAAAAACAACGATACTAGTAGTCGTTGTAGAGACCCCACAAAATGGTGCGTCCAGTTGGTGCCACCCCACTGGCCATGGGTCAAGGAACAAAAGGTAATAAATGCATACAGACAATTTAAAAACCCAGCGCAACGCTTTAGTTGCTGGTAGCCTTTCACCACGCCTCCTCTAGAGGCGGCGAAAGGAAAAAAAACACATGAAAGGGCTTAGGCTTATGCTCAGGCTTATACAGGGCAAGCCAAAGTTTAAGCTGAGCACGAGATTCATCACAAAATACCAAAAAATAATAGTTTGTGAGTCTGTGCTCTGAAAGACGATTTAGATACGGATTTCGCGTTTTCGGAGCGAACGGAGAGAACGGATCCTCTCTCTCACTCACTCACTCTATCCCTCGCGCTGCCTCTCTCTCTCTCTCTCTCTCTCTCTCTCTCTCTTTCTCTCTCTCTCTCTCTCCCTCTCTCTCTCTCTCTCGTCACTTTGTAAGCCCGACCAAAAAAGTAAATGGGCTATTCCTTGGGAAAAAAATAAGCCCAACCGAAAGCGGCAAAAAAAAGATGGACCAGTAAGCCTCAGCTCCAAAAAAAAAGGAAATGAGGAAAAAATGGAGCAAAAAGAGGCATGGCCCGGCAAAAAAAATTAAAGGCGAAATTGGTCCCAACTATTTGAACGTGATGATGATGATGATGATGTGGTTGATGCCGAAGTAGCTGAGGTACAACAGCGACCCGAAGAAGATGCATCAAGGTCAAATGCGGAAAGAAGGTCATAACCGGAAGTTGGTAGAAGCAGGCCAAAACGGTTATTCCAAAGCCATAGCGAGAACTTCAAGCCGTTCAAGGATATATCCCAAATGCCGAGCGAGCGAGCGAGCGTCCAAACCAACTTGACAATTGACGTCCAGGAGCGAGTCTATCACAAAGAAGTGTTCACTTGAAAGCCAGGTTTACTAGGATGCCTTCAAAAGTCAAGTCAAGGCGAAGAAATTTGAGCCGTTCAGCAAGAGCCCACCGCGGAGCTGATCCACGGTTTCCGAACGTTTTGCAAACACCGACCAGATCTGATCCCGCTGCAGAAAGACCTCATCTACCTGACCTGATCGTCTTCCTGCGTTCTTTCCGACATCTGGCTTCTACGATTGCTGACTGCTTTTTTCGTTTCTTGATATAATAAAATAATTTGTTAAGTTACGGTACCTTACGTGATACTTTTAAATGCACCGGACTGCATGAATAAGATTAAAATCAGGGCCCTTTGCGGGGTTAGCCTTACAGACAAACGAAAGAGGGGAAGGAAATTGAATTTAAGGTCTCGAGAAGGGCAGGCTAGCAGAGGCCCCTTCGGAATTCGTTAGTTCCTGCCTTGTGGAGAGCGTGTGAGTGGGAGATGGGGCAGGTTTGGTCACGGGTGCCGTGGAGGAAGAGGACGGGGACGCCGACACGTTGGATCTTGTCATACCTAGAGAGTAGGCATGCAAGAAAGGTGGAGAGAGAGCGAGAGAAAGAGAGAGAGAGAGAGAGAGAGAGAGAGAGAGAGAGAGGGAGAAAGGGAAGGAGAGAAATCCCTACGTCGGGAACACGTCGCAGAAGCGCGTTTCCGGCGCCTGGGGTGCCCCCTTGAGCAGTCGGAGCCCAGAAGCGAACGGGCAGATCAGCGCCACCCCGGCGAGCGCGTCCGGATGCCGCGCGGCCAGGTCGGTGGAGACGGCCGTGCCGATGCTGAACCCGATCAGGACGATCTGAGGGCAACTTGAAAATGGTGTGCGGCTACAATACCTTCTTCTCCGGCTGCTCGGCACGTATCAAGTCGTACGCGGCGCGCACGTCGGCGTACGCGTTCTTCTCGCCGGGCGTGCCGCGACTGCAACCGAATCTGGAAAGATCGATAAGCGGGTTAAACTAAGCTCAGTGATCTACCCCGAGTAGTCGTAGGCGTAGACCTCAACTTGGAGCAGGTCGGCCATCGTCTAAGAAAGATCATCAACTCGAAAGATAATTTGAGAAGTTGGTACCTGAACATTTGCCATGTTCGGGTAGCAGAAGAGGCCGATGTCCGAGCTGTTCGGCTGCGAGAAGAGGACCACCTGGGAGCAGAGATTTTTTTAGGAAAGGGCAGGCTAGCAGAGAAAACTTAGGAAATGGCAGGCTAGCAGAGATTCTTTAGGAAAGGGCGGGCTAGCAGAGAATCTTTAGGAAATGGCAGGCTAGCAGAGATTCTTTAGGAAAACAAACGCGTACCACATTCGCGTTATGGTCAAAACGCGGATCCGGAGCGGGCCGGGCCCGGACGACGACGATCCGATTGCCGCGCGACGTCTTCGGGGCGTACGCGTCGAGGTTGCGCATCAGCTCCTAAAGGTAGTGGGACAGTGACTTCAAAGTTTTCAGCACAAACCTGTCGGAAGGTCAGATGGGTGGTGTTGGGCGGCGGGGTTAAGAAGAACGGCTCGTCTTTTACCTGAAAGTAGAGATAGTGAGCCAGAGAGAGAGAGAGAGAGAGAGAGAGAGAGAGAGAGAGCGTGAGAGAGAGAAATAGCGTTACCTTTGAGACGTTCTTGCACACGCTGCCGTCGACCCGTTCCAGCATGTAGTGGCGGCCGCGGGGCGGTGGATGGAAGGCCAGCTTCCGGACCATACAGGAGGGAAAAGGAGGGCACAGCACCCAGCAGAGGCCACCGAGCAGCTGGAAGAATATGGATTAAGCCTAAGCCTAAGCCTAGGCCGAAGCCGAAGCCGAAGCCGAAGCCGAAGCCGAAGCCGAAGCCGAAGCCAAAGCCTAAACCTAAGCCTAACCTTCCAGATCGTGATCTGCGGCGGAGGGTCGATGCCGTCGTCGTCGGCCCGCTGCTTGTCATGCTGAAAAAGCTAATTGGAACCGTGCCAAAAATATAGCCGAAAAGAGCGCGAGAAAAACTCTGACCGTCGAATCAGCACCGGTCATTCCACGAAACGAATAGCCCACGCACGAAAAGTAAAAGTGCTAGAGTTGATAAAAAAGGGAGGCAAGCAAATAATACGAAAAATGGGGGGTCTGGCGAGCTGTTTGATAGCTTGGTGGTGACCGGAAATTTGGATATGGTTATGCAAATTAAACTAGGATAATTTTATCTTTTTCTCACGATCTCTCTCACTCTCTCGCTTTCTCTCCTTCTCTCTCTGTCTCTCTCTGTCTCTCTCTCTCTTCGATTCGACGCCAAAGTTCTATCTTTCGACATCCAAAAAACTAAAAAAAAACAATAAGAAAGGGACACATTATGAAATCAACAGCCCTCAACATTAACCCGGCCCCAATGCCAAAAAATTTGGTTTATTGCATATTAACAAGCCAGCTTTTTGTATATAAGTAAGCTTCCTGTCATGAGCTTCAGCTTGCAAAAACATGACCCAAATTATCATCTTTTCCGGCCTGGTGTCCTGCTTCGTGGCTGTTGCCGCCGGCTGCAGGGGCGAAGGGGTACGGTAGCCTAAATTAGCTTAACCTTTTATGGTTTAAAGATCGCGTAGCTCACGTAGTTCGGAACTAGCCCAAAGATGCAAATTTATAGGACCCCCCCCCGATATTGCGAAAGAACCGAATTTTCAGTGCCTAGCATTGCCGTGCAAGAGGTCGACAAGTGACTGCGTCAAGGGCAGCTACTGCAAGGATCAGAGGTGTCAGGTATGTTTTCTTCTCTCTCACTCTCTCTCTCTCTCTCTCTCTCTCTCTCTCTCACTCTCCCTCTCTATCTCACTACACACCCTTTTAGGTCCTCCCCGACGGCGCATGCGTCCGCGATGAAGACTGCCCTAGCGGCAAGTGCGAACCGATCGCCTGCGGTCCACCGGATGCTCTTAACGAATGTCTGTCACCAACGAAGGGCTTGAAGTTAATGTCGGAGTTCAAGGCTATGGTAGGGCTTCGTTTAGGGCCAGCAGAGATAATTTTGAACGCAAAGGACATGCTAGCAAAGATCATTGTACTATTTCAGTGCCGTAAGCTCAAGTTGAAGGCCCCGCAGGCGTGCAACGTCAACTCGGACTGCTCGAAGGGGGACTACTGCCACATCAAGGAGAATGGCGATCGGTTGTGTACGGTAGGTGATAGGATCGGTAAGCCTATGCCTAAGCTTAAGCCTAATCCAAGGCCTAAGCCTAAGCCTAAGCCTAAGCCTAAGCCTAAGCCTAAGCCTAAGCCTAAGCCTAAGCCTAAGCCTAAGCCTAAGCCTAAGCCTATGCCTAAGCCTAAGACTGAGCCTAGGCCTGAGCATTAGCCTAATCCCGAGCGTAAGCCTCAGCCTATGTCTAGCCTAAGCCTAAGCCTCCTAAGCGTCCTAAGCCTCCTAAGACTCCTAAGCATCCTAAGCCTAAGCCGAAGCCTATCCCATTTTCATTTCAGCATCTCCCTGATGGCCACTGCACCGGAGACCGCGACTGCCCCTCCAGCATCTGCCTCCAGGAGCCAAAGTTCTGTTTGGGGAGGAACTGCTTTGGCACCTGCCATTAAGAGAGTCGAGGCACAATGATAAATGTATTGAAAAAAATAGATTTCAAGCGGAAGTTAGGTACGGTATCGAGTTTGCAAACTAGAAAACCACCCGGAAACGTCAAATATTTATCTCAAACGTCATCCACGCTGCCGGATGGCCGACTCAAGCTGGCGGCACACCCCTTCCAGCTCGCCGTAGGGGATGTCGCAGATATGGCTCAATTTCCCGCGGGTCTGCGGGCAGTCCTCGATCGTCAGGCAGAGCTGTGACTAAAAAACGGCAAGATTAGACCAAGAGCGAATTTTTCAAAATGGACAAGTGCACGGAGTTCGACAAGTTCAAGCAGTTCAACCATTTCTAAGCCTAAGACTAAGCCCAAGCCTAAGCCTAAGCCTAAGCCGAAGTTAACAAGTGTAGTAAGTAAATGCACCTGGCAAAATTCGAAAAATCTTCTTGCTCACCTCATCCTTCGGAATGGCCGGAAACATCGGCTCGGCATCGACGAGCAGCAGCGTCAAACTCGCGAAAATCCAGAAGTTCAGCTTCATCCTGGCGGCAGGTTTTGGAATGGTTTTTGAATTCTGTTTTTCAACTTTGAAATCGAAGGGTAGTCGTTGTTTTGTAAATTTCGGCGGGTGGGTGGGCTTTTGAAGGGCTGCTTTGAAAATGCCGGCTAGAATCTAGGCCAAATTCCCCGAGAGCGAGCTATTTTCACCACAATTGTCAGAATCTAGATGCAAAATTACGTCGAAATTGGCTTTCGAAATAATTTTTAGAAAGCGAGAGTGTGGAGAGACAGCGAATGTTTTAGGCCGAAAATCGACCAATTCGGTCAAAAATCAAAGATTTTTCCCTGCCCGGAAGAAATGAGTTCTGACAAGGTCAAAGGTTTTCAGGGATCAAAGATCTTGCAGGGCAAGAGCAGGAAAAGGTATAAAAATTCAGTTCTAAAGTAAGGCAGCCGGAAGCGCTCCAGCAATCGAGAAAAATGCGTTTCTTCGTGCTCCTGTTGCTGATCTTGCCCTCAGTTCTTGGGCTTTCTGGTGGTGGTGGGCACGGCGGAAAAGGGGTATGTCTCTCTCTCTCTCTCCCTCTCTCTCCCTCTATCTCTCTCTCTCTCTCTTTCTCTCACGAGTTGGAAATTTTTAAGAGAATCAGGACATCTTGTCCATTTCCAGGTGGGCGCCAGTGGTCGCGGAAAACCCTGTAAGGTGGATGCCGACTGCCCGAAGCTAGCTCACCCGCCCTACTTCAGTTGCGTCAAGCGTGGTTCCGGCGGCGGAAAATGCAAACAGAATTGGTATCCGTGACCGGGAGGAATCACGATAATAAAGTATGTCCAGACAAAAAAACCAGCGAGAGAGAGCGATAGAGAGAGGAGAGAGAGGGTGAGAACCGGAACTAGAGTGTTTCTCGACTTCCAAACCTTGTTGATTATTCAGCGATCAGAAAAGTGGTCGACGCGAGGTACTGTCTATATAACAGGTTTTGTTTTTTCATACAAAACTAGGACGGAATATGCTCAAAATATTTTTGAAAAGCGAGAGAGTGGGGAGGCAGCGAGAGTAGGCCAAAAATCATAGATTTCGAAAACTTCCCGAAAAGGGTTCCAACCAGACCAATATTTCGCATCGATCAAGGATCTGGCAGGGAGTAGGGAAAAGGTATAAAAATGCAGTTTCCGGAAACACGCCAAAAAATGCGTTTCTTCGTGTGCCTGTTGCTGATTTTGCCGTCAGTTTTCGGGTTTTATGGTGGTGGTGGACATGGCGGGAAAGGGGTAGGTCTCGCTGGCTCTCTCTCTCTCCCTCTCTTTTCTCTCTCTCTCTCTCTCTCCCTCTCTCTCTCTTTGTCTTTCTCTGTCCCTCTCTCTCTCTCTGAATAATAGGGCGCACTAATTTTAAGCCTATTTCCAGGTGGCCCCCAGTGGCCCGGGCCCACGATGCAATGTGGACGCTGACTGCCCCAGGACGCTTGTGCCGCCAGGTTTCAGCTGCGTAAAGCGAGGTGTCGGGACCGGGCATTGCCAACGGAATTGGTACCCGAGACCGGGATAAAGGGCGAAAAGATGGCAATAAAGTATGAAAGATGATTCTGTTCACGAAGAAAAACAGCGCGAGAGCGTGAGAGAGGGAGAGTGAAAAAAACAGTGAGAGAGAGACAGAGAGAGAGAGAGAGAGAGAGAGAGAGAGAGAGAGAGAGAGAGAGAGAGTTAGGGACTGAGATAGAAAAATTAAATGTCGTGATCAGTTTTGATATAATAAATTCACCTATAAAAACGATAGAGCCAGAGAGAGAGAGAGAGAGAGAGAGAGAGAGAGAGAGCGAGAAGGGAAACAGAATTCTAAACCTTTTTGACTATTCAACGACCAAAAAAATCGGCCCAGCTATGTAGGTACTGCTTATATAAAAATCCCAGTTTTGACTGCCGGCTGGTATCCAAAATGCATCTCGTGCTCCTCTTCCTGCTTGCATTCCCGGCAGTGTCGGCATACATGGTAATACTCCCCCCGTTATAATCGCATTTTTTGACGGGATCATGCCGCTCCGATGCTGATTGCCCGCCAGGCCAGCATTGCGACATTTGGAATTGGATGGGGGTCCACCATTGTCTCCAAGATGATTGGCATACCGATTTGGTGAGTTAATAGTATGCCGGAAACGGAATATGTGCCTTCAGATCCTAAAAGTGTATAATACGGCGTACCATGCATATACCTCAGCTTTTAACCCACCGCCTAAGCCTATGCCTAACCGTCGCCAAAGCCTAAGCCGAGGTCTAGGCCCAAGCCTAAGCCTCGCCTAAGCTTATGCCGGAGCCTATGGCTACACCTCAACTAAGCCTAAGCCTAAGCCTAAGCCTAAGCCTAAGCCTAAGCCTAAGCTTAACCCTATGCCTAGGCCTAAGCCTAAGCCTAAGCTTAAGCCTAAGCCTAAGCCTAAGCCTAGGCCTAAGCCTAAGCCTAAGCCTAAGCCTAAGCCTCTCCTAAGCTTATGCCAGAACCTATGGCTAAACCTCAACTAATCCTAAGCCTAGGACCAAGCCTCAACTAAGCCTATGATTAAGCGTCAGCCGAAGCCGAAGCCGAAGCTCGAAAATCTAAATTCTCTTTTAGAACAAAGTCTCCAAGGGTGGTGATTGCCAGTCGGATGCTGACTGCCCAGAGCCGTATTCGAAGTGTATCCGGGATACCAGAGTCGGGCATCACAGCTGCGTTCGAGACGTCACGACGTTGAAGTTGAAACCTTGAGTTTGATGATGGAATAAAATGTCGTAATCGGTTTATCTAAGCTCACGAAGAGTAGCTAGAGAGAGAGAGCGAGAGCGAGAGAGAGAGAGAGAGTGAGAGAGAGCGACAGACAGCGAGAAATTGGATCGGCTCGGCTATTCAACAGATTCATCGGTATTCATTTTTCGCAGATCGGGTATTAACAAACTCAAGTATACAACGACCAAAAAAATCGGTCCGCGCTGCGGGATTTTGGCTATATAACTCCAGATCAGGCAAAGCTGTCCAAAATGCGCTTCTTCCTCCTCATTCTTCTTATCGTCGCGATGGCGGTCGAGATTTGCTCCGCGGTAGTTTTGCCTGCCTTCGACCTGAAACTACGATCTACACTTTTTAGCTTTCTTGCCAGACCGACGCCGACTGTGCCGGGATTTGGATTGACCCTCCCTTCACCTGCATCAAGATTGGGGCGGGGGCTGGTTACTGTGGACACCTCGAGCCTTGAACGTCTTGCAAATAAATCGTGTTGTGGAGCTGATAAGGCGCAGAAAAATCTTCTCTATCTCTCTGTCTCTATCTCTTTCTCTCTCGCTCTCTCTGTCGTTTTCTCTCGTTCTCTCGCGCTCTCTCTCGCTTACTCCGCCTCTCTCTTAACAATCGTAGAGCGGTATTTCAAAAGACCTTTGAAAAGTGAATTTGAATCAATAAATCGAAGATTCCTAGTTTCATGGTGTTTCCGACAAAGCACTGCTGACCACCAGGCAATGAATAATGGAAAGGATGCGAGTTGAAAGACTCCTTTTCCTGATCCTCTCCTCCCAACACGATGAAGGCGATTTTCGGGGTGGTTACTGCTTGTGGGCTCTTCCTCGTTGGCAATGGGGTACGGTAACGAGGTTGAGGTTTAGGTTTTGCTTTAGCACGAGAGAGAGAGCGCAAGAGGGGGAGAGAGTGAGCGCGAGAGAGATGCAATTCCAGACATGCATGCAATAGAGACGGCGACTGCATGGTGGGGATTACTATGACCTCAAGAACCACGTCTGCAAGGGATTGGATGCACAAGCGCTCTGCACCCACGGGAGTGTTTTCTCTCTCTCGTTCTCTCTCTCTCTCTCTCGCTCTATCTCTATATCTGCATCTCCCTTTCCCTTTCTCTCGCTCAGACTCTATGATTTCAGTGATGGGGAGCACCATATTGGAAAACGGCACGACCGCCATGTCGGGAAGCCCTGAAATCCATGAGGAGAAAATCAGAAAATAAATATTTTGAAAGACATGTGTTCCTGGCTTAAACCTAAGCCTAAACCTAAGCCTAAGCTTAAGCTAAGCTAAGCCTAATCCTAATCCTAAGCTTAACCCAATCCGAGCCTAAGCCTAGGCCCAGGTCTATTCTTAAGCGAGGCCTAAGCCAAAACCTAAACCTAAGCTAATCCTTAGCTGGGCCTAAGCCTAAGCCTGCCGATTAACTGATCGAATCCAGAAATAAAGACTTTATTGACAAAAACATGTTCATTTCATTGAGCACAGAATTATTAAGAAGATTTGGACAAGGTCGAAGGGGTTTGCTTAGCGGATCACGCACCATCCATACAGACAGGGTTCCGTACATCCAACAATCTCGTTTGTGGGTGCAGTTGGTCAGCTGAAATAGCGTATGTTCTGTTGGTTTTTAGGCATATTTTTCAAGGGCGAAGCAAGGCGGTAAAAGTTGCTTAACAGGGGATTTTGAGATTTTTGTACAAGTCTAAAACTGCCTAGAAATTCATAGGACGTGTTATGATAGTATAGAATCGAAATTTTGTTTAAGAAAATTGGCCCTTCTGCGAGAAAATCTAGATTTTTGATTTTTTTGATTAAAATTTGTAAAGTTTTTGCGTTTTGGCATAGCAAGAACCATTTAGAAACACTTCCGCTAGGTGTATTTGAAAAATGGGTTCCAAGCGAAAACGTTCCACCCCCCCGATAATGCAAAAATACCAACACCTCTACACGCACGGACTTACCTCTTTATCCTTTATGCCATCGTAGCCGTGAGTCTGGCTTATACCCGGCGTTCCTGGCCTGGGACTGGAAGATCAGGAGAGAGCAGACGACAAGGAGAAGGAGGAGGTGGAGTACTGGTAGCCGGGCGCATGGTACAAAGCGGCGTTTCTGGACAAACCGCCTAGGCGCTGGTTTTTATACAGGCAAATGGGCAGTGATGAATCAGAATTTGGGAAAGCGAGAGAGAGAGAGAGAGAGAGAGAGAGAGAGAGAGAGGGAGAGAGAGAATGAGAAAAAGAGAGAGAGGGAGAGCGAGATGGAGAGAGAGAGGAAGC